AGACTGGTCGTCCTGCGTCCCTGCTGCATCTGTTTGGTGGCCATTATCGCTGAGTGGTGCGTGCTGCTTGTGGCTCCGGCTGCACCGCTGGTGGCTGCTGAAGACTGCTCTGGTTGCAGGCGGGAGCAGAATTCGGCCGTGGTACCAGCCGGCTCATGGATGGCTTCATAGATGCCCTTCAGACTGGTCGTCCTGCGTCCATGCTGCATCTGTATGGTGACCATTTTTGCTTGGCTGGCTGCTTGTGGCTCCGACTGCACCGCTGGTGGCTGCTGAAGACTGCTCTGGTTGCAGGCGGGAGCAGAATTCGGCCGTGGTACCAGCCGGTCCATGGATGGCTTCATAGATGCCCTTCAGACTGGTCGTCCTGCGTCCATGCTGCATCTGTATGGTGGCCATTATCGCTTGGCTGGCTGCTGTACGCCTCCAGCCACGTTGGTGAGAGTGGTGCGAGCTGCTTGTGGCTCCGGCTGCACCGCTGGTGGCTGCTGAAGACTGCTGTGGTTGCAGGCAGGAGCAGAATTCGGCCGTGGTACCAGCCGGTCCATGGATGGCTTCATAAGTGGCCTTCAGACTGGTCATCCTGCGTCCCTGCTGCATCTGTTTGGTGGCCATTATCGCTAAGTGGTGCGTGCTGCTTGTGGTTCCGGCTGCACTGCTGGTGGCTGCTGAAGACTACTCTGGTTGCAGGCGGGAGCAGAATTCGGCCGTGGTACCAGCCGGTCCATGGATGGCTTCATAGATGCCCTTCAGACTGGTCGTCCTGCGTCCATGCTGCATCTGTATGGTGGCCATTATCGCTTGGCTGGCTGCTCTACGCCTCCAGCCACGTTGGTGAGAGTGGTGCGAGCTGCTTGTGGCTCCGGCTGCACCGCTGGTGGCTGCTGAAGACTGCTGTGGTTGCAGGCGGGAGCAGAATTCGACCGTGGCACCAGCCGGTCCATGGATGGCTTCATAGATGGCCTTCAGACTGGCCGTCCTGCGTCCATGCTGCATCTGTATGGTGGCCATTATCGCTTGGCTGGCTGCTGTACGCCTCCAGCCACGTTGGTGAGAGTGGTGCGAGCTGCTTGTGGCTCCGGCTGCATCGCTGGTGGCTGCTGTAGACTGCTCTGGTTGCAGGCGGAAGCAGAATTCGGTCTTGGTACCAGCCGGTCCATGGATGGCTTCATAGATGCCCTTCAGACTGGTCGTCCTGCGTCCATGCTGCATCTGTATGGTGGCCATTATCGCTTGGCTGGCTGCTGTACGCCTCCAGGCACGTTGGTGAGAGTGGTGCGAGCTGCGTGTGGCTCCGGCTGCATCGCTAGTGGCTGCTGTAGACTGCTCTGGTTGCAGGCGGAAGCAGAATTCGGTCGTGGTACCAGCCGGTCCATGGATGGCTTCATAGATGGCCTTCAGACTGGTCGTCCTGCGTCCATGCAGCATCTGTTTGGTGGCTATTATCGCTTGGCTGGCTGCTTGTGGCTCCGGCTGCATCGCTGGTGGCTGCTGTAGACTGCTCTGGTTGCAGGCGGAAGCAGAATTCGGCCGTGGTACCAGCCGGTCCATGGATGGCTTCGTAGATGCCCTTCAGACTGGTCGTTCTGCGTCCATGCTGCATCTGTTTGGTGGCCATTATCGCTGAGTGGTGCGAGCTGCTTGTGGCTCCGGCTGCACCGCTGGTGGCTGCTGTAGACTGCTCTGGTTGCAGGCGGGAGCAGAATTCGGTCGTGGTACCCGCCGGTCCATGGATGGCTTCATAGATGGCCTTCAGACTGGTCATCCTGCGTCCCTGCTGCATCTGTTTGGTGGCCATTATCGCTAAGTGGTGCGTGCTGCTTGTGGTTCCGGCTGCACTGCTGGTGGCTGCTAAAGACTGCTCTGGTTGCAGGCGGGAGCAGAATTCGGCCGTGGTACCAGCCGGTCCATGGATAGCTTCGTAGATGCCCTTCAGACTGGTCGTCCTGCGTCCATGCTGCATCTGTATGGTGGCCATTATCGCTTGGCTGGCTGCTGTACGCCTCCAGGCACGTTGGTGAGAGTGGTGCGAGCTGCGTGTGGCTCCGGCTGCATCGCTAGTGGCTGCTGTAGACTGCTCTGGTTGCAGGCGGAAGCAGAATTCGGTCGTGGTACCAGCCGGTCCATGGATGGCTTCATAGATGGCCTTCAGACTGGTCGTCCTGCGTCCATGCAGCATCTGTTTGGTGGCTATTATCGCTTGGCTGGCTGCTTGTGGCTCCGGCTGCATCGCTGGTGGCTGCTGTAGACTGCTCTGGTTGCAGGCGGAAGCAGAATTCGGCCGTGGTACCAGCCGGTCCATGGATGGCTTCGTAGATGCCCTTCAGACTGGTCGTTCTGCGTCCATGCTGCATCTGTTTGGTGGCCATTATCGCTGAGTGGTGCGAGCTGCTTGTGGCTCCGGCTGCACCGCTGGTGGCTGCTGTAGACTGCTCTGGTTGCAGGCGGAAGCAGAATTCGGTCGTGGTACCAGTCGGTCCATGGATGGCTTCATAGATGGCCTTCAGACTGGTCGTCCTGCGTCCATGCTGCATCTGTATGGTGGCCATTATCGCTTGGCTGGCTGCTGTACGCCTCCAGCCACGTTGGTGAGAGTGGTGCGAGCTGCTTGTGGCTCCGGCTGCAGCGCTGGTGGCTGCTGTTGACTGCTCTGGTTGCAGGCGGAAGCAGAATTCGGCCGTGGGACCAGCCGGTCCATGGATGGCTTCATAGATGGCCTTCAGACTGGTCGTCCTGCGTCCATGCTGCATCTGTAAGGTGGCCATTATCGCTTAGCTGGCTGCTGTACGCCTCCAGCCCCGTTGGTGAGAGTGGTGCGAGTTGCTTGTGGCTCCGGCTGCACCGCTGGTGGCTGCTGTATACTGCTCTGGTTGCAGGCGGAAGCAGAATTTGGCCGTGGTACCAGTCGGTCGATGGATGGCTTCATAGATGCCCTTCAGGCTGGACGTCCTGCGTCCACGCTACATCTGTTTGGTGGCCATTATCGCTTGGCTGGCTGCTTGTGGCTCCGACTGCACCGCTGGTGGCTGCTGTAGACTGCTCTGGTTGCAGGCGGAAGCAGAATTCGGCCGTGGTACCAGTCGGTCCATGGATGGCTTCATAGATGCCCTTCAGACTGGTCGTCCTGCGTCCATGCTGCATCAGTATGGTGGCCATTATCGCTTGGCTGGCTGCTGTACGCCTCCAGGCACGTTGGTGAGAGTGGTGCGAGCTGCTTGTGGCTCCGGCTGCACCGCCGGTGGCTGCTGTAGACTGCTCTGGTTGCAGGCGGAAGCAGAATTCGGCCGTGGTACCAGCCGGTCCATGGATGGCTTCATAGATGGCCTTCGGACTGGTTGTCCTGCGTCCATTCTGCATCTGTATGGTGGCCATTATCGCTTGGCTGGCTGCTGTACGCCTCCAGCCACGTTGGTGAGAGTGGTGCGAGCTGCTTGTGGCTCCGGCTGCACCGCTAGTGGCTGCTAAAGACTACTCTGGTTGCAGGCGGAAGCAGAATTCGGTCGTGGTACCAGCCGGTCCATGGATGGCTTGATAGATGGCCTTCAGAATGATCGTCCTGCGTCCATGCTGCATCTGTTTGGTGGCCATTATCGCTTGGCTGGCTGCTGTACGCCTCCAGTCACGTTGGTGAGAGTGGTGCGAGCTGCTTGTGGCTCCGGCTGCACCGCTGGTGGCTGCTGTAGACCGCTCTGGTTGCAGGCGGAAGCAGAATTCGGTCATGGGACTAGCCGGTCCATGGATGGCTTCATAAATGGCCTTCAGACTGGACGTCCTGCGTCCATGCTGCATCTGTTTGGTGGCCACTATCGATTGGCGGGCTGCTGTACGCCTCCAGCCACTTTGGCGGGGTTGCGCGTCAAACCAACGGTTTCTGCCGCCGTCATGGAGAGTGAGCCGTGGCTGGTGTGGTGCGCTTGGGATTGGTGAGAGTGGTGCGAGCTGCTTGTGGCTCCGGCTGCACATCTAGTGGCTGCTTTAGACTACTTTGGTTGCAGGCGAAAGCAGAATTCGGTCGTGGTACCAGCCGCTTCATAGCTGGCCTTCAAACTGGTCGTTCTTGGGACTGAAAGCGGAGGCTCCTCCACCAAGCTGCTGCAGGTTGTAGGTGACCGTAACATTGCCGCTGGCGGCGGCGTGTCCAGCACAGATTGTCCCTGTTTCTGTGATTGTCTGTGGGCTGGCTCACCACCGAATCGGCAGCTCCTGTCAGGGAAATGGTGGCCATTTCGCAGTTGAACTTGAATAGCTCACTGTCAGGCGCCGCAAACAGCGCTCGACCAGCTCATGGATTTGCGTCGCGACGGCCACGAGAAGGTGGCGTCCTCCATCACCTTAAAGTACTCAACGCCCAGGCTGTGGAACTCCGTGTCCATGGCCTCGTGCTGCAGCTCGACTCGCATGCACTACTAAAAGAAGACGTGCACCTTCTTGTCCAGTGTTGTCAGTGAATAAAGTGGATGAGGTATTAGACGCTGCAACCTGATTTTGTTTGGCGGTACTCACCACGTACTGCAAGATTGAGCTCGGGCAGCTCTTGGAACAAGTGCTCGATCATCTCCATGTAGTCCGCCAGGTTGAGCATGTTAGATGTGAAAATGCTGGGTCAAAAAAATAAAAACAGCGGCGATTTAAAAAACATTCTTGCGAAATGACTTTCACTAAATTAGCAGCAGTGTGCCTGCAAAGTTTTACCTTCAAAATGCCGAATATTCGGTATATACCGTAATAGAAGTTGGTCACACTTGATTTTATCACGACCTGAAAAATTATCGATAGTTTACAGCTGCCAAACTGTTGAAGCTTTAAGGCTTTTCACATTTACATAAACTGGTCACACTTAACCAGCTCACGAACTATAAAGTTATCGATTGTTCAAGTTTTTGCGTTTTCTAGCACTGCTGTAATTAAAAAAAAATTAAATTAAATGTTCCACTTAAATTAAAGTTTTAAATGCAATAGCGATAAATTTAAGTTAATATATGATAAACCCCATGCTAATATTTAATTGTTCGACTTTATCGTTTAATTCACTTATTGCCTGGCAAATACACGTTGCCCGTTCTGGGGATTGGGAATTGTAGCCCGCGAAACCAACGGCTCCTGCTACCGTCATGGAGAGGTACCAGAATTCGGCCGTGGTACCAGCCGATTCATGGATAGCTTCATAGCTGACCTTCAAACTGGTCGTCCTGCATTCATGCCGCATCTGTTTGGTGGCCACTATCGATTGGCTGGCTGCTGTACGCCTCCAGCCACGTTGGCGGGCTTGCGCGTCAAACCAACGGTTCCTGCCGACGTCATAGAGAGCGAGCCGTGGGTCAGGCTACCGGCCGAGAGATTCGTCGAGGCCGCAGCCGCAGCCGTCGCCGTAAAGAGCATGTTCACCGAATTCACACTCATGGATAAGGTTGACGAGACAATGAAGTTGCCGCCGAACGTGAAGGTGCCCACCTACAGCCAGAGACGTGGGCAGCGGAAGGGCCGTGTTAAGCTTCTTCTGATTCTCCTGGTGGTGACTGCTGTGCCCGCTGTGGCTGCTGTCGTGGTGTCCATGCTCGTGGCCGTAGCTATGTCACCAGCCGTGGCTGGTGTGGTGCGTTTGGGATTGGTGAGAGTGATGCGAGCTGCTTGTGACTCCGGCTGCACAGCTGGTGACTGCTGTAGACTACTCTGGTTGCAGGCGGAACCAGAAATCGGCCGTGGTACCAGCCGCTTCACAGCTGGCCTTCAGACTGGTCTTTCGTGGGATTGAAATCGGAGGCTCCTCCACTAAGCTGCTGCAGGTTGTAGGTGACCGTGGCATTGCCGCTGGCGGCGGCGTGTTCAGCACAGATTGTCCCTGTTTCTGTGATTGTCTGTGGGCTGGCTCACCACCGAATCGGCAGCTTCTGTCAGGGAAGTGGTGGCCAGTTCGCAGTTAAACTTGAATAGCTCACTGTCAGGCGCCGCAAACAGCGCTCGACCAGCTCATGGATTTGCGTCGCGATGGCCACTTTCTCGTCGGCGTACTCAACCACCTTGAAGTACTCACCGTCCAGGCTGGGGAATTCAGTGTCCATGGTCTCGTGCTGCAGCTCAACTCGCTTACACTACTAGAAGAAGAGGTGCGCCTTTTTGTCCAGTGCTGTCCGTGGATAGTGGATGAGGTATTAGACGCTGCAACCTGATTTTGTTTGGCGGGACTCACCACGTACTGCAAGATTGAGCTCGAGCAGCTCTTGGGACAAGTGCTCGATCATCTCCATGTAGTCCTCCAGGTTGAGCATGTTAGATATGAAAATCCTGGGTCAAAAAAATAAAAACAACGGCGATTTAAAAAACATTCTTGCGAAATGACTTTCACTAAATTAGCAGCAGTGTGCCTGCAAAGTTTTACCTTCAAAATGCCGAATATTCGGTATATACCGTAATAGAAGTTGGTCACACTTGATTTTATCACGATCTGAAATATTATCGATAGTTTACAGCTGCCAGACTGTTGAAGCTTTAAGGCATTTTCACATTTACATAAACTGGTCACACTTAACCAGCTCACGAACTATAAAGTTATCGATGGTTCAAGTTTTTGCGTTTTCCAGCACTGCTGTAATTTAAAAAAAATTTAAATTAAATGTTCCACTTAAATTAAAGTTTTAAATGCAATAGCGATCAATTTAAGTTAATATATGATAAACCCCATGCTAATATTTAATTGTTCGACTTTATCGTTTAATTCACTTATTGCCTGGCAAATACACGTTGCCCGTTCTGGGGATTGGGAATTGTAGCCCGCGAAACCAACGGCTCCTGCTACCGTCATGGAGAGGTACCCGAATTCGGACGTGGTACCAGCCGATTCATGGATAGCTTCATAGATGGCCTTCAGAATAGTCGTCCGGCGTCCATGCTGCATCTGTTTGGTAGCCACTATCGATTGGCTGGCTGCTGTACGCCTCCAGCCACGTGGGCGGGGTTGCGCGTCAAACCAACGGTTCCTGCCGCCGTCATGGAGAGCGAGCCGTGGCTGGTGTGGTGCGTCTGGGATTGGTGAGAGTGGTGCGAGCTGCTTGTGGCTCCGGCTGCACCGCTAGTGGCTGCTAAAGACTACTCTGGTTCCAGGCGGAAGCAGAATTTGGTCATGGGACTAGCCGGTCCATGGATGGCTTCATAGATGGCCTTCAGAATGGTCGTCCTGCGTCCATGCTGCATCTGTTTGGTGGCCACTATCGAGTGGCTGGCTGCTGTACGCCTCCAGCCACGTGGGCGGGGTTGCGCGTTAAACCAACGGTTCCTGCCGCCGTCATGGAGAGCGAGCCGTGGCTGGTGTGGTGCGTCTGGGATTGGTGAGAGTGGTGCGAGCTGCTTGTGGCTCCGGCTGCACCGCTAGTGGCTGCTAAAGACTACTCTGGTTGCAGGCGGAAGCAGAATTTGGTCATGGGACTAGCCGATCCATGGATGGCTTCATAGATGGCCTTCAGAATGGTCGTCCTGCGTCCATGCTGCATCTGTTTGGTGGCCACTATCGAGTGGCTGGCTGCTGTACGCTTCCAGCCACGTGGGCGGGGTTGCGCGTCAAACCAACGGTTCCTGCCGCCGTCATGGAGAGCGAGCCGTGGTTGGTGTGGTGCGTCTGGGATTGGTGAGAGTGGTGCGAGCTGCTTGTGGCTCCGGCTGCACCGCTAGTGGCTGCTAAAGACTACTCTGGTTGCAGGCGGAAGCAGAATTCGGCCGTGGTACCAGCCAGTCCATCGATGGCTTCATAGATGGCCTTCAGACTGGCTCGAGGATCTTGGTGATGCCGGTGTTGTCTGCCTCCAGTTCGTACTTGAACTTGAATAGTTCACTGGCCATCACCTTGAAGTACTCACCGCCCAGGCTGTGGAACTCCGTGTCCATGGCCTCGAACTGCAGCTCGACTCGCTTGCACTACTGGAAGAAGAGGTGCGCCTTCATGTCCAGTGCTGTCTGTGGATGAGGGATGAGACGCTGCAACCTGATGTTTGGGGGACTCACCACGCACTGCAAGATTGAGCTCGGGCAGCTCTTGGGACAAGTGCTCGATCATCTCCATGTAGTCCTCCAGGTTGAGCATGTTAGATATGTAAATGCTGGGCCAAAAAAAAACAAAAACAGCAGCGATTTAAGAAAACATTTTGCGAAATGATTTTTACTTAATTAGCAGCAGTGTGCCTGCAAAGTTTTACGTTCTAAATGCTGAATATTCAGTATATACCGTAAAAGAAGTTGGTCACACTCGAATTTATCACGATCGAAAAAATGTATCGATAAGCCTCTATCTATCGATAATTTTTCAGATCACGATAAATTCAAGTGTGACCAGCTTTTATTACGGTAGATTAAGAGTTTTCGGCATACTGGCATTTTGAGGGTAAAACTTTGCAGGCACACTGCCTGCACCCCGAAACTATGCAATTAAAAGTAATGCGCCATTGATGGCCAAATGGTGCAATGGTGCATCTTTTGGGCTGAATTAATTTGCAAGAGGCGGAAACGCCAATACTTTTACACTGAATTTAGACCGGAAACACAGTTTATAGTGCAGTTTAGTTATCGGCCGCTAGATGGCTTCCGGGAAGAGGCCATTGTAACGATTATTCAAATCTTATTTTATATCAGTCAAAAATATTACGTATACGCACTGGTGTTGTACTCTAAGAAAAAAATTGTATTATTATTAATAAAAGGCAATAGAACCTTAACTTCAAGATCTTTCCATGGACTCATTGACATAAAATAAAATAAGTAGAAGTATTATCTTATTTATTTACATAATGATTTTCTAAACTGATAAACTTAAGCTCCTGTTGGAGGCAGTGCAGTTATTTATTTTTTTCGGACAGATGGCAAACCCGGACTTTAACAGTGAGATTAAAAATTACAAAAAGAACTATTTCTACCCGAAGCCGATATAAAAATTAGCACAGATTGATGATACTTTTGAACATAATTAGCCTCTAATTAGTCTATTGGCCTCTATTAATCTCAACCATAATCAACTTTGATCTTTTTGTATTATGTCTAAAAACTAAGATTGATAATGATAAAAACCATTACGATTATTTAAAAATCCAATCCTGTTTGCTCTCCAAAAACAGGTGTACCTGGGACATATTGCGCCACTGCGTCCAAGACCAACATGAGAGCAAGAGAGAGTCAGAGCGCGAGTGATGCTGAGATGATGAGATGCCCGGACTTACCAGTTGGCAGTTCCCAGCTTTCAGCTCTCAGCTCCCAGATGCATGCTCATTGTGCGGCTGCGTGAGCAGGGTCTGGCTCCATCGGTCGGTCGTGTTTCGGGCCCGGACATCGGCGTCGTCGTACCACTGGCCAAATTCCTGCAGACGTGTGCGAGAGTTTTAGAACGTTGCTTGCAATAGCGGAAAGCGGCAGGCAGCCTGGAAAAAGCCATAGGGGTGTAGTGTAAAAAAAAAACAGAATAGAGAAGCACCAGCAGAGGCAGTCCAAAAATCAAGAATAGCCGCATTCTCGGGGCCGCAAGGCAATTAATATTCGCATTCGGATTCAGGGACGACGAGAGCCTGAAATCTCTGACTCGGCGGCTGAAAAAAAAAAATGTAAAACAACTCAAGGCAGATGACGGTTTATATCTTTACTTTTTTTCCTGCAAATATCCACACGCCGCGAACTTTAAAAGACAATCGATGAGTGGTGGTAGCAGGAGGCCAGCCAATATGTGAAACCAAACCTAACAATTAATTACTCCAGCGCGGATATAGATGAAAATATGAATAGACAATAAAGAGGAGAAGCACACACAAATTACAAAAATTATATATATGTGTGTATATATATAAAAGGAAACCAATCCGAGAAATCGTTTTTTGAATTTTTTTACATCGTTTACGTTTTTTTTTCTGTTTGCAAAAAAAACCCCAACCAATGAAAAATACTGAGTGTGTTCATAAAGCAGTTCAAGGCATTACAATTAAATTTAAAAAGGAAAACACGAAGCTCTGAGGAAGGAGGACGAACAGCATAAATATATATATAGCTGCTCGCAATACCTATATTCGATGGATTTGTCCAAAATCCGTGGATTTGTTAAGGTGAGTTTTGTGGGACAAACATACATAGTCGTATACTGAGGCATACCGACGGTTATGTATTGTATATCTAGGAATGTAGAGGAATGTCCAACTCAGACGGGAGTGACAAGTGTATACATATGCACAGGGGCGGCAGAGGAGTCTCGCGTGGGGAGGAGGGTGTGGAAAAGGAAAATGATTTACCAATTTTCTTATTGTATACCATGTAAAATGTATCCCTTGGCCAAAACACATGCCAACAAATATAATATTAATGCAAAGACTCCCATCGTATTCCCAGCCTCATACCCATCCCCATCCCATCTCCATCCTCGCCCTCATCCTCGTCCTCCTCATCTCGTGGATGGGAATGAGGCGCGACTGACTGCGCATGGCCACGGAACAATAGCGATACAGAAATGCTCACGTACTACACACTCGGAATTTCGATGCATATTGAGCAAGAATTACACCCAGTGTCTTTCGTCTCAACAATTACTCCTTTCGGGCAAGCAAAATTACTAAGCCGCAGCGGAGATTGAGCTCTGATTATCTCGATAAATATACACGTCCTTGCGGGGCCAAGGCTGATCGACTTACCACTTTTCCACAAGTGTTCTGGGGATGGGCATGCGTTTTATTGACCCACCTACCCCTAAAACTCTACACGGCAAGAAATATCACATCATACTATGTTGGAGGAGGCCCCTACAAGGGCAATCCAACCAAAAACAGTTGATGAAATGAGTTCCCTGCACACACTGGGGATTCCCCAGGAGCATAAAAAAACTATAGAGAAGCTTCTGAAATGTCTACTTTTCTGCAAATTGCTTCCTTCAGGGATGTCTCCCCATTTGTTTTGTCAGTTTGTTTTCCAGTGCGTCTTCCAATTTAAGGGGACGAGAGGGGGCGTGGCTTTAAATGTGAGACACACTTGTTATTGGGACAGGAGGTATGTGTGTCAATTCTGGTGTCTTAAGGCTTTATAGCTACTTCGATCCGGGATTTAACACCTCAAGTCTAATCAAAATATATATAGGGTTTGCGGCGGGTTCATTGGATTTATTTATACTTTAATAGTACTATAAATCGTAAGCCGGCTTTAAGTAAATTATAATTCATTAATTAAAATAGTGTATCTTTCCAAAGTTGAGTGATGAGTACTTTAAATATTATAAATTTCTTATTTAAAACTGGCGCAGGATGAATCAAAATGAATGTAAACATTAAATTTAATAAACTTCTACCTCAACGCTTATGTATCTTAAAATCCATATCAGAAACGTAATAATTAATTAATGAAAAATTGTTTGTTAGCAGCGTCCTACATTTAACAAAATAAGAATTTGCAGTGTTCTTGCAGATTCAACTCTCTGTGTATTTTATTATAGGTCTGAAGTTTAGGAGACTTTATAGTAGTGTACTAAAGCTAGACGCTCAATGCTTTAGGTACCAGGTATCTCAAAGTCGAGCACTCTCAATCCTAGTTTTCATACTTTTTTGTAACTGACAGGTCCAGATAATCACCATATAAAGTAATCTTTAGTCTTCACATATGTATGTATATTCCTCACTGTTATTCACTGGAACTTGATGGTGAACGATCATAAGGTTGTCAGGAAACTACACATTTTTAAGAGAGCCTTATTATGTGAATATTATACGAAGTTTTTTTTTGTATAGTAGTATAGTATGGCTATGTAATTGTCCCGAGGATGCATTCACGTCTTTTCACTGCCGATGGTTTGGCAGGCCATAATCGGAGAGCCACGCCCAAAGCTGGCAGATTAAAAAATGTCAAAAAAAGTTGTTGTTGCAATTGCAAAAAAAAATTGGAATGGACCAAGTAATGGCAATGTTTCAATATCCTGTTGGCAACCTAATTCAAATTGAAGAGTTTTTACTGCGTTCAAAAGTACAACATATTATTATATATATGAATATATTATTATGGGAATCGTATAAGAACAATTTACAAATTCGGGTTGTCTTGTTATAAATTTTGAATTATTATACTCTTTTAAGGTACTACAATTTTAGTCATAAGCTTGAAACATAGCGAAAAAATCATTTTCGACCCCAAAAGTCACATATATTCTTTAACAGCATCAAAAGCTGACTCGATCTAGATATATCCAGTAAAAAATTAATTTTCAAAATATTAGCACATAAAATATCGATTTAATGAAAAAATTTAAATCAAATTAATCAAACCGAGTATAATTTGTAGATCATTTAGGCAGAGAATTTAACGCATTTCTAATTTAAAGTCAAATTTTCTTGTACTTATTATAGTTTTGTATATATATTTTTAATCGCCATTAACAGCCAAGTCGATCTGGCCATGGCCGTCCGATTATAAGCAAACTAAACTTACAGGGTAGTATAAAACTTATTGAAGGATTTATTTTTGACACTTTAAATCATATATATTGTTGACCAGCATCAAAAGTTAAGTCGATCTAGCTATGTCCGGTAAATCAATAATTATTCAAAATGTTTTATATATATTTTTTTTAATTATAATAATAATTCATTTTCGAAATTTGTTGATATTTTATATGCAGTATGCAGATTTGTTGCGCTAACAAAAACTAAAAATGCTTTCCAGATAGAAATCAATGCTTTTTTGGCTTAGGTATGATGTTTTTAAACTCTGATTTATCCACAACATTATATGGATAAATATTGTTTTCAGGAATAAGCATATATTAAATCTGATTGGTTTATCTGATGGCCAACAAGCGAATGATTAAAAAAATAGTATATCTTGCCTTGAGGTGGATAGAAATGAGAATCCCAGAAAATTTACATATGTAGTCTGTACATTGTTTAATGATCATAAAGGTCATTGATCACATTACCCCAATTTTGATTCAGGTCAGCAAACAAAATAGGCTTAATAATTAATTTGTTTATAAATTAATCTAGTCAAACTAGATTCTAACTTGAACATATTTGTGATTATTTCGTTTGATTATTGCATAATATAAACTAAAAAAAAACACATTTTTGGATATTGAGGGATTGATTTTTATCAATCGACCTAAAATTTCGATTATCGATTGAAATTTAATCCCGTTTGAGATTGGTCTTTTTTTTGCTGTAAAGAATTCAAACTTTTGGGTCTTTTGATGAAATTTAAGGGCTTAAGCCATGGAACAAATATGATAAATAAAATTATGCAAAGTTTGGCGGTTTGGTTTTGCCTTACAGTTTGGAGGCTGCGCAGTCACGAGAGAGCCAGCCGTCTCTCGCATTCATCATTTTCATCCCCTTTTTTATATTTACTAGTAAATACTGTCTGGCATCTGCTGTCTTGGGTCTGGTCCTAGTCCAGCCAATCCTTATCGCATCCTAACCTTGCACTACTCAGACGCTGAACTGAACTCAAGAATATATAAAGAGACAACAGGAAAAGGATTCTCAGATATATTTATAAATATTAGATAAAAGTTTCGTTAAGTCAGGACTTGAGCTTGAAACAATATATGAAATATGAACTAAAATCTTGGTTTCATTTAACTAAAAAGCTGAGCAAAACAGCAGCTTTCAGTTTATACTTTCCAAGTTAAAATTGACTCAACAAAAAATGTCATTTAGCCAGGTGGTCGAACTCCATCACAAAATAATTGTATTTAAAGAGCACTTTGACTCTCTATTAGAAACTATAATCACATTTTGCAGTCCCTGACTTTGGCTCCCATTGTGCCGTGTCTCGCTGGCATAGCTGGCGTGTAGGTATTTCCTAAATACCCGCAGTAGATGCACTCAGCGCTGCGCTGTGTCATCCGGCAGTTCATTCGCTCCCCAACAAATTAATATTAATTATTTAATCGTTTTTTTTCTGCTAATTGGATCTTCTGGCTGCAATTTCGCTGCGGTCGCCAAAGGTCTGTCCTTGCCTAATTAGCGCAAATTTAAATTGTCGATGCTCTGGCCTCGGCGGTGCTCTTTGCTGGTGGGTCTGCGTCCATGTCCACAGCCTCCACCTTAGTACCAACCTGTCTTTTCATCGGTAATGTGCGTCAGCGACCACTCGAAGCAGGTTTACTGCAAGGCTTTCCAATACAAATCGGTGCATGGGTTGTAAACTTTATAAGTAGCTTCGATAAGTAGTAAGTGCAATAATTAATGGCAAACTGTAAATAAATTTTAAAAGGGATTCTGAGAGAAGTAAAACCTTGCATAAAACTAGCTAAGGAGACACGCCCTTCAAAGTGTGCTCTATTTTTCTCCTATTTATGTTCCAAACTCTGATACGTTTATAATTTATCTTTCATTTGCAGCACAACGGTCACCTGATGAAGTCTAGACCTAATTTTTTTGATATTTCGCCTGGTTTTGTGTGAAACCCATGAGTGAAGCAGTGGCAACGAGAGCCGAAGAACGTAAATCACTATGTCATTCAATGAATGCAGATTCAGCGCTGGATTTGCACGCCTTTGATAGCCGATATATAGCCCAGCAGCCTCAAGTGCACTAACAGTCACAAATGCTTTTATCGCCACAGTCACAGTCACAGCCAGAGCCAGTCACAACCACTAGCCACTGCCACTGACACACAACAAAACACAGCAACACATACAGGAAAATCGGGCTAAAGCTGTGCGTATACGGATGCGGATGCGGATCAACTTCCCAATGGCCAATTTCAGCAATCGCAGTTACTACTACTACTGGAGCGGAGGAAACTAATAAAAGCGCTTACTTCCGCCACTTCCACGTCGCTTTTGGGGTGCAGCAACCATGTCGATTAGCCTTATAACCATATGAGGGCAGTTTTCGTATTAACTGACCGAGTAAGACTGGCAAGGCGTATTTGGAGAAAGAAGAATCAAACGAGGAGAGAATACCAAGACTTAGCAGTGGCGCTGAATTCGACGTCTTCGCTCGAAAGCAACAGAGAATATCGCAACCGCCGCCATCATGTGGATACACATCGCATTTTTAGTCCTTACCATTGCTCAGCTGTGTGATTTAGCCATATCTGCAGGTGGTAAGTGAACTATAAAAAAATATTGATCTTAAAACAATAATCAACCGATAAATAGAAGCGACTCAATTGACCTATCAGTATCAGTTTCAAAATCAACATCACTGGTATCACTGCTATCTATATATACATACATATAAATATGTTCAGTTATGTTTTGTGTTAAATTTGAATACTTGTGATATAAACAATAGCTTCCTATATATTTCCATGAATTTGGCAAGTCTGGGGCGATGTGGGGCTTTAGAATTCCTACGCTTTACCGTGGAATTCGAAATTCGGCAAAGCGTTTGGATTCTGAAACCCTATGCGTCCATAAGCTAAGAAAAGTTTAAAATGTATATACAAATATCTTAGAAAATTGAGTTCTTATATATTATTCTGTTGCAGCTATGCTATAGAGAAAGAACTTTCTAATAAACAAATTATTTTGCCTTGCAGAAGCAGATTACACACTAGATGATTCTTTTTGGAATGAAGAAAGTCCCGTTGGTAAGTATCTCTTCATGAAACATGGATTTTCAAGTATACATTTATGGCACTATGTGAATATGAATGAATTTCTATACTTTACTCTGCTGAATATCGTCTTCTCTTTCCTTAGAGATCCAAATCTAGGTTAATTTTTAGCTAGAAATATTTACTTACATTTTTATTGATGTATTTTCCAGGAGAAGTGGAACGCTTACTTAAGGAATACAGGCAAAATCAAGAGCTGGTCCGTCGAATTGGTGGCCATTATTACCAAATTATATATCCAGTACAGTTGCGCCATCACGAGAAGATGGGCATATCCACGCGTGAAGTTAGTGTGCCAAAGGTAAGAAGCCTTTTCTGGAAAAAACAAAGAATTTTTGAAAATATATAATTATCCCAATTACTTGTACTTACCTAATTGTTTTCTTGCAGCCTGGCCAAAGACCGCGGCCACACGATGACAGTGGTTTTAACAGAGGAAGAACAAAGGTACGTTAGCTATACTTAATATAGTACAAATTTGAAAAGATTTTTGCTTTAGAAATATTCTTTTTAGTGTAGGAAAATAATAACGAAAAAGTCAACTTTGCATATATTGCTCATTTACAGAAACACTTTCATCGCACATCACTGCTAATCAAGGCTTTTAACCATAAATTTCGCTTGGATTTGGAGCTCAATTCGTAAGTTTATCAATTTTAACACAATCCTATTAATATATTATATATATTAAATATTTTCTACATATTTTAATCTTTTTCCTTAGCCAACTTCTCTCCCCGAATATACAGCAGAAACACTATCATGTGGGCGGATACCTGGTGGACGGAAACCGACATGTAGGCTACATTTTTCTAGACGTTTTATAGGAATCTATATCTACATATACCTTTCAGGATATCGAGCACTGTTATTATCATGGGACAGTGAAGGATTATCCGGGCGCCAGCGCCGCCTTTCACACCTGTAACGGTGTCAGTGGCGTCATACACATAGGAAATGAAACCTTTGTTATACATCCTTTCTATGGCGGCGATCTCTCAGTAAGTATATCTTTTATGTCCGAAGTAAATTTTTTAAACATTTTTTACGATGCTCCGACAGAAACACCCCCATGTCATTTTCGAGGCGCGAACGAAGGCCAACAAGGGATGCGCCAATTCCGGCAACCTGGACTCCTGGCGACTCTCGCGTCGCACTAAGCACCTTTCGGCGGGTGTCGCGGGTGTTATCGAGGAGATCCTCCAGGGCGGTGCGGGGCGCAGCAAACGGGACGTGAGAGAGGCCACAAAGTATATTGAGACGGCCATTATCGTAGACAAGGCAATGTTCGATAAGCGTAATGGCAGCACACGAGCGGAGGTGATCCACGATGCCATACAGGTGGCCAATATAGCCGATCTGGTTAGTACTAGAACTTCGTTTATGGCATTTTAGATTTCCTTATGGGATAACTTCTCTGTTGCAGTACTTTCGCACACTCAATACGCGTGTTTCGGTTGTGTATATAGAGACATGGGGGAAAAATCAGGCAGTTATTGATGGCAGCAAGGACATAAGCAAGGCAATCTCAAACTTTAACGACTACACCTCGAGGAACCTGTTCCAAATCGAACGAGACACAACACAGCTGCTAACGTGAGTATTATTAATATGTTTGAGACTAATCTGGACTTACCTATATCTTTCCTATCATCCATTCGAAGGGGCGAAACCTTTGCGGGCGGCGAAGCTGGCATGGCCGTTCCAGAGACCGTCTGCACGCCACGCGCTGTCGGTATCAGCGTGGACGTCAATGTGTATGAGCCACATCTCTTGGCGGGCACAATGGCTCACATGATTGGTCATAACATCGGCATGGGACACGACGACGGACGTAAGTAGATGGTAGACAGAGATATGTGCACGTACATTAACCACTGACCCGGATCCTTGTTTTTTTAGGAGAAGAATGCTTTTGCAGGGACTGGCATGGCTGCATCATGGCGCAATCAATTGTGGGCCAGGAGAATGTGCAGCCGTACAAGTTTTCGGAGTGCAGTAAAAAGGATTATATAGATGCCTTGCGCACTGGACACGGTTTGTGTTTGCTGAATAAGCCCAATGAGGTGAGCATATGATAGTATGACCAGAGCCAACCATTGATCAGCTGATGGTCATCGACTTTACCTTGACAAGCTGTCATTAATGTCAGATTGATCAGATGACTCATTTCCGCTTTCTAAGTTTCCCGCGAACTTTTTTAACCTTTAAAAAAACGAAGTGTTGTTTGTTTTAAGCCGAAATATGTTAATATAACCCTTTAGATCGAGCTGCGTCGTAATTGCGGCAACAAGGTGGTGGAGGAGGACGAGGAGTGCGACTGTGGAACCTTCGAGGAGTGTGCCCTGGACCCATGCTGCGACGGCATCACCTGCAAGCTCAAATCGGAGGCTCAGTGTGCCACCGGGGCGTGCTGTGAACAGTGTCGGGTAAGTTATTTATCAGTATCCGTCCCCGATAATGATACTTCAACCTATATATACACTACCAAAGCTCCGGCCCAAGGATTACATTTGCCGTGACTCGCACAATGAGTGCGACCTTCCGGAGTATTGCGATGGCGAAGTGGGCCAGTGTCCCTCTGACGTGTTCAAGAAGAACGGCTCCCCCTGTGGTCTTAGCAAGACTGGCATATCCGGTTAGTATATACATCAAGATAATCAAGACCCTTGACTAAATGTTTACTCCACTTGCAGGATATTGCTTTCAGGGTTACTGTCCCACGCTGAGCTTACAATGTGAGGCCATATGGGGCTACGGCGGATCAGCCGCGGACAAGCAGTGCTACGAACAGTTCAACTCGAAGGGCTCCATCAACGGCCACTGTGGACGGGATGCCAATGAGCATTATATCAAGTGCGAGCCTGAGTAAGTACTAGCATTAGTTTGGGGGTAAAAATATATATTAACTTGTATACCTACCAGGAATGTGCAGTGCGGCACGCTGCAGTGCAAGGAGGGGGAGCGACAGCCCGTGAACGATGGCATCGATCAGCTGTATTCACGGACAATAATATCGATCAAGGGCCAGGAATTTGAATGCAAGTGCGTATGGGGCAGGAGCTGCACTAAAAAAGGAGGTATTACAAACGCTTGAGTATTCGCAGGGCGACCAGCGGGCAGGTGGGCTCAAACAGCTACCCAGAGCACGGCCTCGTCAAGGACGGAACGCCGTGCGGCGACAACTTAATTTGTCTGAACCAAACGTGTGTCAGTCTCTTTCCCCACGTGGATCAGACCAAGTGCCCCGCAAATAAACAGGGTCAAGAGTGCTCAGAACACGGCGTAAGTTCAACTCAACTCAACTCGGCGAAATGGAATGTGCCACTCGCCATGTGCCATGTGCCATGAACATTTACATTTATACATTTAATGCACCTACAACGCATACGCACAATATCTCACATGGCCACGACGACACATTTGCATATTCCTCTTGCAGGTCTGCACCAACACCAACCGCTGCTTCTGCGACATGGGATGGGGCGGCACGGACTGCAGCTCGGTTGTCCTGCTCACCACAGCACTGCCAACGGAAGCACTGCCCACACCGGAGAACACAATCAAAATGGAGAAGAAAGAGACCCCATATGGTAAGAGAGAATGAAATTTTAATACCGTCGAAGTTCGATTGTGTCGGCTCGGAGACAGAAGTTAAATTGAAAGCGAAAGCCACTTACCTCGATATATATGATACCGTACCTCTTACCAAATAAGTCTGACTCGGCTCAATGGCGTTGACTACTCACTCACAATTGATTAATTCGGTAGCGATTCGATCTCAAATCATTCGGTTTGCTTGCTTGTATGACAATGGTAGTCAATAAAACAATAATTCGAGTCTCTGGGTCTGGGCAGAAAGTCTCATGGTTGAACACTATACATTATAAACGTTCTAATCGCGATTAAACACCACAAATGATTGAGTAAACAGAATATATATATACATTTCCAAGATTAATTTCAAATATCGGAACTTATGCTTCATAATTTTCATAAATTATATTTATTCGTTCGGAAAACCGGTAAAACTTTTTCTTACGCTTTCTTGTTTTACTCAAGACGAAATAGAGTACTTACAAGGTCATCTGTTAAAATGGTTCATCATACTTCCATAAATCCTATAAGAATCATGTCAATTTCTTGTTTTATGTTTGCGGAAAATTAAGACTTAAATAATATTGATTTTACCACATACATATAAACTTCGATTATATTCGGGTATACTTAAAGCATTTATTAAACGCTGTTGTGATTAAGAATAAGAACTTGAAAACAGTTATATATTTTATATATAAACTTTTGAAATCAAACATTTTTGTTTTGTTTTATGATACTGTGTATGTTCTAGACCACAGGTTCTTATGGAATATAAGTTTTTCGAATATTGCTCAAGTGGTCTGCACCATTACATTTACCTGTCATCATTGCATTTGTGAGTGAGAAATATAGGGCCCATTTTAAATAAGCTTTGCATAATACAAATATAAATTATACAAATAACTATGACTAAAGAAATAGCCATTTAACGCTAAATTTAGCCATGGTTATTCTGCGCTCTTCACAGAAAGTTGTGAAAAAAAAGTAGGACCTTGGAGACCACTGTCTTGACTTCTCTCTTAGCCGCTAAGTACTAATTAAATCGTAAAGGAATAGAAACTTGATCATTCCTACTACTCTGCCTAATAGTAGCAACTTTTAATATCAATACTCGCCAATTAGCATCAACGACACTTGAGATGTACAAAGAAATTGTGTGTTGCTGTGTTGTTATTTACACTGAATGTTTGTTATCATCTTAAAAAAAGGACTTCCCTATAACTCTAAATCCCAAAAGTTAATTGTTTTTAAAATGTAAAAAGTAATTATATTTATAACGTATTTGGAGTTTCAATATTTCTATTCCTATTTTTACTGATTTATGTTCTTAAAAGTTTGATTTCTATTTTATGTTATTTGGCCAGCTCAAGGTTAATTAAGAAAGGATATAGAATGCCAATCTGTATATATAATTTGTTTTTAACCGTACCTGCCGTTTGACGCCGTTTGAGACTTGGGTAGTGTATTAACGAAAGTAAGGGCCTCGGCAAACCAAAGTTATCTCCCTTAAGTTTGGCTTTAGTTATCCCTTTAAGTTATAGTTCGTTTCATTGAGTGTTAATTGAAAATTATGTCATTGATTTTAAAATCATTTTATTTAATAACCGAAGTTGGTATTTAAAAACAAATTCAACTGCGGAGTGTGCAATTTAGGCGCATGAAGAGTGTAAGTAAAATTTCCTTAAACTTTTCAGATCCCCAAAACAATTAAGTACTTCACTTAATTTGAAAAGCCAAAAATTAGTAATTCAAGATAAGAGACTTAATACTTTTTTGTCACTTGTGTTATGTTGATATTCAAAGTCGCAATACAAAACACGACGCATATATAATTATATATTTTGATTGAAAATAAAACGCAACCACCATTTGCAGGCACCTCTGACAAAAATAGGATCAGCACATTAACCATGGTCATCATTTTAACAGTTATCGTCAAATGTGTCTTCATTAGTTTTGCAACACTGGCCGTTTGCTACAGGTAGAGTACCAAGCAAGTCAAGCTCCTCCTCCTATGCATTTAGTAACACGTACATCACCAAACTTACACGTTCTATATACACATATAGGTCAATCGATATATGTTTTTGTTGTACGCAGGACAAGGGATCGATACCGATCAATACTTCCGTTTAATCTTTAGTACATCCTGTCTTGTTATCGGTCGGTTGTAAGTGCATCCATATGTACATACGTATGTACGTACATGTGCGTGCGCATGCATACTTACACACACTTCTCAACATCATTTGATCATTTTCTCGTTTTCTTTTGACTGTCTTTCTGCCTCTATCGCTGTGTGTAAAATATTCGTAGTGCTTATATCAGATTTAAAATTGTACGTGCTTGTAATTTGTCGCCGTAATTCAAAAAATGTATAAGTATATCTGACGTTTTTCTGTAATATGTGGTGTTTAATGGAACTCTATTATGATTTTCAAAATATTTTTATAATCATTTCGTATTGACAACATTTACATACATGGGTAGTAGAACAAATGCATGAACAATAACAAAAATTCACGAAAAGATGCCTTACCAAATGGTAAAATTATTGTGGACATCGATTCATCATCAGAACCTAAATAACCTAAATTTCAAATGAAGCGTTCAAGAAACTACCGCGTTCTTCAAAACTCATTGGCCACTTTCACCACCGCAAATAATCAATGTATGTATGGAAAAACATTGAAAAATAGTCCTTTTTATATTCGAGTACAAAGCTTATTAATACCTGGAACATCGATATATTTTTGTAACGGAACAAGACGAAAAGTTAGGACTCTTTATAATATCTTATTAAAGTTTAATTGACAGAGTGTTTTGAGAGCAGGCGAGGTAATCAGGGGACTATAAATTTAATTTTATTTTATATCAAATAATATATACATATATATTGGCACAAAATATAAATATGGCAGTCAAAAACAAGAAAGCGGAAAAGAAAACTTAAGAAATCTCTAAAATAAATTTTAAACAGTTGTTGAGAATTGATTTTGAAGACAGTAATATAAAACATAATATTATTAAGTAACTAAGGTTGCTACTTAAGTAAAACCCAGATAGTTGATAATAGCGCCCTAGTTGCATTTCAAAAGTTTTAATTTCCTTGTTTAGCCTCATCAAATCTCCCATATTTTAAGATTTTAACAAAATTACAATAATTTATGGCTTTAAAAAAAGATTTAATGTCAAAGACATTTTTAAATTAAATACTGATCTGAAAGCAATTACAAGGTTTTTTAAGTAATGGAATTAAACGGTTTTAAAAACAGTGTTTAAATCTGTTATCTATAAGTTTCTTGCATATATTCCTTGTCAAGAAAGTAATGCAAAAAGTAACTGAATTATATGATTTATAAAATTAAATATAATCAACACGTTCTCTGCATAGTTTTAAATAATATATAACTGCATAATAACCCTAGCAACCTTAGGGCGCAATAAACCTTTGGGGGGAGGGCATATCTAAATTTAAAAAAAACTAAGATTACCATTGTCATAGAAAAACAAACAAAAAGGAAAACTAAAAATTTGCAACGTTCTATATCCAAATAATTATATATTTCAATGTGTGTAATTTTGTACAATTGTGAGAATCGTTTTAGCATTTAATGGCCTTATGGAACCGGAATAATCTTCCTACTGAGAACACATACATACTACTTACAGTATGTGCATGTTTACGTGATTAGTTATTTACATATATATCAACATGTATATGTGTATAACTAATTAAGATATATTTGAATAATATTTACATATTTACCTTTACAAATCGATAAAAAAAAAAACATTCGAAATAACATATATATAAATATGTGAGAGATGTTCATAGTACCTGATTTTGCGAAATGCATACAAAATTGTATATTTACTTGTTTTTTTCGGCTGACCCGCAACCCTACTACTGCCTACTTCAATATAATGACATATATAAAACTACGAAATCTCGGAAATGGCAAATACCAAATCATCCCTGGCCTGTCACTGCGTAACGCAATAAACCAATAAACCGAAAACCAAATAAAAATGTAACACCATTAATTGGGGCAATCGACATCGACGACCCATGAATTTACTGAAATGCATACACTATACCCTTTTTCGATACAAATATACGAACAAAACAAAACAATACTAAAAACAAAACACACTCACCACTAAAACAAAAACATCTGCGCGCATAATGAAACAATTGGCTGAAAATTTCTCGTATAGAGAACTACCACGGCTCAAATACAGTGTTCCTAGTCGGTGTTCTAATGTCAGTTGTAGGGTTCGTTTTTATAACATTCACCTTGATGGCATTGTGCTACAGGTCAGTTGTAGTACATAGAAACTTCTCCCTGTGTCTGAGGTTAGTTGAAAAGAAGTAATGAAAAAGCCAGCTCTAAATACAAATACAAATTACAACCACAAAAAGAACAAGCAAAAAAAAAGAAAAAATATCCAAATATTTTTTTAAAAACTAAAAAAAAAAACAACTACAAAAAACAAAAAAAAAAAACAGTTGCAAATGCAAATATTTTAACAAAAACTTTAGTAAATTTGTTTATTTTGTTTCGCATTTTGATAAATTTATTAAAGTCGCTGCATTAAAGCCATTGTCATTGTTCGTTTTACGTTAAGCTTCATATATAAGAGTTTTTTAACTTCCAAACTCCTACAATTTATCTATTGATACCATATCAGGGGCATATGCAGGCTTTTGTGATTGAAGGGCTCCAAGTAATAGACCAAAGTGCTGTATGTATATTTAGTTTTACTAATAATACCTATAACTGAAATCTGGTTATATGTACATAAAATTACTCAACAACCTTTAGCCCTTTTAGCATTAACCTGCGTACGCAACTGCCTAATCACAAACACGTCCACACATTTACAATTTACAGACATTTTATTAAAATTGTAATTCTTTTATGCCAGAATACTGTATGGAAACGATGAGGAGTCGAAGTCAATGTTTTCTATTTCATTTCACTTTACTTTCTGTTCTTTTCTCTTATGCGTTGACTTGCTGTTATCAAGATGAACAAGAAAGGAAGCAAACTTTGGGGTAGCTGAAGTTCGTATACCTTTGCAGTTAGCCATAGGATCATAATTTCGAATCTGCAATCGATCAAACTGCATACTGCATTTTCAAATTTAAAAAATTCAACATTTGTACATTTTTTGCAAATTTTAACGATGTAACTCCTTTCCTTTTTTAAAGCTTCTCACTAAAATTGTAATACCCTGCAAGGGTATGCTTTTTGTTTAAAATTCAAAACTGCTTCCATTGTTTTTTTATTTAACTGAGGTTTTATCCTACCAATAACTTAAATTATAATTTGATAGACCATTTTTAGCAATTTAAGATGACAGAAAAGTTCAACACAAAGCTCAGGAATTTTTGTAAAGATAATATAATATTTTGTAAAGATATATAACATTTTATATATAACCTTTAAAAAGCAGGTTTTATAGTCACTGTCACAGGTTAATCCTGTTTTTATACAGCTTATGTACATATAGATACTTTATATATATATATTATTAATCTATTTGTAAAGGTGGCATGCAGGAGAGAGATCTGTTTAGGCATAGCATCATCTTGATCACATCTATAATTTTCTTTTATTTTTGTCATATGTAAATATTTCTAATCACGGACTATACAAAAAAAATATATATAAAGAAAACTTCCAGAACTCTGAGCTACTAGCATTACACAAATCTTTATCCCAACGCAAAAATGCTTCAATTCAACACGTTTTATACATATATTGTTTTCGACCGCTCATGTTATCTTACAAGACCCAGTTATCCTATCAGTTAAAGATCATAAAAAGTTAGAAGAGCTGGTTGAAAAGGGCAATTTAAAGTATAACAATCTCTAGCCAAAAGTACTTATAGTAAATAATTCATTTCTCTTTGGTCCTAATCGGTCATAAATAATGTGAAAAAGATCTTATGGCAGGCAATGGGTTCAAGGGGATGTTATAGATAGGATAGTTATTATTATTTGATTTATTTAGAACGTTTTATAATGTTTAATCATTGAAATATATTTTGTATTTAATGGTTTTCATTTTTGTACAATTGAATATAGAAAACCTCTAAAAAATAGTTTTAAGATCAGGCAGGAAGGACATCAATTCACTTATCAAAACATCGATTTCTTTCCATCTCTGAAGATAACACTAAATAGGATTGGGTTATGTATGCAAAACATACATACATACATACATATATGCAGCATTATTTGTTATGGTAGAGGTTATAATATTGGTGTGGATTCATATGCTTTTTAAACATATTTTATGGTTTCTACTTTTTCGGTTGGTCACCTATTCTGGCTTTAAAACGTTCTGTTTCTTGAGTACAAAAGCACACAATTTGAAAGCGGCTATACAAAGGATTGCCATTTGTGTATGTTATCGTTGTCGTCAGCACAGCGGTGATCTCGTTGACGTTTTTCATTACTACTTTTGTTCACTTTAGTCTGTCCAACACTATAATCCTGCCTAAATATTTTTTTGTATGTACGTACGTATGTGTAACCAACAAAATCAATAACGCTGATGACCCCTGCCACCACTACCATACATTGTACCTACAGTATGAAACACATTGCTTAGAACCAATATACAAACATACTCTTGGGTGGGTGGGGGCCCCCGTTTAGTCTATGTATAAGCCCCACTTAAACCGCATATGTATACATATAGATGCATATGTATGTATGTATTCGTAGCAAAGCCCAAGCCCCGCTAACTTGCAGCCCAAAGCCAATAGAAGAATAATGCATACATCCAGTGACAGGATGTATCGTTTATTCGAATCTTTACGTACGTGTGCCTGTGCGAGTCGAGGCGATCGATCAGGATCTTCAATTTGATGTACTTGCGCTTAGGGCCCAACATAGACGAAGCTGACTTTGAGCTATGGTGGTGCTTTCTGCAGAGTAAGCCTGCTGTGTTCCGATAAGCTAATAAGCCGTCATTATGAATGCGAGTACGAATACAATGTACACACATAAAGCATTTATGTTTTGTCTGTGTATTATGGTATGAACATTGGTATCAGGAACAGAGACACTGACACAGTAACAATAACAGCAACAGTAACAGAAATAGAAACAGAAAAAGATGCAATCAATGATACTATGAACATGAAACAGGACACAGGTAAACCATACATACATATGTACAGTTACAACTACAGACAAATATAGCGGTCAAGTTACATACAAACCAAGTACAAAGGCAGGAAACGGAAAAGCCACAGAAATACTGATCCACTACTACCAATATTATTGTCTAACACATGCATACATACATATACCGAAAATGAAAACACATACAAATCAAATAATGAGACATCATGATTGCAACTCACTAAGCTCCTTCTGATCGTAACATATACATGCATACATAACATACATGAATCCCTAATGAACTTTTCAGCATTACAATTTCTCGGGTGCATGCAATAACGTTAACGTCCGGTGCGAAATGTGTACATAATGCATTTTTAAGTGTGCTATACTCACCTGCAAAAATAAGAACTCATTCGTTGGTTTTCAAAAAGATTAATCTTAATGGTAAATTCAACCTTATGATTTCAATGCAAATTTTAAACGCTACAGTCGCAAGCGCAGATCTAAGTACGCGTTATTCCATGCACCTTGTATAATTTTTCATAGTTATAGTTTAATTTCCTCTTGCCAAATTGGTTTGTACATCTAACCTAACCTAACCGCATGTGAAATACAAGAGAAAGTTCAGTCATCTTTTATCATTCCTATTAAATGTATGTATTTGCTTGAAATCATTAACTTCGTCGTATATTTCATCTTTTGTCGTCGGGCCAAAAATATTTTTTACAATTGATTTTTAGCCTTAAATTTTAATGTTGTATTTTATTGTCTGTAAATTCGTCTAGTTATGCCTAATTGTTTTTTTTTTTATTTGTTTAAGCCTTTACGAGCTTTAAATTATTTAAAACAATAACGGAAAAACTAAGATATGCATATGTCCTCGTCCTTGTAAACCTAAGCACACATTCCTGATCAGCATTGTCTGATTGTGTCCGTTTCTATAAAGTCTAAGTTATTCAATAAAAGGACTTGTAAAAATTTTATAAATACTCTTAATTATGGGTTGTTTAATTGACTATGTGACATATGCATTTTCATATTTTATTAAACTTTCGCGGTCTAAATTATTTATGTTTCTTTTAAATAACATTCTATAATTTTTAATACGGTCAATGCCAGGATATTATATGACACTTCGGCTTTTCGAAGTTAGTTGGCTTTCCACGATATTTTTTCTGTTTTTCTGGTTCTTTTTTCTTAAACATTTTAAGTTTTTTCAAACACATGCATGTGTGGGTGTGAATATACTTCAAATGACCAGGCGTATAAGTGTGTGTGTTTTTATTTCTACAAACATATATACAATTCATAACAAAATTCTTTATATTCCACACAAAAGTATATTCACAATCTGTAAGCATCTTATTAATCAAGAATCTCATTGCAACATTTCGTTTCCAAACAACAATCAACAACATCAATAAAAATCGATCGAACAAAAACAACAACAACAAAAACGAAAACGAAATTGAAAACAATTGAAAATCGGTATTTATTAAAATTGCTAAATATATTAATCCTGACCAAATCCAATTAATCGAAAAACAACCAAAAAACATTTTATCAATTCAATTACCGGGCTCTTGTATACACACTCATGCACGTTGAAATATGCCCTGTTAATAATATTAACAATTATTAAATAAATACAAATGTGCATGCGTGTGTATCGGGACATTTCCAAATGCCTTTTATACGCTTCGAATATATAAACATTCGATTGTTTATATCTACCAACCGAACCAAACTGAACCAAAAACAACCAACCAAAACCTAAACAAACCTACGAATAACATATCAACAACCACGCCCGCCCCAACATTATTACAAAACACTTGGACGTAAAATTCAATTAATTTTGCTGTGTAACGATAATAAAAACCAAATCGATAATCGAATTATGCTTATAAAAACACCCATAATCTTACGCTTTATTACACATACTTTATACCCTGGTGTGTATGCAAAATTTATAATCGAAATATAACGCATATAAATGAAATAAACAACTACAACAACAACAACATAACTGCGGGTGCCGGCGGCTTTATAGGCGAAAGACAACAACACTTAAATATGATCCACCTTACTCGAAGAAACCAATTGCGAAAAGCTACGGCGGAGCGGCAACGGCACCTAACCATCATTCCGTTGAAGAAGTCTCCCTGGATGGATCCAGCAAGTTGGTCTATGCCAACCAGACTGGTTTCAGGTGCGTATCCTTATTCGTCAGCGATCAAGATCAGGATATAGTATCCATATTTGGTATATTCATTCTCTAAATTGATATTTGTCATTCACAGGGACAAAAGCATCCACGGCCGTCGCTATAATACTGGTGGCGAGGACGATCAGTCACATGCAGGTTAATAACATTGAAAATTCCATATAATTTTTTTTATATTTAGAAATATGTGCTTAGATTTATACACAAGAAGATGTGTGCCCCCGGAGTGTTGCAGAAATCTCTTTCAATCCCTTTTAAAACGAAAGTCAAATCATATAGCTAATTAAAAAGGCTTTCAGTAACTTTTTATACCCTTGCAGGGTATTCTAATTTCAGTCAGAATCATGCAATGCAGTGAAGGAGTCATTTCCGACCCCACAAATCATATATATTTTTCATCAGCATAAACAGGAAACATAGGAAAGCTTTCCAGAGTTTATTGTGAAAGGTTTTAGACTATTTGCAATTCATTAAGATTAATTATCGATGATTTCAAGTAAATCATTGTGAAAGCTGCAATATGTTTACAGAAATAGAACGAATTCGAAATCATTGCATTATTCATTCCCTTAAAAATACTATTTGTTGGATCAGAGTTCTGCCATTCAAAAGTTTATGTAAATTCTATTTAGAAGTTAGAAGAAAAGAATATATTGAAGGAGAGATTTCAGTGACACTCCACCTGCTTGTAAGCTGTGAAATAACCAAGAAATATCCAACTCAATTGCATGGTAGCCACACAATTTGATTGCATTATCAAGGAAAATGTAAACGGTCTTGAGTGACTGAATCCGAACAAAGCTATCTTCTCATACATTCTCCGCTTGACACTCTAGAAACATGCCAAACATGTGTAATATCGACATAGTTAACTAGACTAACTGATTATAAACTAATGACTATTAAACGTTTATTGCAAGTACTCTTCCGAGCTTTCGTTATTGCAGTTACACGTTTACCATCATCGCGAGAGTCACACCATAGTAATTAGTAATCAATATAGTTCATTTGTAGTGAAAATATATGATCTTGAACCTACAAAGGGGCCTTCGACTAAATGTAAATAATATTTTTGGTTTGCAAATAATCATGCTGACTTTTCGGACCCATTTTAAGTTTTGGATAACTCTAAACATAAACTGCGATTTCCAAGGCCATTCTCCACGACTAACTATAAATCATAAATATAATGATCAAATTTCGCCTGCAACAGAAATAGGGCTATATCTAAACTTTTAACAAGATGGCTAAGAACGTAATTCACCGTTCAGATGCGGAAATATAGTATCCATCCATCTTTACGTACTTGGTTTTATGTTCCCAATCGAGTTATGATACCGATGAGGATCACACCCAAGTTTGCTTAACATGAGAATAGAGAATGTTCTTTATATCCAATTCATGATCTTCCCCAAGTGAGGAAGTCTGCAAAGTGGGTTTTTGTTACAAACCACATATTTTGGTTTAGGAAAACAAGTGTTTTGTGTTTTCGCTATTCTAAAGCCAAAATGTTTCATGCATTAAGACACTAACGAATATGTTCGAATGTTCATTTTGCGAAACAAAGTTTAAGAGTCATTCTGAGTAATCGCCGCCTCGGTAATCTCGTTTCATTCCTTACCAAATTTATATATATTCTTTTACATGTACTAACACTGCCCTCCTCTCCATACATTGCTATTGACCGGCACAGAGAAGGGTATATTAAAGAAGCACGGCTACGGTCTGGTGCACGGTGAGCAGCTGAAAGACAAGTGGGGCGACGACAACCAATCGGACAACCTCGAGCTTATTACCCAAGACGGAACCCTGGCCTCGACGAGCGGCGGCGGCGGGGCAGCTGTCTCTGAGGTGGAGCGCACGCTGAAGTCACTCAACGGCTACCACGAGGATATTCTAGAGGCGTTGCGGAACGCCGCCACGCATCGTGGCACTGGGACCGGCAACACGCCAGTCGGCAGCGGAAGCCTCAGTGAGGAGATGTTGCGCAAAACACTGCAAGACTGCAACAACGCGCAGCTGGGCTACTCCGCCGAACAGTATAAGCGTACTAGTGGATCCAAGTCGAGCTCGCGCGAGAATATCTGTGAGAATGCCGCGGTACACGCCATTATACTCGACGGCAGCGCGGCCGGGCTGAGTGGCCTGGGACTGGGGTCCAGTGTGGGCGGCGGTGGCGGATCGGCGGCCGCCATGTCCGGCGGCATGTCGCATGGCACAGCACTGCTCCACCATCATCGGTCGCAACATCAGCTGCATCAGCCGTCTGCGATGGCGTTGCAGCAGCAGCAGCAGCAGTCCCAGCAGCCGGACGAGGATGATGCTCCTTCGACTGGACCGCTGCGTATACGCAATTTGGAGGACCTAATACGGCAGCTCGAGCATCATTCGTCGCGACACATGAGCCCCAGCGGCTCCGAGGATATACGCATGTCGGAGACAGACGCCGATCGACACTATAGATTAGATAGTTCCGCCGCTTGTAGTGAGTCATCTCAAGGGTTAGTGTTATTTTTTTAATTCCGAGCTTACGCAATAGCATCCACCCCTCGCCCCCCGTCCCCCCGTAACATACCTATTACTCTCTGCTCCGAGTCGAGGACAAAACCAGCATATGCCATGAAGTAACTTAAATGTTTATTTTTAACCGTGCATACAATACACTTGAAAAAAGAACCCACACAAAAGACAATGGTCAAGTGCTGTCACTGTAACCGTAACTGTAACTGTAACCATAACTCGAAACCGTTGATTACTAGATGTTCTGACATCTGAACTGTCATGCGCTTTATAATACCTTTAATGATACAGCCACATATAGCCAATGATACTTTCGCTTCCTTAAAACCGTCGCATATACCCATTATCCTATGATACTGTATTTTCAAATATATGTACTCAACATAATCAAGTAGCGCAAGCGATTAACTAACTATTTAACTAACTAACTATTTATTGGCTTTACGTACGGTTCCCCAAGTGTTTCTAGAAGCATTCTTAATTGCAAACAATCCAGACATGCGCTTAACATACTTCCTAACATACATCTCTGCACACGCCCTCGCAAACGCATAAAGCATAACGCATAACGCATTAAGCATAATTAATTCCGCAGAATATATACTATTTAAAAAACCAATCATAATTGTAACTGTAACTGTAAACGGCCAGCTGACTTAACCATTTAAAAGCATGTAAGCTGCTACCTATTTGTACTCCAGTAACCAGTAACCAGTAACCAGTAACCAGTATCCAGTTTCCAAAAACGTTACTCAAGCCAATGCCAAAAATTCTATTCGCCTTTCTTGCAGGCTTCAGGCTGGAATACCTTGTGTGATAAAGGTTGGTTGCCCATGTGTAACACTATGAACATCTATGTATGCCACGCCTTGTGGCGCCTTACCTTACGTTACTATGTACTATGCATATGTATATGGTGCAGGGGGCGCCTCTGACTTCACCTCCTCTCTCTATTCGCATGATCACACTCGCATCCGCATTCGCATACGATGCTCCTCACTCTCATGGCCAGATCTGGGTCCCAAGCTCCACCCTAGCTAGTCTTTCTTTCCAAGTCCACCCATAACACAGCTGATTGTGATTGCCAAACGATTGTCTAACTCTACTCTACTCTCTATATATCCCCTATATATGCGCGCGCCTATAGCTCCAATCAGCAACTAGCACAATCTCAGAAAACAGCTACAATTCATCCGTCTTACAGCAGTCGGTGTCGTCCCCGATCCGATGACGAGTCCAGATTCACATTCGGCGGACGCTACCGACAGCCGGCAGCTTCTTCGGGACGGCACGCGCCGCATCAGTCCCACTCACCTCACGCATTTGGACACCACACGCATCACTCCCATGCCCACGGACATGCCACGCACGGTCCACACTCGTCGCATCACTCCTCGCACACCCATTTGCATCAGGAAGATGAGGGCATTTATGAGACCGCTGATCAGCATGAACGCAATATAGCCGACGTTCGGCTCGACTGCCAAGTGACACCAGATAGTGAAAGGTAAGTCAGTCTCAATCCGTCTTCCTTTCCGTCTGTTCGTCCCCAGGCCGTTAGTTAGTATTATTCTGTGTTTTCTGTGTTTATCCGTAATGCCCCCAACTTCCTGTCACATTTAATTGTTTGTTTTTCGGTTTATTATTTTACCATATAAGAATTCATTCTGGGGATTTGAAATCTATGGATAGAGTGTCTTGAAGTATGCACTGAAATGATAATAGAACCTACAGGAGGCGCTTGACACCCATAAAATATGGTTTTCCCAGATAGGGAGTATCAAAAATATAACTTTGGCTTAAAAATATATTACAAATTAAATATTACATCATAAGAGAGCCAAAACTTTAAAGTAAGAAAGGACCTGAATATAATCATACTCTCATGCCTTTATTTTATTGCATACTTTTGAAGGACTCTTCGATTGATATCAAATCCAGTGGAATTTTCTATCATAACCATATATACTCGTCTAAGCATGTCCATTAGCTCATTTAAAGGCACACAAAAGTCTTCATCTCTCTGTTTTTAAGCCATCTGGTTTAAGCACAGACCAATTTCTGTTGCAGTTAGTTCTGGAATTGAACCTCTATAACTAAAGCTAAACTGCAAAAGGGTAACCCTTGAATGTCGCAGTTTTTAGACACTTAGTACACATAGTATATGTACAGATGTATAGGTTTGCTCTAGCTCTCCTCTTTTTAATTATTTATTTGATTTGCGTAATGGACCAAGCACGTTTCCCGTTCCACTCTTAATATATTATCCCTCCTCCGCCAGATCCCATCTCCTTGTCAATCCCAATCCAACTTCCCTATGGCCTTGCGTTCTTACCATGTACCGTTGTTCCTGTTACGATTATTATTTTCTAGTGATGACTTTATTCAAGCTCAACAACAGTTAGCCCGGTGGGCGAGTGAGGATGTGGTATCCGTCGTGGTATTGGATCAGCCGCCATCCGGTACAATGTCGGATTCCCAACCATACAGCGGCGCCGGACTCATATCGGCGGGGGCTACAATGAACAACGTTATGCACCATCAGCATCCACATCCACATCAGCACCACGGCGATCATCATCAATCCTCCGCAGCGGCAGCGGCAACGGCGGCGGCAGCCAGCCACTCTATGATGGGTTTACCAATCGTCCCAAATGGTATAAGTGCAACTCAGAGGGACTTTTATCCCTCGCCGCCGTCAACGGAGACGGAAAGCAGTGGAAGTGCTATCCAGCCACCGCCGCCGCTCACACGACGCACAGACACGGCGGCACTAAGTCAGCAGCAGCAGCAGCAGCAAATGCAGCAGCTCCACCAGCTGCATCAGCATCAGCTTCAGCAGCAATTAGGCGATACCAGCAGCAGCAACAACAGTCAGTCCGGACAGGTCATCGAGAATGGCTGTTACCCGGAATATAAGCATTGATAGAGTGTTACCACTTTCGCACATTTGCACATCCGCCGCATTTCGCGCATAGATCAATGATCACAGATCTGATCGACTGATCACCTGATCGTTTGATCACCGGATCACTTATGCCAAACTCAGCCAAGTGTGTAGCTAGATTTCCGCTAATATTGGCATTTGTATCGATCTTTATAATTACTTTAGCATAGTTATATGCTTTGCTTCAGATACACTTGTGTATGGTGGGCATACTTACATTTAATGGTAGACTTAATGTAAATGTGAAAGAACAAGTTAACGTTAAACAAACAGAGCGAAGCAAAAGCAAAGCAAATGAAATTAGTTTAAGTGAACAACAAACAACAAAAAAAATAACAACAATGATGAGTATTACTATGTATGAGTGATAGATACATACTTATACACTACTCATAGTTTTATACACACACACACGACAAAGGACGGTAATTAATAAGTAAGAGAACATCCAAAATTTGTATTCGTTGTATTCTTGCTTACACATAATACAATACTTAGATACATGCCTAAGGGTATATACATAAAACGAGAGAAAAATAAGTAAAAGCAAAATTGGGATATTAATTTTTTGTATACCTCGGACCAAAGCCAATGCCACGTTCGAGTAGGAAAATAAAAAATAAATCAATTTATTTGCAGATGTAAATAAGACAAGAAAATGTAAGCAAAAAAAAGAGAACAAAAACAGCAAAAGCAAAAGAAATGATATATGTACGATGATAGTTAGTAAATTTTACGACTCTTTGCAAGACGCAAGTGGGGATCTTGAGCATTTCCCTGGTCACGACGGATAAGCGGCAGGAAAAATACAATTGTGCACCGGGCCCAGCCCGGGCTTTAAAAAACCCCCTTATTGGGGCCATCTTACACCGACTGATAGAAAAATTTTGGGCAATATTGCCAGTTCTCGTTCAATAATCTTTAAAAACTCAAAAAGTCAAAAATGAAAATTAAAGCGGAAATATTAACAATCTGAATGGTTAGGGTATGAGTATTATTAAATGTATGAATATGATTACACATAAAATTAAGTATAAAGATAATGTTAATTTAAAAGGTTTGGAAATATCAGTAATATTGTATCGTATTGTACCGTAAATTAAGCCATTTAGAATGAAACGTACGAATTAAATGATTTTCCAGCTTTACAAACCTGTGTTTTATTGGGTGGGGTGGATCTGGAGTGGAGCTGCTGCTGCCTTCTGTGCGATTAGTGCTTGAAATCAAGCAGATGCTGAATTTGAACTGGTCGTCTACTTAAATTTGACGGTTTAATGCTGTTTTTGTTATTGTAATCTCTATTTAGACTGTTATTGCCAAAAACCAGACAATTTCAGTACAAATTCATTAATTTCTCGATCTGAAGTACCAGGCGAACAGAAATCGCAGAAAGCTGATTAATTTTGGTACAAGCGCCATTAGGCGGGAAACGGTCGTCTATTTAAATTCAAATTCAAACTTGTCAAACTCTAATTTGGCCGTTGATCAAAATTCGAATTCAAATTTGGCGGTTGAATAAATATCTTGTTTTTGTTATTGTAATCTCTAAGTTGTTGTTGTTGAAAAATTGTTTTTTTTTTTTGTTGTTGTTGTTGCCAAAAACCAGGCATCAATTTGGACAATTTCAGTACAAATTCGTTAATTTCTCAATCTGAAGTAACAGGCGAACAGAAATCGCAGAAAGCTGATTAATTTTGGTACAAGCGCCATTAGGCGGGAAACGGTCGTCTATTTAAATTCAAATTCAAACTTGTCAAACTCTAATTTGGCCGTTGATCAAAATTCGAATTCAAATTTGGCGGTTAAATAAATATCTTGTTTTTGTTATTGTAATCTCTAAGTTGTTGTTGTTGAAAAATTGTTGTTTTTTTTTTTGTTGTTGTTGTTGCCAAAAACCAGGCATCAATTTGGACAATTTCAGTACAAATTCGTTAATTTCTCAATCTGAAGTACCAGGCGAACAGAAATCGCAGAAAGCTGATTAATTTTGGTACAAGCGCCATTAGGCGGGAAACGGTCGTCTATTTAAATTCAAATTCAAACTTGTCAAACTCTAATTTGGCCGTTGATCAAAATTCGAATTCAAATTTGGCGGTTGAATAAATATCTTGTTTTTGTTATTGTAATCTCTAAGTTGTTGTTGTTGAAAAATTGTTGTTTTTTTTTTTGTTGTTGTTGTTGCCAAAAACCAGGCATCAATTTGGACAATTTCAGTACAAATTCGTTAATTTCTCGATCTGAAGTATCAGGCGAACAGAAATCGCAGAAAGCTGACTAATTTTGGTACAAGCGGCATTGGGCGGGAAAACGTCGACTATTTAAATTCGAATTCAAATTTGACGAACTGGCCGTTAATCAAAATTCTAATTCAAATTTGGCGGTTGAGTAAATATGTTGGTTTTTTTATTGTAAGCTCTAAGTTCTTGTTGTTGTTTCACTCAAACTAGCCGCATCATCTCAAATGAGTGAGAGAAATGGCTTGAATTTTGTCTGAATCGAATATCACAAAAAAACGAACGGTTGCTTGGCCGATTTTTGGGAAATTTATGTTGTTTAACAATGTTTTTGTTGTAAATGTAAAAAGTTTTATTTTAGCTCGGTAGCTGGGAGTTTAGGCTTATATATGTACAGAAATTAGGACTTTTTTGCTTTACTGTATACAATCAGTCTCGTTTTTATGTTTTATTCACTTCAATTATATATACCCATAATTATATGTATATAATTGGTTTATCTACCAATGTATATATATGTATATATTTATTCATATATATGCATTTCTTATTAACCATAGGAAGGGATGGGTGAATAATGTAACCGTTTAAAGGTTTACAATTAATTACAATAAATCGGTAAAGGATAAGAAGAAATCGTGTTGGTAAATCCTTTAGAGAAAGTAAAAAAAAACTTGTAAATCTAGTTAATTAAAAAATAAATGACTTTATAAAAACTATCTTAGTAAAATATCGCTGGATATAGCAAGCGTTGACATCGCTGCTCAAAATGTCACATCTTTGAGTTCATTTTGAGCCTGCGCCTGCATTTTGCACGTTTGTGTCCTTCGGGAGGACAGGGCATTCCTGAGACAGTGTTGCTGATGCTGGTGATGATGTTGTTCCACGGAGTCGGATGGCAAAGATGGTATTACTATTTTGGAAGGCCTTGGCTGCTGCTGGTACTGATGCGCTTCGTGAATCTTCAACCGGCCTTGATAATATAATGCTGCTGATGTCTGTTGGGGCGGCGGCGGGGGCGGCTCTATGCTCACAATAAACGGCTGCAAGTTTTGGCTGTGCTCCTTGAAAATGGCCTCCATGTGTAGCATGCAATCCTGCAGCTGATCCTAAACGTTTATACATTATCAATCGCATGTTTATTACCACATATTTCTTCTTCCTAAATATAAACACTCACTTGCTCCACGCTGGTCAAGTCTGTCATCAGGCTTAAAAGAAAGTGTAAATTATGTCCTGAGCATAGATGCCACTTGAGGCCATTCATGGAGGCCGCTATACTTGATGCAGCTATTGTGCTGGCCGAGTACTTGGCAAATTTATGTTCTTTCAAATACAAATAGAATGTGAATATTTATTAAACACAGAGCACACGGTCCTTACCTTTTGCTGCCAGCGATATAAATGCCTGGGCATGTCCCCTTATTTTTCCAATATTAATGTCTGGGAAGTTTTTTCGTTTTATGGGCAAACGCATTAATAACAGCTCAAGAAAGTCTAAAGGAGTCACCGAAGAAAGATCCCAGCCTAAACGGCTCAGCACATACAGCTCCCACTTCTAAAAGGCGAAAAGAAACATTAAATATAATTAAGTAGAAGCTATGGGGACCAAGACAACGCCTTTTGTTCCATAATAAACGCGTACTTACGATCAAATCATCCTTGTATATACTGTTGTCCGTATAAACAACCAGCAAGTCCACGGACAAGGCATACGAGCTGGGCTCGCGCAGCTTTGAAGCAAGTAAGAGGCAGGCAGCCGCTAGAATCTGAAGATGAGTTTTTCGCACAGATTTGCTAGACAGAAATCGATCCATGTAATTTATTGCCAATAGGACGACCTCCTCCTGGCATTTCTCTTCAGCACACACCTGAAATATATTGGATTTAATATAAAAGAGTTTTAAACGGAAGAGTACTCACCTCCATCATCCACTCGGCAACTATTTTTCGCATCGCTGGCGTTATATCCTTTTGAACAGTTAAAAAATACGTATCGACAATTTGGTTGTGCTTCTCCTCAGCCTTCAACGCATTTTCCAGACATCGATCAGTGAAAAACGTCGGATCCCCGATGGCCATGTTAACGCTGACAGGTGCGGAGGTCGGTTTACCCTGCTGCCTATCCAGATGATGCTGCAGTGCTGTCGTTCTTTCTTGTGCGGAATGGGTAACCCGTTGCAGAGAAGGTGTCGTCGCAGCAGGTTCGAACTGTTCTTGTTGTTGGCGTTGATGTTGTTGAGGAGGAAGCGGCAGCAGCGATTGAGTTTTTGGTGTGGTGGCTGAAGATTCTACGTCCACGGATGCATAAATATACACATAGTCCTTCATCTGGCATAAAACTGCATTGGGGGACAAGTTTGCTGGACTCTCAACTGCGTCGGCGTCTGTATCTACATCGGCATCCACATCACTATTAGTTGGAGCGCCGAAAGAGGAGCACTGGGACGTGGGTTCACTTCGCGCATCCAAACCCATATTTCGTTGATGTTTGTTCAAATGATACAAAGTCGAATCAGATTCATAAACTATGCTCTCAGAACAGAAAAGATCCATTGTCCTTGGAGACAATTGGGGCCGGCGTTTAACCTTTAATGATTTCCATATATTTATTAGATTATATGCACTAGATTTTATATTTGTGTGACTTAATATACAAATGAATTTAAAACTTGCAAACATCAAGCCAAAACTACTAGGCACGAGGATCACCAACAAGTCGATCGGATATGTTTTACATTAAGTTTGTATTTGTACAATACATTAAAGGATTTATCGAAAATTGTGTGTCTATATGTGTATAACCATGTGAACTTCAACCTGATTTCGATCGTTTTCATTTAGCAATGTTCGCCATTGTGTGGTTTTTTTTTACACTTTTTGTTTACACTTGATCTTGTACAATATCTCTACTACTCTTTAAGGTCTCGCACAATCAAACACATCCACGAAATATTCGGTGTGCCAACTGTAAAAGTACTCCTTTGTTTTGGGCTGATCACAATTCTTTTATTATTGCTGTTATGACAAGTGCGTATGTACATACGTAAATGTATGTGTGTAAGCCTTTTCTGTTGATCGTGCATTTCAAATGAAAACCGTAAACTGAACCCAAAGACTTCACATTTTGTGCTCTGCCAGACTGGAATGCGATCTAAATATTTGTGTCCATCTCTTATATCTTTCACAAATATATAAAACGTATACATTTATATGTAAAAAGAAAAAAACTGAATTACACATACATATATGTTATGATCAGTTAGTTTCGCGATTCGTACTCTGCATGGTAGGATGACACTCAGACCAAATTAGTGTAATATACAAATACCAACCAACATACGTTAAATTACTGTCATGTTACGGTAACGGCAACTTGCACAAAATTAATAAAAATATTATTTTTACAATTAAATAATTAAAAAGAGCAAAAGACTCTAAGTCGCACACGTTTAACACCTAACCGGCGTGGATAAAGCATCGATATGAGCTCTGCCGATTAATCTATTAAAAAATACTAGTTCTGAACTGCTGTCGGCCGTGTTATATACCTTGCACACTAGACGTAGTGGAGAAGTCGCACAATCAACTGAAAACAAATCGATAACTTGAAAAACAAAAGAAAATAATATTTTTAGGGCAGTTACCCGAATTTTAAGTAATGTTGGTGGAAGAAACAGCACCTAAAGACACTCACCAAGTGTTTTCGGTGGATGCGGTGTTTCATATCTTTCGAAAATTAAATGGTTTCACCGTGACGGGCAATGTGAAAATGTCGCATTTGGTAGTACATGACTGAAAAGAAAATAAATAATTAAAAGAAAAATTAAATATACAGGAGAACTGGTCTTTTCTTTTTGGTACTTGGAATGTGTTTCAGATGAAATAGCCCACTAAAAAGAAAACAAAGATTCGATAACAACATAATTTGACGTGAGTACCTTCACTTACAAAAAATGGCATTTGCTCGCAGCTGTTGGTCACTCTGATTTTGTAACTGCAATGAGTATGTATATCTATTTACCAATTAATGAGTGTAAATCGTGTCGTTAAAAAAAACTTATTTTTGTGTCATCGCGGGCAAGAATAACGTATAAATATAGAAAAAAATATAGAGAATTAAATGCGCTTGTACTTTCATGTGTGCAAAGCATGTAAAGACCTATGAACTGCAAGTGAAAATATATTGGCAATCTAATATGTAACATATGTACACATGTACATACATACATATACATATATGTATGTCATTTTGTCCTTTTTTATTTATGTAGCTTCGGAAAAATAGATATTGACAGAACATTTTGATGTGCAGTATTAAGCAAAAGATATTGACTTTTTCTTGCCAACAAATTGAGCAAGGACAAGCTAAATGTGGTGCAAACGTCAGAAGAATCTATAATTGATTTAAAAACAACAAAAGTCCTTGAAAAAAAACCATCTCAACCCATTGTGGTTATAGGTGTCCAATAAGTTTTATCGGTCTCTCATGAAAACGAACTTTAAAGAATCAAAAACAAAATACAATCGGGATTAACAAAAAATGGCTTTGGTTATAAGGGATCAGAAAATTACAAACCGAAGAACTTAGCTATTATGAAATACGATACTGCGCAGTCCGAAGAATAATAACTAAAAGCGAACTTTACAACAACTAGTGTCAAATGCTACATATATTCTAGAAAAACGAAAGTAAATTGGAGAATTATAGGTAATTTTGGTACAGCAAATTAAATTGGATGCCATGTCGTCTACTTCATCGATTGAGACACCAACAACTCCTACTACTCCAACACAGCAGCATCAGCATGAACAAACTACTACGGCTATTGTAGCTAGTCAACAACAGAAGCGAAAATCGCAAAATGCCAAAGGTTCTTCTTCAAATACACATTCGTCAGCGACGTCACCATTAGTAACTGAAAATAGTTTTGTCATTGCTCAAGCCCAAGCGCTTTTGCCGTCCTCATCGTCATCTACCAACTGCACAGACACTATTGCAGCCGTACATCAGCAGAAAAGGTCCTATTCGTTGGTAAAGAAGCAACCATCTTTACGATATCAGGGGAAACAGATTCAACTCCTGTCCAATTCCCAATCCACAATGACATCTTCAGAGCCGACGGCGGGCCATCGCTAGCTAATGACGCATCCGCGTCCATCCTTAGTCCACCAGATGTTTCATCACACTGCTGCACCAATATAAAGGCTAATATAACTCCATTAACATCACAGAAGATGCACAGAACTATTCCATCTGATAAAGTGAGTTTTTTTAATATAAAGATTTAATTTTCATTTATATTAATTATTAAGCTTTTCCTTCATTTCATGCCCTGAAATGTCACACAATTGTGTCGAGTATTCCAAAGGATATTTCTTTAACTACGATTTACTTAGTTCAAGCAATATAAAGGACACTCTGAAAACACCGAATACTTATTGGATCTTGAACGCTGCTTTCCCCAAAGCTATATTTTTTCTTGTCAAATGCAAATGTATTTTGTTTTTAAGTGTAATTTAAGCTGGATTTGAGCCGCTGAATTGTTTTTCCAATAGTTGTCGATTAGCTTGTTTTTATATGTTCTCAAACTCTATAGTTAGTCACAAATAAATACTAATAACATACAACGACTTTTCTTGTTTTCAGATTAACCTACGCCTAATTCTCGTTAGTGGTAAAACAAAAGAATTTATATTTAACCCATCAGATTCCGCAGGTGATATTGCACAAACAGTATTCGATAATTGGCCCGAAGGTAAGTACACCTAGTAAAAGCACTAATAGTTTAATTAGTGCTATTTAATATAAACCTAACCGTGTATTCTTCCATAGATTGGACCCGAGAAGCTGTATCGAAAGCCGATATATTGCGTTTGATTTATCAAGGACGATTTCTTCATTGCAATGTAACCTTAGGAGCACTGGGACTTCCATTAGGCAAAACGACTGTTATGCATTTAGTGCCACGTGATAATTTGCCAGAACCCAATTCACAAGGTATATTTTAATCAACCCAAATACTTGTATATAATGTGTGTAAGACAATTGCATAATATTTATGTGAATTAAGTAACGATATAATTAGGATATGTTGTTCCCTTAAATGTATTTTGGCCGTTTTAGGAAGACTTTCATACGTAATCTTTTTTAGAGTTTCTTTTACAAAAACAAGCTATAATCTTTTAAGAAATCATTATTGACCATATAAATCATAAATATTCTTGAGTCAAGTAGATCTAGCTTTGTCTGAATTTTAAAAATTTGTAAATGCTGTATGCAGATTTGTTACTCTTAAAAGAACTAGCACAGAACAGCTTTCCGAATTGAAATTGATACATTTTTGGCTTAGTTATGATATTTAGTAACCCGACAAATCAGTCCGCTAAATGACTCTTACCAAAATTATTCAGCTTTCTGCGATTTCTGTTCGCCTGGTACTTGAGGTCGAGAAATTAACAAATTTGTACTGAAATTGTCCAAACTGGTTTTTGGCAACAACAAAAACAACTGTCGTCTTATAACAACAACGTAAATCCTATAAAATATACATAAGTCCTAATTTTAACAATGCCATACTAATTATCTGATTTTATCTTTTGTAGATCAAAGACAAAACAGTAAAGGCGGTTCCGGACGATGCTGTTCAACAAATTGCTGTATTTTGTAACTAAATTACTATTATCTGCTAGCGTAATATTTAAATAAATTAAAAATAAAACTAACTAAAGTTAAATTTTTTGTGCAGTTAAATGTATATTTGAACTATGAACATGAATGTCTCGATGAACACAAGGCTTCTCGCTTTACCTAATTATGTATATACAATATGTATTTTAAATATGTACACAGACAGGAATTTAAAGGCGTCATCGAAATGCGTATACTCTATGTTGTATTAAAGTTGCTAGACTGCAAAATTATAACTTGTAATATACAAAATATAACTTACGAATAAAACGCTACATATTTTTAGAAATCAGACTTGAGAAGCTAATTAGAAAAAAATGTATTCACGAATGTAAAACAAAAAATAAAGAAAATAGAAAGAAAAAGGAAAACTAATTAACCGCACAAAAGAGATACTTTTACCGTTTGCTTTGCTGATTTTCAAGCGTACGTTTAACAGAATAATAAATTCCGGTAATACTTATTATGTACACCAGCCAGATCGATTTTTGTTCACACAATTTAGATATTCAAGACATTTTTTTTTGTACATACACACATATTTAATTAGACCCTAAGTGTTTTCTTCTGTTAAGTTTTAAAATATTCTCTGTAAAGTCTAACTTAAAGCCAATACTAAATAAATAATCCCATATACCCTCAAAGCGTTTTGTTGAAGTTGCATGTGACTGTGTAAGTAAGGAATGGACGGAGAAGAATGAGTTCACGAGCTTGAAGAATACTGGCCTACAGACGGAAGATGGGAGTGCCCCACTGCCCCCACTGCAAGGCAGCAAGCGAATAGGATACCACGGTGCACTTGTTATGCAACTGTTAAGCGTGGAATCAAAGCACACCAGTTATATCAGGGGAAAAGCAATCAGTTATTCTAGTTTTCTAAGGTTAACGGACTGGTATTAAAGTAACACCGCTAACAACAACCAGCTGAGGGTTTGGTGCAAAAAGGACCACAGCTCTGATTGGAGATTATCAGGAGGAACCTCTGCACTTATACCAAGCCTAAAGGGCAGGTATTCGCTGGTCAAAGAAATAATAAAAAAAATTCGTACGATTTATAATTATTATTTTATACGTTGGTTTACCTAATCGATTGATTTATGTGGTACTCTTGGAGTGCGTTCGATTCTTCGATCCCGCATGAAAAATAACCTCTCTCGAAATGAAGAAAGGTAGGCAGGTAGAAGTAGAGACTCCGAATAGAGCTGAGCTCTTTTAAACAACCTTGATAAATATTAAAATACAAATGTATGATATATAGTACTTATTTATTAAGTTATTCATGTAATGCTAAAATTAATATATATTTTCCGGGGTTATATAGAAAGAATTTGTTCTTATATTTTGCATGTAAGTTTTACAAATTAGACCAATTATTTATTGTTTACTTGAAATGGGGAACATTTTTACTCTTCTGTTGTGGCTATTTAGGACATGACAGCTTTTTTAAACATATATTTAATTTGTGAAATCTTGGCGTATTTTTTAAAGCGAAACAAAATTATGACACACCTATTCGAAGTTTTATCTTTTGGCGGAAGAAAGTGACTTGCGTACAACTAATGTATTTAAATTTGATCGAATTATTTAAAAAAAAATAAAATACTTGACTAAATATAGCTTCAGAAATAAGACATAACAACAGATCAAGAAAAAAAATGCACCGTCTATCGCTTTAAATGTTGTTTATGAATAGTAATAATTGATTTTTCGACTTTGATGACATTTTGTTATTCGTTAAACTTCATATACATCGTATACATTGGATAAATTTCATAATGTTCAAGTTAAAAATTTCATACAGATTTTAGTAAACATTGTCGTATACATGCTGTACTGTGTTGCCACAAATAAACATCATGGTTTTTTCATTTTTTCTTATTTTTTTTTTTAGTTTTTTAATAATTTAGGTCATTCAAGCTGGGTGGTGCAAATGTTTGCTGGCTCAAGGGTCAACCTCTGATAAAAAATACTCGTTTAATATTTAATATAATACTACAAATATGCTGAAAGGTCGCATTAGCAAAAGGGCAAAAGAAAATAAAAATATTTTTCAATACGGCATCATAATTCGGAATTTCAGCTAGCTTTTCTCACTAAGCGATCGGACATGATTTATAGAGTCTGTTGGGCTTTCCTAGTAGCTCCAACTGTGGCAACTATTCGCCGGGAAACCCTGCTTTTCGTTGCCAAAGGAATGTCTCGGCTACACTTTTGATTCAATTTCAATATAAAAGGCTTTATGCGTTAAAAAAAAAGGTTTACATTTGCACCACGCCCTGAATTACTCTACGATTTATATAGGTATATGCAATTTACGTATATATCCACAAATATAGGTAAATAGAAATTGATTTTAATATAAGCGGGATGCATGTACCAATGCTTAAGAAGGTGCGCATTTAATTATTATTATATATTTTAGTCGTATACATTATTGGATAGACTGCTAACCTTGTTGTCAATACAGACTCACACCATACACGCACGGACGTAGCACAACAACACCACAAGCAGTCATTAGAAAATATGTATGTATGTACGTATGTATATTGTTATATGGTGCTATCCTCAGGGACTTAGGTCCTGGTGGAGGTTGGGATCGTAGCCGCCCATGCTGTTGTCATACGGCTGCTGCTGATCGTAGCCGCCGGAGCCCATCGGGTAGCCCATTGAGTCCTGCGGCGGGGCGGGTGACATCATCGGTGTGGTGGTTCCACTTGGCGGTCCGGCCATTGAATATGGCGAGGCGCCCGCAGCCTTCTTGGCCGCATACAAGTTGGCCTCCTCCTGGGCCTTGCCGATATTCTTCTTGTAGCGAATTCGCTTGTTGCCAAACCAATTGGATACTTGAGAGACCTGGAGAGGATTGGGACTTGTGCTGTAAGCAATATAATATGACCTTCTATGTATAACTAACTGTTATTCCGCACTTTCGTGCCAGTTCCTCTTTGGCCTCCTCGGATGGATAGGGGTTGCTCAAGTGACTATAAAAGTACTCATTGAGAATCTCCGATGCCTGCTTGCTAAAGTTGCGGCGCTTGCGACGCGCGTCCAGGAAGCGCGACCGAAGGATCATAACAGCCTCGCAGGTCGACTGCTTTAGCTGCATTTGTATGGAACTGAACTTCTTGTGAATGATCTGAACCATGCGTTCGATCTCTTTCGGTGTAATGGGTCTACAAAAAAAAACCGCCTAATATTGCACTAACCTTCCCATTTTCTTAGCTAGGCGAATCTCTTACCTGGTGCGACTTTGTTCGCGCAAAAGGTTCATAACGTGAGTGGTAAACTCGTTGCATGCCTGTTCGTATTTCTCCAATTCCTGATGATATATCTGCCGAATCTGTGCCAGCTTGGCACGGTAGTCGGAATGCTCTATGGCATTATCAGCCCCATCTATTGACAGAGATCCGCCCTGACTAGCTGCCGCAGCAGAAGCTGCTGCTGCGCCACCTCCTCCCTTTTCTGGTCCTGCAACGCCTTCGGCAATCAGCATGTTGTCCAGGCGCATCAGTTGCGGATCTGGAGGCTCCTCCTCCTGAGTGTTGCGAATTGAAAGGACTGTAAACGAAATCATATAATAGATTATAATAAATGAACAATTATTCAAAGAGACTGCAGGTAGGGCTCATTTATGATTCATAATAGGCAAATATAAACCCTGTTTTATTCGCTTTCATAAAAAAATCGAACAAGTGAGGTGACTTCAAAAATGGAGTAAATTAAGATATATTGAAATATTTACGTACCGGTTTTCTCTTTAATTTCACACAGCACCGAAAACAGGGCTGGCTTCATACGATGACAGTTAAGCGTATGCTTTCTAGCTTGTGCCTCGTCCAGCGACTGTTCCGAAATGCTCATGATTTGTTGCAATATCTCGCCGATGTCCTTTTGCTTGCGCACTTCGTTCTCGCTGCCAGTATTTTGGCCATCATCCTGACCGGACAGACCATAGCCCTGTGGTGCCATCATGCCACCAGTGTGGCCAACATCCGATTGGGATCTTCCATTCCGCTGTAACGAAAAATTATTCATTAAAAATAGCTTAAAAAGTACCACCCGTTTTTTATTTCCATTTACAAAATTTCAATATTTCATTTTTGCTGATAAATGCAAGTATTTATTAGAGCTGCTACTAGGGAGCACTAAAACGATGTGTATCTAAGCCTTTACATATATTTTAATGGGATAAAATACGAAACACACTTGTCTATAGTACACGCTTAGGTGCGTCAAACATAATATCACAAGTAGTTCAATTTCCTTATCGTAAATGTTAAATGCTGCCAAAATTGACTACGAATACGCGACATAGGTACATATGTACATACAAACATACAGCTGCACATATGAACATACATCATAGCCTATGGTGAATGTCTGTGTCTCAGGTATTCCGCCGAGAACCACCTATTTATGCAAGTTTAAAATGCACTTCACTCCTATCTATATAGAGGTATATGAACATAGATAGAATGTATGTACGTTGGTTTCTCCAAAGAGTAAACTAACAAAGGAAAAAGCAACACGGGACGTATTAAAAAAAAAACAGTATACACATACATACATACACACACAAATTAATAAACACATGCACAACATGTGTATGTAAATTTAAATACATGTGGGTTTTGCGGATGCCTAAACATATTGTTTTTCATCCAAATACTGAGAGTGAAACGCTGGAACAATTGTTGTTTTTAATTTGTTGTATATATACATACATTCACACGTACATCAATATTTTAGTCGTAAAATATGTATACCAGTAATTATATGCGATTCAATGCCGGACTTACACTTTTCCCCAATGCGATCCGCGTTTTTAATATTCGCGCAACAACTTAGTAAAGCTAGTAAAGTTTTAAAAAAACTGTTTAAGTTTAGCACAAACGTTTGCCGTTGGAACTACAATTTTTTTCGATGCAACTCAAAGAAACTATGTTATGTATACGCAGAAAAAAATTGATATGACAAAGTTGGAGCAAACTATCGGCATGCACGCTATCGATATATTTGACATCGATTAAGCCGTGTTTTCTATCTATGAAAAATCGATTACCGATAACGATATTTTGAATCGACTTCATATATATATATACTTTTAGCCAAGTATGTTTGGCTGAGTTTGTTAGTCGTTTTCCCAATATTTCGCTTTTTACGCACAAGACACTTTTTTCCTTGGCTTTCAAATTGACACTACACATTAAGCTTCGAAACTGTTAAAAATAAGATTCCAAAAAATCTAAAAAAAAGATATAAATCAAATGAAATAAATTTGTTGTACTGATACACATTGCATACCGTTATTACCGTTATTACTCTACTATAACTTTTAAGGTGAGTGCAAATTTTGTCCTTAAACTTAAACACATTTTGATATTTGAGGAGTTGACTTATGATTATCTACTTGGATAATCAAATCTGTCGTAAGGCTGCGCGGACATTCATATGTATAAACGTCGTGCAATATCCTGTTGCCAACCAGATAATCGACCAGCCCACCTTGCATATATGTGTACATGCGTACATACAAGCGTACATAACGATTACTCAGTAGGTATTTCTTTTTCATTTTTAGGTCAAACTGCACTGCAGACGAAGATTCGTCTATATTATTCGCAATAAGCTACAATGATTGTCAGTTAGATGATATTACATGAAATATAAATCTCGAATTCCCCTTTGGCTTGGCGGAAAAAGAAAAAAGGGAAGCTCCCACAATGACAACTACCAGTATGTGCCGAAGGATGTCCTCGGCAGCGGCATCGTTGCCTCTGGAGGCGAAGGAAGCAGGAATGACCACAGCGGCCTCAACCACCAGGTGTTTAGAATACTCATCTCCGGCTACATCGGTTATTTGTGAGGAAGTATTTGACGAAGCCTGTTTTCCATCACAAGAGGGTAAGTTACATATATTTCTGATAAGTATATCCATATAATGAAGGATCAATTTCGAATTTACATACATTGTATTATTCTTCCAAAAATTGTTTAAACCCTTACTTCTTGTTGGTACTTTGATAATTATAATATAACCATTTAAGTTTTTATTGCGTAAAATATTCGCCTTAAGAAAACCTGCCTAAAATAATTTAATTTTTTAAATCAATATTATTATATGATCATTGTTTTGACAACTTCAAATTTAAAATATCACGACTTAGCAAAAAATCTCTTAATTTGTATTCGGAAACCTTTTCTGTGCTAGTTCTTACTAGCTTAACAAATCTTCATACCAAGCTTACAAATTTGAAAGAATCTAAATTTTTACATTTTTTACAATTTTAACGATGTAACCCCTTATAAAATTAAAAAAAAAAGGGGAAACAATTTTTTTCTCCCGAACTTTCGATGCTGATCAAGAATATATACGGTTTATAGGGTCGGAAATGACTCCATCACTACGTTACAAGCTTCTAACTAGTAATAACGAGTTATTTTATTCTAAGAATGTTAATTATTTAAAATGTTCTCTATTGAAATAGTCATAATCATACATAATATGATTGATCAATAAGTAATTAACGTGTTTTATTCAATACATTTTAATAAGCGTGTTCCTTATATTAATAGTGGTGGGTGGTAACCTTAGTTAGTTTTTTTCATTTTTTGTCAAGGCACCCCTAACCATAAAAACACCCCCTACTTTAAGGGTTGAAGTAATTCCTTTCGCTTATAGAACAATTTTGAAGGGGCATTCTTTAGGATACAATATGATTTCTTTTCAACTTGGGATAGGAATACCAATCAAACTATTCATATTTTTCGCTTAGAAATCAATGACTATGCAACTCTTATTGGAATCGAGCCTCAAGGAGAACAGCATTTGCTTTATCTGGCCAAGGAAGGCCTAATGGCCGCCTTGCCTTCAGACTGGAAAATATGGTAAGATGATTAACTAATTCACTTTGCATTTCATATTATATTTATCAATTGGCAGCTACTCGGAGGAGAAGAATGGTCACTACTATCATAATACGCGCACAAAGGAGTCACAGTGGGATCATCCACTCGATGCCATATATCGCGGTCTGGTCGAGCAGACGCGTCAGAAATTAGCAGCCGAGGGAGGAGCAATGCCGCCTTGCATTGACAACTCTGACGATCTGTCACTATTGGATTCCGGCATACGCAGCATGCAGGGTATCGACGAGATTCCGTCTCCGTCTCCCCTGCCATCGCCCCTGGGCAATCTGAGCAAACAGCTATCCCTGACCAAACTGGTTCCAGCCGCATCCAATGCGTCGACGCCTCGTAAGCTTGGAAGCGTCTCAAGTCGGTTCCTAGACCTGGCAAAGTCTAGGGTCCAAGGCGGCGCGGTATTTAAAAAGACAACAGAGTCATCGTCATTGAGCAAGAAACTCGAATACTTCGAGAGCAACGCCGAGTCCCTGGGAAAGGTACGTAAGGGATTCGGCCCAGTGTCGTATCAAAAAACTGCTGCTGCTGCTGGTCGACCATTTGATTTCGATGGAGATGCCGCTACAGCACCAGCAAGTGTTAAGGGTATTCTCCGAGACTCTAGCATAACCGACATTAGCCGACGACTAGAGGGTCGTGATGACCCAATATCTGATATTTCGGAGGATAAGAAGAGCGTACGCTTCAATCTACAGGAGATTTCACAGGCACAACAGAACGCTTCGGATTCGCCAGACGAGGAGGACAATGTTGACCTGGATGTCGTGGTGGTGAAGGACCAAGATGAGGAGGAGGAGAATGAAGGCAATGATTGGAATGAAAATGGTACCGATTCGCCTGTTATGCCATACAGCTTAAATCCCTTTTTGTGCGACTCTATATTAAGGAGCTCGAAGGACTTCCCTTTGGGTGAAGCAGCGAAGGCCAAAGGCGTCGGATCTACTCTTTATCACGATGACACCGACTCTGACTCTAAGGGCAGCTCTGTCCGCAGCTTCATTATAAATAAGTCGGAACAGGGCTCGCTTCAGTTGCCAGAGAATAAAACTTTTGATCTGGACGAGCTGGGCCGGAAGCACAGCTACGAATTGGAGCAGTTGCAGCTAAAGTCCACACAGGACTCGGCTAGTGTGGCGGTCTGCGACATCCCTCAAAAGTACGGAGATCACAGTCTGAGTGATGCCCAGGTACAAAAGGATCTAGAGACCATCAAGCGTGAGCACGAGGCGAAGCTCAAGGGACTGAGGCACGAGTACGACCTTCGGCTGACGTCCCACCAGCATCAGCTGGAGGAATCATTTGAGCTGCAGCTTGAGGAGTATCGCGAGCACTTGGAAAGCGAACTGCTGGACAAACGCGCCGTCGTTGTAACCGAACACAAGAGTCGCATGGCCACGCTGCAGAGTAACCACGATGAGATCCTTCGTGAGCTGGAGCGGGATCTGCACAGCGAGGAGGAGATTGTACGCCGGGAACATGCCGCCAGACTTGCTCAACTGCAGGCCAAGCTAAGCCGGGAGCTGGACATGGAGAAGCAACGGTTCCGAGACAAGGGCGAGGACAGACTTTACGAAAAGGTGCGGTGCGAGAAGCGCTTGCTCGAGGACAAGTATCGGTGCCTCAAAGAGAAATATGTACGCCTCAAAACAGACGTCAAGCTATCCTTGGAGCGACGCAACCGGCGACGTGAGGCGCAGCAGGCCATCTCACAGCACAACACCAAATCCACCACTGGATCCGAAACGGAGCGCTCGATCTCGTTCAAACCTTCCATTGGCAACAGTGACAATCGTTCGCTCAGCTACTCGGAGCATGCCGTGGCTGGCGAGGCCAAGGTGAAGCCACCTGTTCCGCCAAAAGGTCAACTTGCCAAGCCGAACATTGCCACCAAGTACATAAAGCAATTGCAGCAGCAGAGGCACGATGACAACACCTCAATCAGTCAATCGGACACGACGATTTCAAACACTTTCAATAACGGTGGCTATCATCGGCCAACTCTCAAGTCTGCCAGTGGTGGAGGAGGTGGCGGGCTTTTGGCCATAACGCTGCTAAGCGACAATGGCAACTCAACTGGTGAGGAACCGACGCCACAGTCCTCTAATCAGGAGAACAACAACAACAGCAACAGGATCAAGGGAACGGCAGCCACAGCCACGGCTGGACTAAGGAACGTCGTTTTCTCGCGCACCAAATCGGCGTCAACATCGCGTTTAAATTCGGACACAAGCTATAACAAGGTGGAGCGACCATGCACTCCGGTGGAAAATTTGCGACATCAGCTTCAGAAGCTCGAAGACCTGGAGGATCAGTTTCCGGAGCACACGCTGGATGCCACCGCCACCTATCACTTGCGCTACCCATTCACTGATATCTCCATCGAACACGATGTAATGGGTGTCGGGTCGTCGGAGCTGGAGTTCTTCAAGCATCGAATACACCTGGAACGGGACTCAGTTCGCCGGGCTAAGGAATCATTGCGGACTCAGCGCACAAACTTCAGGCTGCGGCAGCGTGAGATGAGGCAGCGACACAAGGCCACCACCACGACGGTGACACCAAAGCACTCGCTCGGCCAGCTCATACAGGATGAAAAGGAACTAACGGAAATGGAAGTGAATCTGCACCGCACTCGTTCCCTGCTGGGTGAGAAGGTGATACGATTACGGCATTTGGAACAGAGCCTATTGCGCATATACGAAAAGGAATCGAATCCGGAGGCTAAGGACGACTCGGCAACGCTTAGCGATCTGTCGTCTCACTCAAGCTCTGGCTTCAGCAGCACCGACTTCGCCAGCGCCGGTGGAGACTTGCACAAGCGCAAGGAGTACTACTTTCAGCAGGAATCAAACGAATGCATACAAAATCTGGAAATTCTGAATGCGGAAATCCGTGAAATCTTGGATATATTTGGCCAGAAACAACAGCAACATCACAGTCTACAGTTTCAGCAGTCTGTCGCAGCTCTACCAATGGTATCGCCGCCAATCGTAACCGATCTTAATTGGACACACATGCTCAACAAGCAGCAACATCAGCAGCAGCAGCACTCATCGGTGATAGCCTCTGTGGAGCAGCAGCTCCAGGCAAACAGCAGTTCCATTCAAAACTGTCAAATTGCTGTGGATGATATGGCAGGAGGATTGGCGTTGACACACTCCCATGTACCCCACTCAATTCCGACACTGGCGGACCGTTTGGAGACCTATCGTCAGCTGGCTGCCGGGCGCATGCAGAGTTCAATGGGCGGGGCGATTCTAACCGCCAACACCATCGTATCGCAGAATCCACGTGCCGTGAACTACACAACCTCTTTGGTGGAGCGTACCCGGGACTTGCGCAACTGGCTCCGGCAGGCCAAGAACGAACATGATTTACTAGTGGGCGGAATGGGTGGAATGCCGGCTGGCCAATTATCAGTTGGAGGTGCTACCATAAGTAGCTCTGCCAGCACATCAGCTATCAACACTGTGGCTGGAGGAGCTGGTGGTGGTGGCTGCTCCTCAGACGAAAAGAAACATATTTAAATATTGTAATTTACATAAATGATACATATATGTAGTTACTAATTGGGTGTTCTTTTGTTTGTCTAACGAAATGTATTAAAAACTAGAAAAAATTATATATAGTAATTGTATTCTCGTATTAGCCTATTACACCGCACTGATTACAGGCCTTGACTGTCGTGATTAAAAGTGAAATAGTTTTCCAGTCCTGTCGTAATATAATTTCCAGGATACTTTTGTCATATCTTTGAAATTCGAAATGATTCTTCAAAACTCATTGACTGCGTTAAGCCTTTTCCGCGTGGTTCCTATTTCTGATTTTGATTTGAACTAATATGAGGTCTTTATTAAATATTTATAATTATACATTAATAGGAAATCGTAAATAAAGTGCAACACTATATTAAACTTCTTTAATATGCCTCGAAACAACAGAAGTAAGTAAATTCCGAAATTTTATCTGTCAAGAGTAGTTTTTATATATTTATGCCTGTGTAAGGGAAGAAATAATCCCAGAGCCATATGGTACCCACAATCCATGATCCACACTTGAATTTCAGTGTAAAGAATCTAACACAATTTCATGAATTAATTAATATATGTTTTTTTTAAGCGGGATAGAAAATTGTTATTTTTTTAAATAACAGTGGCAGTTGGGCAAAATCGATATCATCGATATCAAATAAAATACCCTTATAATTTAGTATTTTTTTGAATTATAATATTTTGTTCTTCTTCAGGTGCTTAACTTCGGTCACACTAACACACTACCACGTGCGGGTTTTGATTTTGATTTTGCTTTCTGTTTAAGTTGATTTCAATTGTCCGCAAAGATGGGCAAAAAGAGTAAAGTTGGAAAAACCAGAAAGGACAAATTTTACCAGCTAGCCAAGGAGACCGGCTTTCGTTCACGTGCTGCTTTTAAATTGATCCAACTTAATCGGAGATATGGCTTCCTCCAGCAATCGCAAGTATGCCTTGATCTGTGCGCCGCTCCCGGTGGCTGGATGCAGGTGGCCAAGCAGAACATGCCTGTGTCCAGCATCGTAATTGGCGTGGATCTCTTTCCCATTAAGTCAATAGCTGGCTGCATTGGCTTAGTGGAGGATATTACAACGGAAAAGTGTCGTCAGTCGTTGACCAAGGAGCTGCAGTCATGGAAAGCCGATGTTGTGTTACACGACGGTGCCCCCAACGTGGGCCGCAACTGGCTCTTCGATGCCTACCAACAAATTTGCTTGACTCTTAATGCCCTGAAGTTGGCAACTCAGTTCCTGCGGGGCGGCGGTTGGTTTGTGACCAAAGTTTTCCGCTCCAAGGACTACAATGCGTTGCTCTGGGTGCTGAAGCAGCTGTTCAAGAAGGTGCATGCCACCAAGCCCAGTGCCTCCCGTAAGGAGTCAGCCGAGATATTTGTGGTGTGCGAGGGCTACTTAGCACCCGACCGCATCGATCCCCGTCTGCTGGACTCCAAATACGTTTTCGAGGAGCTCGACCTGGACGCCAAGAAGCCCAATAGTCTGCTGCACCCAGAAAAGCAGAAGCGCATCAAGGCCGAGGGCTATACAGCTCAGGACATTGCGCTGCGCAACGATCTGGCTGTCACCGAGTTTATTAAAGCAGAAAATGCCCTGGCAGCCCTGCAAGGTGTGGGCTCCATCCGCATTGATAGCGTGGAAGTCGCCAATCACAAGAAGACCACGCCAGAGATTGTGGAGTGCTGCAAAGATCTTAAAGTGTTGGGCCGAAAAGATATCAAGGGACTTGTGCTTTGGTGGAAGGCCCTTAGGGATAGCTTTGTGAAGCCGGAAAAGACGGAGGACGATGAAGCTGGTGACGTGCAGCCAGAGGTCGTAAAACCATTGACCCAAGAGGAAATCGAGGATATGGAGGAGGCCGAATTCCAAAAGGAAATTGACGCAGTCGCATCCGAGGAGCAAAAGGAGCTCAAGCGCAAACGCAAGAAGACTCTAAAGACCAAGGCCAAGTTGCATGAGAAAATGAACCTCAACATGGTGATCAAGGGTGACGATGGTCCCGTCGAGGAAATGGAGCACGAAATCTTTGACCTAAAAACCATTAACTCAGCCGCTGAGCTGGACGACATGCTTGATGTCAATCCCGATATAACTGTGGATGAATCCACCGACGATGTGCACAATCTTCCCAAGTACAAGTGGTATGACAAGGAGGAGAGCCGACTCGACGATGATGCCAACTACGAGGACTGTGATGACGCAGCAGAGGAAAGCGCTGACGACGACGAGGATGACGACAAGCAGCTGGGCAAGCGTGGACTGGGCCTCAGTGACGACGACGACGATGACATTGTGAGGGGCAAAGGCAAGAAGCGAAAGCGCGATGACAATCCACTGATCAAGTCAGCCGACTTTCGCGACAAGAACACGAAGCGACAGCAGCGCGTGCAGCTTTGGTACGAGAAGGACAACCTGCAGAATATAAAGTCCGATGACGACGACGAGGAGAACTTTGATCTGGACAATTTGGCCAAGGAGTACAATGCCAAAGGCGTCACAGTATTGGGCGAGAGTACCCTTACCCCGGATGCCACCAAGGGCAGGAAAGCGAAGCGTCGAGCACGACACCAGGAAACAGAAAAGGATAGCAGCAGCTCGGAATCATCCGACTCTGAAGAGGAAAATGAGCCGAAAGATAATGAAGGTTCGTTCGTAGTAGTCAATGCTTCTTTCAGTTTACGTAACTTAGCTCATATATATTATATATTTTAGCTGCAGGAAGCACGAAGAAAGTACGCCTGTCCGAAAATGAGTTGGCATTGGGCTCTTTAATGGTTAGCAGCAAGAAAAATCGTCGCGATCTGGTAGATGCTTCCTGGAACCGCTATGTTTTCAACGATGAGAACCTGCCCGCCTGGTTTGTGCAGGACGAGGAGGAGAACATGAGGAGGCCAGTGCCAGTGCCCAGCGAGCTGACAGCCGAGTACCAACGCAAAGTGCAGGAGCTGAATGTCCGTCCCATCAAGAAGGTCATGGAGGCAAAGGCTCGAAAGCATCGTCGCACCACAAAGCGCATGGCCAAGGCCAAGAAAATGGCCGAGAAGATTATGGAGAATGCCGACGCTACCAGCCACGAGAAGTCCAAGCAGCTCAAGAAGGTGTACAAGAAGGCCCAGGAGAAGAAGAAGGAGATCACATATGTGGTGGCCAAGAAGCAATCGGCGGCTCGTCGAGCACGTCGTCCGGCCGGTGTCAAGGGACGCTATCGTGTGGTTGATCCGCGTGAGAAGAAGGATAAGCGCTCGTTGGTGGCAAAGAAGAAGCGTGAGAAGGGCAGTAAGGGTGGCAAGGGAGGCAAGGGAAAGCGTAAATAATAGGTCTTAAATAAATGTAAAGAAAATGTTATAAAACAAAAAATATTAAATATATGGAAAAGCTATATATAAACGAAACTATGAATTGGTTTTTCTCTTTACTTATTTATTATTTAAATCACAGAACAGTCTACTTCACCACTTGCATCGGCGAATAGCTTTTAGTTTAGATAATCAGGGCTTTTCCTTACAAGAAGTTTTACGGAAGGAATCTGTATTTACTCTGCGAAGCCTTATGCCCAGTGGGGTATTTATATTTCCACAATTTCAAAACCGCTGCCGTAGAAATACATACGCCGCAGATTTTCATCGATCAGCATGCCCTTAATGTCAGCTATGCTGGTGTGTCCGACACACTTATACTTATGTCTTCTCAAATCAATCCTAAAGATCTGCTTATCTATGCCGCAGGTGAAGGCAAACATTTCTGATTCCGTTTCCCCCTTCTGATTGGAGCCTACAGAAGAATGTATGGATAGGGCATTTACCTGGGCATTGTGAAGCCCCAAAAACTCCGTCTTATATTCCACTGTCATGCTATCCAAGTCGAGAACAGTATACTTGATATTCTCATCGTCCCCGCCGGATAAAATGTGCAAGCGCTGTGGCTGCCTATCATCCATGCAGGTGTCTATCGTATTAATGCCCGTCATGTGCAGTCGGAGTTGCAGACACTTTGTGGTCAGGGTTCGTTCTAATCCGTACATTTCTCCGCTTGTTGTTGTAATTAGGACAATTCCCTTGCTCTTGATCCACTGCAAGGTGAGGGGACATCTCTCGATATCCACCGCAGCCTGCAAATGGAGTTCGGAAGGTTTGTTCAAGTGCCAGTGATAGTGGCGTATCTCACCATCCGCCACAGCCACGTATAGGGAAAACTTAGCCGCCTCTTCCAGGACTATATCGATTGCCATTAGTCTTGCCTCTACAGTGCTTGACTTTTGCAGGATATGCGTGCACAGCTCGGTTACCTGGCACTCATTATCTTTTAAACTCACAGTCAATTGGTTAATGCACAGTCGTGATCGTCCTCCGACAGAGAAAATAAGCCACGTTGTAGAATTTCGGGAGGAGGAGAGCTTATGAGCCTGGAGGCAGCGAACAGTCGAGACATGAGAGTGCACTTCGGCACAGTGGAGTAAAGTGTCATCCACTACCTTCGTTAGCTTTATGACATTGTCATCGCCAGCTGACACAATTAAAGGTTGCGCCCCGTTTCCGTCACCCTCGTGGGAGAGCAGGCGAGAGGAGTTGCAGTTTCGGGAGTGCCAGCTAATAAGCTCTAGTTTGGCCATATCTTTTGCTATCCTATTGTACAGGGGATGAAGATAGAGGAACACACGTTTTCTCTTCACGAACAATATGGCAAGTACATCGTCATCAGTCAGTCGATAGTCCCAGCATCGATGACCTCCGCCGCAGGCCAGCTGCGCTAGCACATCGTATCGGCGGGACCAGGCCACAATATGATTGTCGTTGAAGCCGAGTATAACGTCTTCGCGGGGACAGGCTTCCACCCAAGACAGGGGAACACTCTCGCGCTGCCCGATTGTCAAAGTACATTCAGTTAGCCCCAAATGCAGATATTTCAGAAGGGGTTCATGACCACCACTCAGCACATAAGCAACGTCATCGTCTGTCCTGAGCAACTTGAAAAAGTTTGTGCCCATTTTGCCGTGCAAATGTTTCAAAGCTGCCTTTCGTGAGAAGGTGTTGTTGCAGCGTAAGTAGAGAATAACGTGACCTCTGCGATCGCCCAGCAGGAGATACTTTTCAGATATAAGCAGCGCAGCTGTTATCCAGGCCTCGCGATAATTTCCAAGCTCAATAGGGGAATCCAGGCTGAGATCGTGTGCTTTCAGTGACTGGCATTTGCCCAGGTCGTCCGATACAAGATAGAGGTCCTTGCTTAGGAAGTGAAATGAGCGAATCGTTCCCGTCAATCCTGTCTCGCCGTCGAAAACCTTGTCAAATACATTATGCTCAGCGTTGTGGCGGTATATTGTTATTCGACGATGTCCGCATGTGGCTATAATGTCGCCAGACACTTCCAAAACCGTCCGCTTGTACGTTGGAAAGTCAGAGTCCACTAAATGCCAATTATCCTGCGCTACTTTCATATAATACAGCTGGTTCGAGCTGCTCAGTCCTACGATTAACTGATCACTGACAAATTTAACATTTCTGATAAACTCATCTGTAGAAGCACCGTATATGTCACTCAGCATATTGGCGGCGGGTGTGTTTTTGTCAAAGAGATCCTCTAGACTTTCTGCTGCCAAATTACCAGATGAGCTGGTACTATAAAGGGTTTTATCCTCTGCCCTGAAACCTAGGCGCCATATGGGCGAGCCAAAATGTTGGCGACGCTTCATTAGCATGTCGCCGCTGAGACTCCAGACGCATACATAGGAATCCTCTCCCCCACTAGCTACATATGCTTGGCCACCTGAAAGAAAGAGCAGAATTAATGAAGAGCCGACTAGAGTCATAAATGTGAGATTCTTACCAACTTCAAAGATGACAGCACACATAACCCTTGAGCTATGCCCGAAGCAACTATACATTGGCCTAATCGTGGCCCCCTGCCAGCTTCCCAGTCTGGTGATTTGCCAAAACTTAACCGATCGATCATCAGAAGTTGTTACCAAAAGTTGGGAGGCCATATTGAAATCAATGGAAAAAATTACACCATTATGGGCTTGCAGGCGAAGCAGTAATGGATATGTCTTGACAGAGGTTTCCGCCTTTGCATCGATTGCATTCTGGGTCTGCCATAACAACAGTTCACCGAATGCATTTCCACTGATTATGGCAAGATCCTCAAAGCACTCGCCGTGTAAACGAGTGCAGTATAGAATGGAACTCTCGGAACATCGGGCTAATTGCAATGTGCGACAGTCTGCATTCGAATTCAGATCAAATTCTAAGTATAGAACTGCACTATGTGCCATGTGCAGCACAAATGTTTTCTTATCTTTTGCATGGTCGCCTAGAAATTTGGCAGCATTAATCCAGTCTTTGGTTTCGCCCTCATAAACTAGTTGGAACCGATGTTTGTCATTGCCCCGATTATGCAGTATTAACGAGTATTCATTCTCGCTAAATATCAACACTAAATCTTGTAAGGGATCTACGGGACTTACATCAAATCCATGTACTTTTCCTTTGCGCAGTCCAGTGGGTAACTTGATCTTCTTATTGGAGGTGTAGAGCACTGCTTGGTTTCCGTAACCTGTTAAAGAGTTATCTTTTAATTGTATGTTTTAAAATGAACTATATTAAAAGTGCATACCAGCCAACACACAATTGGAGGAAACGTACAAGCCTAAAGAATCAGATATTAACACCATTATTATTGTTTTGTAGCACGTGAACTATTTTGGCGGAACTTATCGATAGCACAGCCGCCATTGCCAGACCTTTGCTATCGAAAGATTGACGCTTATGCGCTGTACCCACTTAACACATCTTGAAGGAACGACTGATATGTTTGGAACACCGTTCACTTAAAATTCATATAATTATCTTGAGCTATGTAATATATTTTAAAAAGAGCTTCAATATTGGGTTGAGATGACTTAAAAGCTAATATGAAGTCATTTACCATTTTCCATCAGTCTTATTATGTCATGTGAATATGGTATTTGCGAATTGGCAGGTTTCACATTTGTCTGGTATTTTCAAATGTAGTAATTTAGTATATTTGCACGGGTCAGATGGTAGAGGGCCCAGCTGCTGCCACACTGGTCATCACACTGTTATTTAGTTGAAGTTACATAAATAAGGTATTAAATATTTAACTATGACATTCAAAAGCTACTTTTCATTTGTTTTTCAGAACCAACATGTTGCGTTCAGCTATCACGACCTCGACCTCGACTCTAAGCAAGTGTTTGCAAAGAGCGACCCTTAATTCGAATTCAATATATACAGTGCCTGCACTCAATGCAACTTTCGTTCGCAATCAACAAACTCTTCCGGTAATTGAAACGTCGCCGAATTTGCCAAAGAAGGGCTACTCTCCGTTCGGAACCAAACAAACGTCTGTGGCGGAATGGTCATTGGCCAGATTGGATGATCTTCTGAACTGGGGTCGCAAGGGCTCAATATGGCCCCTGACATTTGGCCTGGCCTGTTGCGCCGTCGAGATGATGCACATTGCAGCTCCACGATACGACATGGATCGCTACGGCGTAGTTTTCCGTGCCTCTCCCCGGCAGGCCGATGTCATCATTGTGGCCGGCACTTTGACCAACAAAATGGCACCGGCATTGAGAAAGGTATACGACCAGATGCCCGAGCCCCGTTGGGTCATCTCCATGGGAAGCTGCGCCAACGGAGGCGGCTACTACCACTACTCGTACTCGGTGGTTCGTGGCTGCGACCGGATAATCCCCGTTGACATCTATGTTCCCGGCTGCCCACCAACTGCCGAGGCATTGATGTACGGCGTTCTGCAGTTGCAAAAGAAAGTGAAGCGTATGAAGACTCTCCAGATGTGGTACAGAAAGTAGATAAATTACAGAAAATAAACGTAAAATGTCAAACCTAAACACAACTAAGCAGTCTTCAAAGATGAATATGAGCTAAAACTACTTACATGTTTCATTTGTTGGGCTTACGACCGATTGTTACAGGTTATCGGATTTCGATACAAATAAATGCTTAGCCAAATATAAACGGTGTTGGCTTTTCATTTCGCCTCCGTTTCCGGTCCACCTGAGATAGAGAAAATCAATTTAGGGATTTTAAAAGCTTGTATTTACCTTGCTATTGCTGCAAAGCGCCGATAAATTGGACATAAAGGCGCATTCAACGCGGTTGTGGGTGATAGTAACTCAACTTCAAGAATATAGGAATACATATATGTATGTACTATCGCTATTATTATTATTGGGTACTAATAAAAGCTATTTCTTTAGGGGCATCATTAGTTCACAGGATTTACAATATAAATAGTTTCTTTCATCTTTTTTTGCTATTGCATTTTACTTTTTATTTTAATTTATTGTTGAAATATATAAGTGTTGGTTGGTGTAATTAAGTTCAATTAACGTCTATTGTTACAGCAGCTTGGTTAAATGTAATGCTTACAATTGAATGGTAGCAAAGCGATAAATCAAACTAAAGCAAAGTTGGCGCAACATGCGTAACAGGACGTCAGGATCCTTGCGATGTTTTGAACCGAACGATTTTGAAAAACAAACTAAACCTGTAGGCAGAGAGATACCACTAAGACCATTGTTGAAACTCGTTAACGTTTATGCCGATTCGGTTTTTTTCCTTCTGATTACGCTCTGCTATGGAGATTACGCCGTCGCCGCCGCCGCTTAGCTCGCTTTATATATCATCAATGTCAATGTCTCCATCTCCGTCATCGCCGCCTTGTTGCTGTTGCTGTTGTTGTTTATTATTTTTATTCTTATAACAGTATCCGTCATCCTCCTCTTCGGAATCCTCTGGCAGCCCGTCGTCATCGTCCTCTTCGCTATCCGAGGACTCCTCTTCGGCGTTCTTAAGCCAGAGGACGAACGGCATCACCTTCTCGTGTATCTCCGTGGCAATTTTCTTCGAGACATGACGCTTGCTTACCTTTTGTGCCCAGTCTAGGATGACCTTCTCATCGAGTATATCCTGGTCATAGAATATCTTGAAGATACCGGCCACCTTGGACATCAATGTGCTCGTGTGCAGCTCAACGGTCTGTTCAACGCCGCCGATTAGATAACGCTGAGCCTTCGGATTATTGAAGGTGAAGCGAAGCAGCAAATGACGATTCTTCTGCACCTCCTTGATGATGTTCTCGCTGAAAAGGAGCTCGGCCAAGACCATGGGCGCCTTGTTGAGAATATCCAGACGCTCTGCCTCGATAAACAGTTCCTTATGGGTGGCCAGATCATCTAGTTGCTTCTTGTCCCGCTTGTCCTTGACCAGCTCATAAAAGATATCGATGCGTTCCTTTTCGGTCTTGTCGTAGTCATCCGAAATGGTCATGCCCTTGGCTCCGTCAGTCAGATCCTGCAAGCGTGCACGTATAGCTTCCTGGGACGACAGAAAAAAAAGAAACGATACAACGATGCACAGATTATTTATGTTAATTTCTAGCTTATAATTACCTTCGACACATCAACGCTCCAGCCCTCATCATCATCCTCAGCTATGTTCTTTTCCGGAATTGCAGCACTTATCTCGGCCTCCGTTTGGCTAGCCTGATTCGAACCATTACCGCCATCCGACTCACCGCCAGAGTTGTTCGCCATCGAGTTGTTGGACATCGAACCGTCTGAATTCTCATTCTTTTGCTTTTGCTTCTTTGAGCGCTTGCCCTCAGTGAGTGAGGAGCCCTGGGCGGCCGGGTTCAACGAAGGTGGATTCTTCACAATGAACGTGTTTACCTTGTGATTGACCTTCAGCAGTCCATGGAAGCCGCAGGCCTTGCAGGACTGCGAAATAGTCTGATTCTTGGCCGAAACGGTCAAATTGGTTTCCGGATTGTCACACTCGGGGCACAAAACAAATTTGCGAATAAAGCCATCCAACAGATCCTGCAGCTTGTTCACATCATGGGAACCATTTACAATAAAACGTTCATTCTGTAAATAAATCAATAATAATAAATAAGGCAAATAATAAATTAAATGTTAGCCAAGCATACCTTATGATCAAACAAGGTTTGGGCTCCCAACTCGCATCCAAAATACTTGGTTGGATACGTGGCCGGTCGTCCGATGGCGCGTGCCACCTCGGCCATGTTGACCAGAACGGTCTTAATGCCATTTCCCTTGCCCTCGACCTTGGCCTGCAGGCGCGGCATCTTGTAGCGGTAGAAGATGTCCGTCACGCTGCGATTAACGTTCACGGTCGCCATTTTGATTGGAGTTGCTGCTACTGCTGCTGCTGCTGATGCTGATGCTGCTGTTTATTTATACGGAACAACCAACAAAGATAACGCAAATTTTGGCTAACAACAATGTGTCCAGGTTGTAAATGATACTAAATGGAAAATAGAATTGGGGGAGATCGCTGCCGGCCGTTTCAACTAATGCCAATTGTCTAGTAGCAAATTGATTATTGACTTTAGCTTTTTGGCTATTTTGTGATTTTTCCAACTTTCGTTTCCGTTCATTAAATTTATTTTATTTTTTTCCTTTTTGTTTTTGGTGGTGCTGCTGTTGCCGGTACTTTAGCTATATTGCTTTTGCTCTTGCTTGCCTGCCGCTGCTGCTGATGGTGCTGCTGCTGCTGCTGCTACTGCTTGTTGGTTGGTCACTTTTAAAAACTGTTCCGAGAATAAACGAGGAGAATTTTGTATATATATTTCCAGGAATATATGAAGCACTGGAGACGTATTTATGCTTGAGCTTGAGCTGTTAATTAATATGGTGCCTTACATAAACAACTTTCTTTTCTATACTCAATTTTGCTTTGAAATTCGGATAGCATATCCCTTTTAGAGAATTAAAGGATCTGATCTGATCTGGATCTTAATCGTTACGATATTTTTGCTCTGCTCTGTTTAAAGTTGGTGTTGCTTTCGCTTTCGCATTGGCGTTCGCCTTCTCGGTGTATATTTGCTTTTTCAGCGCTCCTATTCGGTTCTTTTTGAATGAATAATTAAATATATACATATATGTATATAGGCATACATATATGTGTATATATATATTTTACGATTTCCAATTAATTATTCCGGATATATTTGAAGGCTGTTTTTAATTTACCAATTTGCTGTTGTTGTTGCGGCTGTTGTTGTTATATATGACAAAATAACAGGCTCATGTGTACCTGAATGGCTGTAACTTCCGATGTCTGTTACTCGAAGTCCTGCAATATAGGAATGAAGATAAGCAAATTAATAATTCTTGTCAATCCTTACAGAACTCCTGAATCTTAGACTTAGAATGAACACTTTTAAATCACAGCGATAAAGCCCTGATGGATAAAGGTCCAGTTGCTAACTGAGCCTCAGCCTTTGCTGTCTCTTCAAATAAAGCTCAAAAACAGATTAGCTGGCAGAAATATGAATCCACTCTTAGGTGTAGGTTCTGCTCAGGCGATGATGAACTTAGATAAAGTAAATTGAAAATTTCGCTTGTTTATAAACAAATCTGTCGAAGTGAGAGCTCTTCGCAAAGTGCTCCTTAGGAGGGATATGATACATCGACAAAAACTTTTCTAATTCCCTAATTCCCTATTATGACATTGCAAGCTATTCTTTTTTTGATCAGAAGCGTTGGAAGCAGTGAAGGAAGGAATCATTTCCGACCCCTATAATGCCTTTTTTGCTTAGTTATGAAATTTTCAAATATTGATTTTCCCATAAAATTATCATACACAAAATTTCGATTTACTTGATGTTTAACTGAAGAAAGAAATAGGTGCTTATAGCGTTTATATATGTATTGTTCTACTGCTGCAGAACATCGAGAAGGCTATATATGAACGATGTAATTGGTGACTTACCGGTGACTTATGGTTCGCCCTTTTGAATTCATGCACAGTTCGAACCCTTTACTCCGTTTTTGTGGAATGAGAGGTGCTGCTTTTTTTGCTGGTGTTTCTGCAAAACAAAAACGATTTGTTAAAAAGAGATTAGGCTCAAGCATTAGAACAAACTATTAGGAATTTACGACAAAAACTAGGTGCATAGGGTAGGTAACCCAGAATGCTTAAGTTTTCTTCTTACCACCACAATGCGATCACATAAAGACATAGGGAGGTCTTGGGGTACAACAACGTCAAAAATCTCTAACTGATATCTAGCTTTGTGTATATATAATATTTTTTAACAAATCCAAACTTAAAGCGAAAACGGCCATTTAATGCAAAGCCATATTGACCCGTAAATCGAACAAAATTTAGACCACATGAAAAATAGGTGCTGAAGATCTCCTGTTCTTGATGCAATCAATTAAAGAGTTTATTAATATGGTTAGTTAGCCAAAATGGTACTGCCCAGAAGATTAACTTTAGAACTATCGAAAATTAGAATAGAATTATCAACGAGTTTTTGAGCACAGAGAATTTTCGGGCAGATATATTGTGTAATATGTCGTCAGTTGACACCTGGATACTGGGGAAATGGATTTAAATGACAACAAGTTCAAAGCCGAGTTTTGCGTTTCAGTTTTTCATATTTGGGAACATCAAAATTGTATTAAGATGGATCTTCGTTAGGTTTCCCTGTGTTAATTCCGTTACAAGATAAATGCAGAAACAGCCTAAAATTTCCGATAAATGTTTATAAATGACTTCGGAGCCAAAAGAGCAAGGGATATCCAACTTATAAATATATACGATCGACACGACAAAACCAAAATCGGATTGGAATTGAAATCAGGTCTTGATCGAGAGATGTGTAGTTGCTAACAGAGCCCCAGATTAGTTTTTTCTAATTGTTGTCTTTTCAAATTAAATTAATAAAAACTCTGGCTGACAGAAATGGGATTCCCACGAAAAATCTAGCTTGGACTATGATAATGACGATACAAAATGTAAATAAAAGAACGTACCAGGAATCGATACTTGTATACATTAAAACTAAATAGCATTAATTCCTCTAAAGCTTATTATCCGACATCCGTTGTATTTGCTCTTAGGTTCATAAATAAATATCACTTATCTTGGTCCCTTTTTAAACATTATTATTGATATTAATATTTCTTCAAAGTTGGCTGAAATTAACTGTCATTAAAATATTTAAAAGATTTAATGCCTAACTAAATTTAAATCTGTACGTTTCTAGAAGAAAAATGGCATTTTAATAACTTATCTTAACCCCTTGGAAGTTAACAAGTTGTCATATTCTTAACAGAAAACACAAAGCAGTCTTAGTTTTCATTTTATAAGGACTTAAGTCATTAAAATTGACAAAAAAAAAAAAAACAATATATAATAATAATATATAATTTTAAATAATTATAAGTTCAATATGCCTAAAAAAAACATTGTTTTCCTAAAACTAGCACAAATACGCTTTTCTTATTAAACATTTCATACATAGCTCAGTTTGCTTTATCCAAAAAATTAACACAAAGATAAATATAAATCCCTAAAGTCCACATAATTTAGGTTTTATTGTGGTATTGTAAAAAAGCTTAGCTTTTTGTGTTGTTTCATTAAATTTTTTACTTTAAAATAGAATTTTGAGTAAATATATATGCATAGGAATAAACACACATACATTTCCCTTCTCTGACGGACAATAAAAAAGTGAACTTGTAAAAAAAGAAGGTCTGCACATATTTTAAATCCTTTTCACAGTTAGTACAACATATCTATTTCGTGTGTACACATATGTACATAGTTTCATTGTTGGCTCAACTTATTTTACAGTTAATTACACTTACTAATTGCATAAGGCATTAATAAGACAATATTAAAGGATACTTACCAAAGAATCTTTCAAAAGTCATATAAGATTTTGTTTCCCCTCCTTGGGGTGCGCACTGCCAGTTCGCAAATTAGACAAAGATAAAGCACAATCGGGTTTTCTAAAGTCAATTGCAAGTCGACTCGAAAATATAAAGCGAAAACAAAACTATGTAATTACACTGCCAACAGAAATTGCCAAGTTAAAGCAGTGATCCCGTGCCAGATGGTATATTGACGCTTAATGCGCTATCTCTGGAATTTTGCAGTCAACTCTATTCTGAAAATAATAAAATACGAGCGTTTTAATAAAATGAATGCGCATGTACAAGCTTACAACTGTTTCGACGATGAAGAAAAAAAAAGTTAAATGTACATATGTATTCGCAGTCAGGTAGCACCATGTACACACATACACATTTACATATGTATATTTATGAACAAAAGTACTGCATAATTTTATACGTGTCATTCCTATATCATTTGGGTAATATATTAACTTGCAAAAGGCTTTATTGAAATAAGGGAACACATATCTAGTTTATTTCTCGAATTTACTTGTGCACGCACGCATGTACACATGAGTGGATAAAAAAGCCACGCCATTAAAACTTTTGAGGTTGTGTTCGTTCATAGCACAATATCACAACTTTCTACCTTTGTTTCCTCAATACAAAATGAACGCACTACTGGGAATTTGCAAATCAAATCAATATATTGTTTTAAATAAACCCTTCAGGACGATTATATTATCTCGAAAATGTACTAGTGTTCCTCACTGCTCAGTATGACCATAGTTCACAACCACAAAAAAGATATAAGTAGTAGCAGAGTTGCAAAAATATCGATGACATTAATTCGTACTATCGATTGGTGACGTGACACGATCATCATGTATTATTTGGTATTATGTGGTATGCTCACACAGCACATCACTGAGGAACGACTGGAATTTTTGGAAAACAATTATAGAGTCGAGTCCCGATAATTCGAAATGGCAAGGGGATCACTTTTTTTACGAATTAGACGGGAATTCGATTTATCGAGATTTCTATTTAACGGGGCTCAAAAATGAAAGAGTCGAATAACCGGGGTTTTTACATTTTACATCATGTTTGCATATGTATTTAACTTTATTAAAATTAAACAAACATTATAAGTATGTACATTCATTTGTACGTTTTTCAAATTAAAGGAAAATTAAACAATAACATAAAATTAGAATAACAAAAAATTAAACAAATAAGCAGGAACATTAAATTATAAAAAACAAAAATTCAAGCCTTAAAATATTAGCTGTCTGTAAAATCTATCGGTGCTTTAACTACAAAAAATTTCGCATTGCATTACGATTTATAAGTGGTTACGAAACAAAATTACGATTTATAAGAGATTCAATATTCTTTGCGTTGCGCCAAATAATACGAATTAACGAGGGGACCAAAATGTATGGAATTTTTACGAATTAACGAGTTTTTTTTTCAAGGGGACAGAATTTTTTACGAATTATCGCGATTTTCGATTTAGCGGGGTACGAATTATCGGGACTCGACTGTACAATACTAATAACTGTTGATATTACCAAGAGAGTGATTTTTAGACTGACTGCAGAATTAATTTATTGCCAACTAAATCTGCAGAAACCCAAGGATCAGCTGCTAAAGTAGTTCGTGAAACACTGTAGGAAGACGGTATAAATAAACGGTTTGTGAGAACAGTATATAAATTATATGTGAGACTTTAAGTTTACTTAGTATTTTTTTCTGGTATATTCTTAAAAGCTCTATGGTGCTTTTCAATTATATAGCCTGGTCGCACTGCAGTCGCTGAATTGGTGTGAATATTTTCTTTGGCGTAAATATTGTACGAACAATCTGATCGAAATGACTGCCTGGAGAGCTGCTGGAATAACGTAAGCATTATATAAGTGTCAGGCGCACGTTAATGTAATGGATGCTGTTTAATGAGCATGCGAGCGCAGGCCATATTCCAAAAATTATTCACATTACGTAATTCCATTTGCAGCTACATCCAATACTCGAACATTGCGGCCCGCGTTCTGCGAGAGTCTCTGCGTACCGAGTTGCGTGCGGACGCTGCCAAAAGGAACGAAAGCCATGTGAAGTTCACGCCTTGGGCCAACGGCAGGCCAGCACGTACGTATAATTTATTTTAGTAGTTCGTCCTTTCGATTGTGCAACTTAGCCTGTCGCCGGAACGGCTTGGCCATAAATACATTACATAAACTAAAGCGGATTTAGGGACTCAACTTAATGCAGACATTAGATTTCGACCCTTATATAAAAAAACTGGATATTTTCATGTATATTTCACAGATGAAAAGGCCTAAGTATTCTGCCAACAATTGTAGGCTTAAAAGACTGGTGTAAGTCCCTGCTAACGCAAGGGTTAACCCAATTGCTCCGCTCCCGTTGTTTGCCTTGCATTTTCAACTAAAACCATCACTTTGTGTCTGTTAAGTGTCTAACTTTGATTGCAAACCGATCATTGACTATTTTCGAAACCGATTTTCCCAAATTAACTAACTACAAGACCAAAATTGATTAATGTAACGCCTATTGTTATTGCTTAATTCCACACAAATGAACGTATTTCTCTATTTTTCCCACACAAATTAACGTATTTCTCTATTTTTCCCACATACAGCGCGCCAAAATCAGTCTGAATCGTAGACGCTCTTCTGGCTCTTGGTGGTAATACCAGCCGTAATAATAACAAACGTCTGTTAAAACTGCAATGATTTCGAAGAATAAAAAAATCTACTGAAAATTAATAAAAACTTATTTCAAACAAAACGTTGGGTTTATTTCTAAAATGTATTAAAAATCAAAAAAATAATAAAAATGTTATTATCCGAACCCAAGACTGAAGTCTAATGCATTCACATATGTTGATACTTATCCTCACTGCTCCTCCTTTTCGATATTGTAAAAATGCGGCCACTTCTGTATCTCCTCGTACAGCCGCTTGCCCGGACTCTCCGTCGAATTGCACTGGCAGTGGCAAATAAGTCTGTAATCGGGTGCAATGTGGCCCTCCTGCACGCCTCGAGCCAACAGATTGCGACACATATTCAGGGCATCTGCCGTGGGCAATTCACGCATGAAACAACCGATGAAACTGATGCCCAGTGAAAGCTTGTTGTAGCCAAGAGTATGGGCTCCGACCGTGTGCCAGCCGCGGCCCTCATAGATGTTGCCGTCACAGCCAATCAAGAAATTGTAAGCAATATCGTTCCATCCCCTCGATTCAATATGGAAGCACTGAAAAAGGAGAGACAAAGGAAAGATTGAGTTAACTATAATAATATATTAAAATCACTTTATGTACTCACCTGCATATCACGAATAAGACGGACATTAATTGCACGTTTCTCTGAGCTCTCTGTGGCCGTGTGTACTATAAGAAGAAACACAAAGTTTTAAGATTAATTAGTTAATAGGAATTGGCTTTACTTAAATAAAAACAATCAATGGCATTGTAAGTACATTTATTTTAAGTCTTATTTCGTTACTGTTAACTGTATGCGAAAGTTTCGATTGAATAAAACATATATTGTGATGCTACTCACATATGACCACATATTTAACGGGTAGCTGTAGATTTTGTGGCTCTTCCATGGGATTTTGCGCCAGCCAGGAGTGCCGGGGAACTATCGAGAACAGCTCTTTAGGTATTTTGAATTCTAAATAGAAAATACATTAGTTTTGTGTCTGCATGATATATTCTTAGCTTACTTTGGCTACTTATAAACACATCCGAACGCACTTTCTCCTCGGCCTCGTCCTGGTCATCGGATAGGGACACCCTTCGAGCATCTTTACGCGGCCTTCTTAAGGTATCTGCTATGATCTGTATATTGCCATTAATATTGGTCACATTGCCGATATGTACGTTTGTAGAATTGCTGATGTTAACGTTGCCCAAAGTCTGGATACTGTTGATGCTGTTCATCAAGTCCCGTAATGTTTCGCTGATGACGGAGCGTTTGTTAGCCGCTGCAAGGGTAACAATTGGACATTAAAATATTATATATATTAATTTGTAAATATAAATATACATTTAAATCTTAATCTGGTTCCAGGGTTCATCGTAAAAAATTCGAACATAAAGTAACTACGAGCAGTAAGTATCTATGACCAGTAAGTAACTCTGAACAGTAAGTATCTATGACCAGTAAGTATGTATGATCAGTTACTAACTTTGAACACTAGTAAACAATGACTTGCAACTTTTTTAACACAACACATTTCTGAGACCTGGCCGGCAGCAGTCACTTCGTTCCGGGGATGTTAGAACAAATTGGGAATCATATGCACAGATGTGCGAGATTTGTTTGGGAACAAATTTAAAGCAAGCTATTTGAATAAAACTATGGAGTTTTTCTTCTACATAGATAAGTTTACTAGTATATAAGTCGGAGCATGGCGAATCGGTGGACTATATATATATATATATAACTCGCATAGGAACGATCGGAAAATTAAAGAAATAAAACTATGAGCAGTAAGTAACTCTGAATAGTAAGTATCTATAATCAGGAAGTAGCTATTAGCATTAATTAACTCTGAACAGTGAGTATCTATGACCAGTAAGTAACTCTGAACAGTGTGTATCTATGACCAGTAAGTAACTCTGAACAGTAAGTATCTATGACCAGTAAGTATATATGATCAGTTACTAACTTTGAACACTAGTAAACAATGACTTGCAACTTTTTTAACACAACACATTTCTGAGACGTGGCCGGCAGCAGTCACTTCGTTCCAGGGATGTTAGAACAAGTTGGGAATCATATGCACAGATGTGCGAGATTTGTTTGGGAACAAATTTAATGCAAGCTATTTGAATAAAACTATGGAGTTATTCTTCTACATAGATAATTTTACTAGTATATAAGTCGGAGCATGGCGAATCGGTGGACTATATATGTATATATATATAACTCGCATAGGAACGATCGGAAAATTGAAGAAATAAAACTATGATCAGTAAGTAACTCTGAATAGTAAGTATCTATAATCAGGAAGTAGCTATTAGCATTAATTAACTCTGAACAGTGAGTATCTATGACCAATAAGTAACTCTGAACAGTGAGTATCTATGACCAGTATATAACTCTGAACAGTAAGTATCTATGACCAGTAAGTATGTATGATCAGTTACTAACTTTGAACACTAGTAAACAATGACTTGCAACTTTTTTAACACAACACATTTCTGAGACGTGGCCGGCAGCAGTCACTTCGTTCCGGGGATGTTTGAACAAGTTGGGAATCATATGGAGAGATGTGCGAGATTTGTTTGGGAACAAATTTAAAGCAAGCTATTTGAATTAAACTATGGAGTTATTCTTCTACATATATAATTTTACTAGTATATAAGTCGGAGCATGGCGAATCGGTGGACTATATATATATATATATAACTCCCATAGGAACGATCGGAAAATTAAAGAAATAAAACTATGATCAGTAAGTAACTCTGAATAGTAAGTAGCTATTAGCATTAATTAACTCTGAACAGTGAGTATCTATGACCAGTAAATAACTCTGAACAGTGAGTATCTATGACCAGTAAGTAACTCTGAATAGTGAGTATCTATGACCAGTCAATAACTCTAAACAGTAAGTATCTATGACCAGTAAGTAACTCTGAACAGTAAGTATCTATGACCAGTAAGTCCCTCTGAACAGTAAGTATCTATGACCAGTAAGTATGTATGATCAGTTACTAACTTTGAACACTAGTAAACAATGACTTGCAACTTTTTTAACACAACACATTTCTGAGACGTGGCCGGCAGCAGTCACTTCGTTCCGGGGATGTTAGAACAAGTTGGGAATCATATGCATAGATGTGCGAGATTTTTTTGGGAACAAATTTAAAGCAAGCTATTTGAATGAAACTATGGAGTTATTCTTCTCTATAATTTTACTAGTCTATAAGTCGGAGCATGGCGAATCGGTGGACTATATATGTATATATAACTCCCATAGGAACAATCGGAAAATTGAAGAACTCTGAATAGTAAGTATCTATAATCAGTAAGTAGCTATTAGCAGTAAGTAGCTCTAAACAATGAGTATCTATGACCAGTAAGTAACTCTGAACAGTGAGTATCTATGACCAGTAAGGAGCTCTGAACAGTGAGTATCCATGACCAGTAAGTAACTCTGAACAGTATGTACCTATGACCAGTAAGTAACTCTGAACAGTAAGTATCTATGACCAGTAAGTATGTATGATCAGTTACTAACTTTGAACACTAGTAAACAATGACTTGCAACTTTTTTAACACAACACATTTCTGAGACGTGGCCGGCAGCAGTCACTTCGTTCCGGGGATGTTAGAACAAATTGGGAATCATATGCACAGATGTGCGAGATTTGTTTGGGAACAAATTTAAAGCAAGCTATTTGAATAAAACTATGGAGTTTTTCTTCTACATAGATAATTTTACTAGTATATAAGTCGGAGCATGGCGAATCGGTGGACTATATATATATATATATAACTCGCATAGGAACGATCGGAAAATTAAAGAAATAAAACTATGAGCAGTAAGTAACTCTGAATAGTAAGTATCTATAATCAGGAAGTAGCTATTAGCATAAATTAACTCTGAACAGTGAGTATCTATGACCAGTAAGTAACTCTGAACAGTGTGTATCTATGACCAGTAAGTAACTCTGAACAGTAAGTATCTATGACCAGTAAGTATATATGATCAGTTACTAACTTTGAACACTAGTAAACAATGACTTGCAACTTTTTTAACACAACACATTTCTGAGACGTGGCCGGCAGCAGTCACTTCGTTCCGGGGATGTTAGAACAAGTTGGGAATCATATGCATAGATGTGCGAGATTTGTTTGGGAACAAATTTAAAGCAAGCTATTTGAATGAAACTATGGAGTTATTCTTCTCTATAATTTTACTAGTCTATAAGTCGGAGCATGGCGAATCGGTGGACTATATATGTATATATAACTCCCATAGGAACAATCGGAAAATTGAAGAACTCTGAATAGTAAGTATCTATAATCAGTAAGTAGCTATTAGCAGTAAGTAGCTCTAAACAATGAGTATCTATGACCAGTAAGTAACTCTGAACAGTGAGTATCTATGACCAGTAAGGAGCTCTGAACAGTGAGTATCCATGACCAGTAAGTAACTCTGAACAGTATGTACCTATGACCAGTAAGTAACTCTGAACAGTAAGTATCTATGACCAGTAAGTATGTATGATCAGTTACTAACTTTGAACACTAGTAAACAATGACTTGCAACTTTTTTAACACAACACATTTCTGAGACGTGGCCGGCAGCAGTCACTTCGTTCCGGGGATGTTTGAACAAGTTGGGAATCATATGGAGAGATGTGCGAGATTTGTTTGGGAACAAATTTAAAGCAAGCTATTTGAATGAAACTATGGAGTTATTCTTCTACATATATAATTTTACTAGTATATAAGTCGGAGCATGGCGAATCGGTGGACTATATATATATATATATAACTCCCATAGGAACGATCGGAAAATTTAAGAAATAAAACTATGATCAGTAAGTAACTCTGAATAGTAAGTAGCTATTAGCATTAATAAACTCTGAACAGTGAGTATCTATGACCAGTAAGTAACTCTGAACAGTGAGTATCTATGACCAGTCAATAACTCTGAACAGTAAGTATCTATGACCAGTAAGTAACTCTGAACAGTAAGTATCTATGACCAGTAAGTAACTCTGAACAGTAAGTACCTATGACCAGTAAGTATGTATGATCAGTTACTAACTTTGAACACTAGTAAACAATGACTTGCAACTTTTTTAACACAACACATTTCTGAGACGTGGCCGGCAGCAGTCACTTCGTTCCGGGGATGTTAGAACAAGTTGGGAATCATATGCATAGATGTGCGAGATTTGTTTGGGAACAAATTTAAAGCAAGCTATTTGAATGAAACTATGGAGTTATTCTTCTCTATAATTTTACTAGTCTATAAGTCGGAGCATGGCGAATCGGTGGATTATATATATATATAACTCCCATAGGAACAATCGGAAAATTGAAGAACTCTGAATAGTAAGTATCTATAATCAGTAAGTAGCTATTAGCAGTAAGTAGCTCTAAACAATGAGTATCTATGACCAGTAAGTAACTCTAAACAGTGAGTATCTATGACCAGTAAGGAGCTCTGAACAGTGAGTATCCATGACCAGTAAGTAACTCTGAACAGTAAGTATCTATGACCAGTAAGTATGTATGATCAGTTACTAACTTTGAACACTAGTAAACAATGACTTGCAACTTTTTTAACACAACACATTTCTGAGACGTGGCCGGCAGCAGTCACTTCGTTCCGGGGATGTTAGAACAAGTTGGGAATCATATGCACAGATGTGCGAGATTTGTTTGGGAACAAATTTAAAGCAAGCTATATGAATGGAACTATGGAGTTATTCTTCTACATATATAATTTTACTAGTATATAAGTCGGAGCATGGCGAATCGGTGGACTATATATATATATATATAACTCCCATAGGAACGATCGGAAAATTTAAGAAATAAAACTATGATCAGTAAGTAACTCTGAATAGTAAGTAGCTATTAGCATTAATAAACTCTGAACAGTGAGTATCTATGACCAGTAAGTAACTCTGAACAGTGAGTATCTATGACCAGTAAGTAACTCTGAATAGTGAGTATCTATGACCAGTCAATAACTCTGAACAGTAAGTATCTATGACCAGTAAGTAACTCTGAACAGTAAGTATCTATGACCAGTAAGTAACTCTGAACAGTAAGTATCTATGACCAGTAAGTATGTATGATCAGTTACTAACTTTGAACACTAGTAAACAATGACTTGCAACTTTTTTAACACAACACATTTCTGAGACGTGGCCGGCAGCAGTCACTTCGTTCCGGGGATGTTAGAACAAGTTGGGAATCATATGCATAGATGTGCGAGATTTGTTTGGGAACAAATTTAAAGCAAGCTATTTGAATGAAACTATGGAGTTATTCTTCTCTATAATTTTACTAGTCTATAAGTCGGAGCATGGCGAATCGGTGGATTATATATATATATAACTCCCATAGGAACAATCGGAAAATTGAAGAACTCTGAATAGTAAGTATCTATAATCAGTAAGTAGCTATTAGCAGTAAGTAGCTCTAAACAATGAGTATCTATGACCAGTAAGTAACTCTAAACAGTGAGTATCTATGACCAGTAAGGAGCTCTGAACAGTGAGTATCCATGACCAGTAAGTAACTCTGAACAGTAAGTATCTATGACCAGTAAGTATGTATGATCAGTTACTAACTTTGAACACTAGTAAACAATGACTTGCAACTTTTTTAACACAACACATTTCTGAGACGTGGCCGGCAGCAGTCACTTCGTTCCGGGGATGTTTGAACAAGTTGGGAATCATATGGAGAGATGTGCGAGATTTGTTTGGGAACAAATTTAAAGCAAGCTATTTGAATGAAACTATGGAGTTATTCTTCTACATATATAATTTTACTAGTATATAAGTCGGAGCATGGCGAATCGGTGGACTATATATATATATATATAACTCCCATAGGAACGATCGGAAAATTTAAGAAATAAAACTATGATCAGTAAGTAACTCTGAATAGTAAGTAGCTATTAGCATTAATAAACTCTGAACAGTGAGTATCTATGACCAGTAAGTAACTCTGAACAGTGAGTATCTATGACCAGTAAGTAACTCTGAATAGTGAGTATCTATGACCAGTCAATAACTCTGAACAGTAAGTATCTATGACCAGTAAGTAACTCTGAACAGTAAGTACCTATGACCAGTAAGTATGTATGATCAGTTACTAACTTTGAACACTAGTAAACAATGACTTGCAACTTTTTTAACACAACACATTTCTGAGACGTGGCCGGCAGCAGTCACTTCGTTCCGGGGATGTTAGAACAAGTTGGGAATCATATGCACAGATGTGCGAGATTTGTTTGGGAACAAATTTAAAGCAAGCTATATGAATGGAACTATGGAGTTATTCTTCTACATATATAATTTTACTATTATAGAAGTCGGAGCATGGTGAATCGGTGGACTATATATACATATATATAACTCGCATAGGAACGATCGGAAAATTAAAGAAATAAAACTATGAGCAGTAAGTAACTCTGAATAGTAAGTATCTATAATCAGTAAGTAGCTATTAGCATTAATTAACTCTGAACAGTGAGTATCTATGACCAGTAAGTAACTCTGAACAGTGTGTATCTATGACCAGTAAGTAACTCTGAACAGTAAGTACCTATGACCAGTAAGTATGTATGATCAGTTACTAACTTTGAACACTAGTAAACAATGACTTGCAACTTTTTTAACACAACACATTTCTGAGACGTGGCCGGCAGCAGTCACTTCGTTCCGGGGATGTTAGAACAAGTTGGGAATCATATGCATAGATGTGCGAGATTTGTTTGGGAACAAATTTAAAGCAAGCTATTTGAATGAAACTATGGAGTTATTCTTCTCTATAATTTTACTAGTCTATAAGTCGGAGCATGGCGAATCGGTGGATTATATATATATATAACTCCCATAGGAACAATCGGAAAATTGAAGAACTCTGAATAGTAAGTATCTATAATCAGTAAGTAGCTATTAGCAGTAAGTAGCTCTAAACAATGAGTATCTATGACCAGTAAGTAACTCTAAACAGTGAGTATCTATGACCAGTAAGGAGCTCTGAACAGTGAGTATCCATGACCAGTAAGTAACTCTGAACAGTAAGTATCTATGACCAGTAAGTATGTATGATCAGTTACTAACTTTGAACACTAGTAAACAATGACTTGCAACTTTTTTAACACAACACATTTCTGAGACGTGGCCGGCAGCAGTCACTTCGTTCCGGGGATGTTAGAACAAGTTGGGAATCATATGCACAGATGTGCGAGATTTGTTTGGGAACAAATTTAAAGCAAGCTATTTGAATGGAACTATGGAGTTATTCTTCTACATATATAATTTTACTAGTATATAAGTCGGAGCATGGCGAATCGGTGGACTATATATATATATATATAACTCCCATAGGAACGATCGGAAAATTAAAGAAATAAAACTATGAGCAGTAAGTAACTCTGAATAGTAAGTATCTATAATCAGTAAGTAGCTATTAGGATTAATTAACTCTGAACAGTGAGTATCTATGACCAATAAGTAACTCTGAACAGTGAGTATCTATGACCAGTATATAACTCTGAACAGTAAGTATCTATGAGCAGTAAGTAACTCTGAACAGTAAGTATCTATGACCAGTAAGTATGTATGATCAGTTACTAACTTTGAACACTAGTAAACAATGACTTGCAACTTTTTTAACACAACACATTTCTGAGACGTGGCCGGCAGCAGTCACTTCGTTCCGGGGATGTTAGAACAAGTTGGGAATCATATGCAGAGAAGTGCGAGATTTGTTTGGGAACAACTTTAAAGCAAGCTATATGAATGGAACTATGGAGTTATTCCTCTACATATATAATTTTACTATTATAGAAGTCGGAGAATGGTGAATCGGTGGACTATATATACATATATATAACCCGCATAGGAACGATCGGAAAATTAAAGAAATAAAACTATGAGCAGTAAGTAACTCTGAATAGTAAGTATCTATAATCAGTAAGTAGCTATTAGGATTAATTAACTCTGAACAGTGAGTATCTATGACCAATAAGTAACTCTGAACAGTGAGTATCTATGACCAGTATATAACTCTGAACAGTAAGTATCTATGACCAGTAAGTAGCTATTAGCATTAATTAACTCTGAACAGTAAGTAACTCTGAACAGTAAGTATCTATGACCAGTAAGTATGTATGATCAGTTACTAACTTTGAACACTAGTAAACAATGACTTGCAACTTTTTTAACACAACACATTTCTGAGACGTGGCCGGCAGCAGTCACTTCGTTCCGGGGATGTTAGAACAAGTTGGGAATCATATGCACAGATGTGCGAGATTTGTTTGGGAACAAATTTAAAGCAAGCTATATGAATGGAACTATGGAGTTATTCTTCTACATATATAATTTTACTATTATAGAAGTCGGAGCATGGTGAATCGGTGGACTATATATACATATATATAACTCGCATAGGAACGATCGGAAAATTAAAGAAATAAAACTATGAGCAGTAAGTAACTCTGAATAGTAAGTATCTATAATCAGTAAGTAGCTATTAGCATTAATTAACTCTGAACAGTGAGTATCTATGACCAGTAAGTAACTCTGAACAGTGTGTATCTATGACCAGTAAGTAACTCTGAACAGTAAGTACCTATGACCAGTAAGTATATATGATCAGTTACTAACTTTGAACACTAGTAAACAATGACTTGCAACTTTTTTAACACAACACATTTCTGAGACGTGGCCGGCAGCAGTCACTTCGTTCCGGGGATGTTAGAACAAGTTGGGAATCATATGCACAGATGTGCGAGATTTGTTTGGGAACAAATTTAAAGCAAGCTATTTGAATGACACTATGGAGTTATTCTTCTACATATATAATTTTACTATTATAGAAGTCGGAGCATGGTGAATCGGTGGACTATATATACATATATATAACTCGCATAGGAACGATCGGAAAATTAAAGAAATAAAACTATGAGCAGTAAGTAACTCTGAATAGTAAGTATCTATAATCAGTAAGTAGCTATTAGGATTAATTAACTCTGAACAGTGAGTATCTATGACCAATAAGTAACTCTGAACAGTGAGTATCTATGACCAGTAAATAACTCTGAACAGTAAGTATCTATGACCAGTAAGTAGCTATTAGCATTAATTAACTCTGAACAGTAAGTAACTCTGAACAGTGAGTATCTATGACCAGTAAGTAACTCTGAACAGTGAGTATCTATGACCAGTAAATAACTCTGAACAGTAAGTATCTATGACCAGTAAGTAACTCTGAACAGTAAGTATCTATGACCAGTAAGTCCCTCTGAACAGTAAGTATCTATGACCAGTAAGTATGTATGATCAGTTACTAACTTTGAACACTAGTAAACAATGACTTGCAACTTTTTTAACACAACACATTTCTGAGACGTGGCCGGCAGCAGTCACTTCGTTCCGGGGATGTTAGAACAAGTTGGGAATCATATGCACAGATGTGCGAGATTTGTTTGGGAACAAATTTAAAGCAAGCTATATGAATGGAACTATGGAGTTATTCTTCTACATATATAATTTTACTATTATAGAAGTTGGAGCATGGTGAATCGGTGGACTATATATATACATATATATTTATAGCTTCCATAGGAAAGATCGGAAAATTTTAAGATTTTCATCAATTTTGATATATAGCCGTTGTGCTATATATGCCAGTCGGCTCCCTGATCCAATTGAAAACTGCGAGGTATACAAATTTCAGATCCTGAAGCTAAGTTGCTCTTGTTTCATTTTATATTTAGTATTTTGATAAACCACCTGATCCCTAGTCAAAAACATTTGGTGACGTATGTATGGATAGAATTCTTCATATTTATGTATGCCTCTCGCTCACATTCATGGCTAACAAACCACTTTCGTCGGCTTGTGTACTAACCTTAAAGTTTACGGCTTTACAAAGAAATGGTTAACAGCCTTGAATAATTCTACGTACCAAGACTAAGTACATATGCACATATGAATGTACATGGTTACATTCATACATAATTATTGCTGATCTTCATTATTCAAATAGGTTCTCTATCACTATTTTACAACTTTACTTAAATATTGTCCGACCTTCAACATATAAAACATAATAAATGAAATAAATTGCGCCAAAAACATAATGTTTATGTACATTCATATGTATGTAAGTATGTACATAAAGAACGTAAGGCATACTCACGGAGTTGAGTGCCCAGCGTAATGGTGCTGATTTCCTCGAGACTGTTGTTGTTATCGTCATCATCCTCCGGATCTTGGGTGTACTCCGAGTACTCATAGTCCAGGCTGTCGACTACCGATGATTCTGCAATGGATTCCAGCTCTTCATCGTCCACCGACGTCGTCGCCTGTGACGCCAACCACTCCCGGGTCCGCTCCTGACTAAGCTTTGATGTGGATGTGGACGTTGGCATGTTGGACATGGCTGCAGTTTGGGCCCTCTTTGTTAATTATACGCGTGTGGCTTTATTTTGTTTATCAATACTATGAGTTAGCAATATAATACTGCTTCACTATTTTTATATTGATAAGTTTCGACAGCAGTCCCATGTCGCGTCCACCTTGCGCGATAAGATAAGGACAAGCCAAAGCTGGAGAACCTGTCCACCATTATATGCTAGGAGACTGTAGATATTGTTGCATAGGTATTGGGCCCTTGCCTTGTTACAATTGTATACAATAATATTTATTATATTAAGCTCGACAAGTTCACTGTTTTGCGATACTATTAATTGCCTTCGGCTATCGATATAAAAAAGTGATCGCATTTATGTATTCGATCCGATAGTTTTGTTGAAGATCATAAATAAATTTATTAAGTTTCGACAGCCCCTGTTGTTGTTTAGTCACGTTATTAATATATTTTAGCCTAAATTTTGATTACTGATCGTTTTCTATAATATTCATTCTTCACTCGATATTAGTTAGTAAAATTAAATCTCAAAATTGTGGTGGCCATTAGCAACAATTTCTGCCGAGCCCTTAACTTTATTATATTGTTATATAATATCATTATATTGTTAAATAATAAAATAAATTATATTTTGCAAAAAGTCAAGTGTGAACAACTGATTAAATCTGTGGAAAGTATCGCACGAACTAAATATCGATAAAAAAAAGAATCGTTCGGACGGTTGCCCAAAATAAAACATAAATCCGCTTATATTGCGGGAAAACTAAAATTACTGTGGTCTTCTTCCCCATGTATCCCTATGATACAAATTAGGTAAGCTTCTATACTAGTGGCAGGAGCCGATTAGTGTGGTGTCAAAGCACAAACTCTTGCCAATATAGCAAATCAACTTGTATTTTCAAACTTTTCGGTCTTTTAATATAATATTTATATAATTTAAGTGTAACACTCAGAGCTAGCACAAGGGTAATTAGCCCCGGTAATCGTTCGCCTTTATTATTATTCTGCTCAACTGCTTGTACCTTGGCAATATTTTATTTATATCTGAGATTTCAACCACAAGTGCATACTACATATTTATATACTACACATTTGCAGTTTTGGTCGTCAGTTGCCGTGACTACGACTACGACCTCAGACGATGGGCGATAATAAAAGAGTACCGACGCAACTGCGCCGCAGTGTGCACCAGTGCCTCGAGGATTATCCGTACAGCATAGCCAGCGAAGCCCAAAGCAACCTGCAGGCCAGCTGCAAAAGTAGGACGTCCGTCAGTGGAATGCAAAAATGAATTAAATAAGCTTTTATTCCGTTCCGCAGACTCGCTGAGCTTTGTGCAGCGATTGGGATTGCTGCAGACACTTTACGTCCATAATGGATGCGTGAATACGGTTAATTGGAACGCCAGTGGCACACTTATCGTCTCGGGCTCCGATGACAACCATTTGGTCGTCACCGATGCCCACAGTCGGCAGGTGCTGGCCAGGAGCAAGACGCAGCACAAGCATCACATCTTCAGCGCCCGATTCATGCCGCACACCAACGACAGTGCCATTGTCTCCTGTTCCGGCGAGGGTCTAGTCATGCACACCGAGTTCCTGACCGAGTATCGTCGAACCGCCAGGAGAAGCGAGAAAGCAGACTGTTGCCTGGGCGGTGAAAACGAGCGTACTACCAACACCTTTGACTGCCATAAGTTTGGAAGCACCTTCGACGTCCTGCCACTGCCCGACACTCCGCGCAGCTTTCTCAGCTGCGGCGAGGATGCCACAGTCCGCTGCTTTGATCTCCGAGTGTCCTCTAGTTGCTCCGAACGCGTGTGCCAGAAGCATATATTCATAATGGCACCTTGTGCCGTGACGGCCATGGATGTAGCACCTATAAGCCACCACAGTGTGGCTATAGGCTGTTCCGACTCGATAGTTCGTCTCTACGACAGGCGCATGCTAGCTGGTGGGCCATCAGACAGCTCAACGATGATGCCCTACAAGGCGTATCCCATACCCATGGAGTATACGCGTCGCCATTATCGTCCCACATGCGTCAAGTTTAGTCCGGACGAGTCCGAGCTCCTAGTCAGCTACTCAATGGAGCAGCTGTATCTGTTCGATCTGAAGCATCCGGGCTATAGTGATGCAGAGCTGCTGAAGAGCGGATGCTATACACCAAAAATGAGGCGCGACGATGATCCAGAACCGCAAATGCCACGGTTGCGATTTCGGGGCGATTGGTCGGACACTGGGCCCAATTCCCTATCAGCAGGAGTGCAGGGTGTTAACCAGACCAACATCGGCCAGGCACGTCCCGCTCTGGAGCCCGGCGTCTTAAGTCGTCTCAGCGACGAAATATTTCGCCTGCTCAACTCGCCAAGCCAAAGGCGGCAGGCCCCTACTGTGGCAGTACAGCCAGATCAGCCAGTAGCAGTCCCCCAGGCACCGGGAAGTGCATCCGCTGGTAATGGTAATGGTCATCGTAGTGGTCCCAGGTCGTGGCAAAATGCAGTTTTCCGTACCATGGCGAATGCGTCTGCAGCCTCGAACAGCGGACAAAGGCCGAGCAGTCCCCCATCCCAAGGAGCAAGCAATGATGGTAAGCAATGGTGTGGAGCTAGGAACTAAATCTAGATTAATTATATATTTCTTTTACAGATCTTCCAAAGAGTCCGGAAAGTCAGAACAACGAAGGAGCGGCTCAGCAGTTTCCTATCAAGAAATTCGATTACGTTAAAATGTCGTTCAGTGGCCACAGGAACTCAAGGACTATGGTGAAGGGGGCTAGTTTTTGGGGCGATGATTTTATAATGTCCGGCTCTGATTGCGGTCACATTTTCGTTTGGAATCGGGCAACGGGAAAGGTGGTCAAGACCCTGCTGGCCGATAACCGTGTGGTCAATCGAGTGCAGCCGCATCCCACTTTACCCTACTTGCTCAGCTCTGGCATTGACTACAATGTGAAGTTGTGGGCGCCGATAGCAGCCGAGCCCCACTTTGATGAGGAGGAGTGTGCCGGGGTAAGTAATTGCTCAGATTAGAGGTCCACTAATTACTTATAAATATATATATATATTGTTTTGTGTACTTTTCCACTGTTTTAGTTGATCAAAAATAACGAGATTATGCTGGTGGAGACGCGCGATACCATAACCGTACCTGCCCAGATAATGATTCGAATACTGGCCAGCTTGCATCATGCCGCTGGCAGCGAATCCAGATCCCGAGCAGCCGCAGCGACAGATTCAAATTCAATTGGCATTGCTAGCGCTGAGGCCGCCCAAAATGCTAATAGTGATAATAATGAAAGTGACCATGAAAATATTAATAATGAAACTAGTAATATTCCTGAAAACGACACGATCTAATCCAAAAATCTAGTTACATTTTGTTTATGTATTCGTAGAATTACCCTAAATTATATATGTACATATATATTAACCTCTCTAACTGCGTTTATGCACGAAACCAGGAAATGCACATAAAAAGCACATAAAGACAAGGGCATCACCGTGGGTTGGTATTCTTGCTCTTTCAGGTTAATCAGATATCTTATACTTTTAACAGACAGACGGGGAATTTACTTATAAAATTATATAGAAGACAAGAACATTAGCATGACGGTTAGGATCGGGGTAGCTTCAGCGCATCAAAGTGGACTGTGTAACGACATTGGAACCTTACAGCGTTTGAGTCTGGTAATTAATAAGTGAAAACAAACTTTAAACCATGCAAATATGCAATTTAACGAATAATTTACAATATGAAAATGCAGCACTTGTTTTAGTATATATATATATAGTATATATATGTATTTGAAATTTTGGTGACAACACATTTTCGAACACAAATCTGTATGCAATCCGAATTTTACAATTTTGTGGGTTAAATGTGAGGCTCCCAATTTATCATCGGTGTTTAAAATATACAAACGAACTAGCCAGCCAAAAATATTATCAAGGTCGATCATCATCCATCATTTTGAAGTATAAGTAAAAAGTAGTTATTATTTTCTTTCCCAAAATCAACAACGACTTGCATGACAGAAATTAGACGGTACGCCCGACCGCCCACTTTGCATACATCAGATTTTTATATTGATTATTGCTATTTACGAGCTGTCTCGCGCCGCTCCCGCCACTTGCTATGCAAATAGCAGCCATCCGATGTAAAGGAAGGAAATCAAAAGAAATAGTTTCGAAAGGTTTTGCTCGTCCTCGTATTGCATTGTGCCACGATTGGCAGCTGGGGGAGGGGGGGAGAAATGTGTCCATTACTCATCTATCTTTCGGACTACAGGGCAGTGGATCACTTACCTGCCGGACGTGGTTCTCCAAAGTTAAGCGAAGATGTTATAAAGCCAAAGGGGAAGGCACCAATGCCAAATGACATGTGGAAACCATCACCGAAACCAAATCCTGGAAAGCCAGGGGCGGGCTCTGGCTCTGTTCTGTGGCCGGGGGACGTGGTGGAACTTTGTTGCTGGAATAAAATGAAATTATTGCATTAGATATGATAGTTTAACAATAACAATTGGTAAGGTCCTTACCGAGGATCCTCTTGGCGAGTGCTGTTGCGGCCATAGAGTGGTATAACCTTATCTTTATCGACAGCCGCTTTGCACACGGGGCAGAGCTTGCGATTGGGCCGTGTCAAGAGCCACTGGTGCAGACATGGCCAGCAAAACAAGTGGCCGCACATGCTCACCACCGCATCCTTTGCCGTGTCCAGACAAATGTTGCACTCGTATAGTGACTCCTCGTTTTGTTCCGCATTCTTATCCTTGCTCTCGGCGCCTTCCGAGTTAGTAGTGGGGTCATTCGGTTTGGACTCATTGTCAGAGGAAATACTAGATTTTAAATCTTTTCCAGTGAAGGAATATGATGTTGTAGATGGATTCGCCTCTATTGAGGCTGTTGCTGCCCCAGAATCAGATGCGATTTGTCGTAATTGACTTGTAGAAGGCTCCTCCTCGGACATGGCTTCCGTTATGTCGCCTCCAGTCCACATAATTTTGTCGTAGTTTACGTTGGTTGTGGATGAAGCTGCAGTACTGGACGATGATGTACTGGGAAGCTCTGACGCTGGTACCTGCTGCGGCACTTCCATTGTCAAGCCAGGATGCTAACCCAAAGCGGTTGCTGCTTTCCCGTGCTAATGTTTAAACTGTAACAGAGAGAAACCGAGGTTTTTTGTTAAATCGATTTTATATAATTTTATTACAAATTAAGCCAGACAAACCTGGAAATAAAATTGATCTGAATCTACCACAGGGTCGGAAAATATAGAGATTTTGACTTTAGCAGACTGACATTTTTTGGTTTAATTTTGACAATATGACTTTAAAGAAAGCCTATTGGGTTTATAATTTTCGAATGATTAGGAAGGAACGGTTTCATACCGATATTGTTAATGATGTACATACATATGTATGTACATGCATTAGTGAAATAACTGCTTCAAGAATTCACCGTATCTTACAACGCCAGTCTTTATATGTGTCTAATCTATCTTGTATTATTATTATTATTTCTAAGCTCTTCCTGAACCTTCCTTGTACACCTGAAATAATCAAAATGATTGTGAAATATTGGTTAAATGAATATATTTACATACATCGCCGTTTGGGGGCACTGTGCAGTGGAAACTTATCGCGACTCGTTAAATCACACAGAACGGTTTTCATACATATCGATGTATGTAGATGTATAAATACAACTGCGACTCGAAGCGCCGTTTAAAATGAACCTATTTATATGTATGTGTGCTCATGTATGTAGGCATGTACGCACAAAAACACTTGACATTACATTGGGTAGTAGGGGATGTTTGCTAATTCCAATGTTTACTTTGTGGTTTTCATGTCACGGGACTATGTTACTACGTCTTATTGAAATATGCTTCGAAATACCGTATAGCCAACCTTGTAAATAAAGTCCTTGTATGTTGTATGCCACGAAACAGGTAAGACAAATATCAATACGGATTCTCGACGAAAACGGGTTGGAGCAATAAATGACGATACCTGCCACAGTCGATAGACCTTTAACCTATCGTTTCACACCGTTAAAATGTATATGCCCACTAGCGTTGCTTATCTATCGATATCAGAATAATCGTTTCTATTGGCTTAATTTAAAATGAAGTTTTAATTTTAATAGTATGCTACTTTGACTGAAAAGTAAGCCACTGCAGACTAACAGTTTGGAAATTTTATAATAAAATTTGCCATGCACAACAAGCGTTTATTCTGCATTTTTAGATATCGATAGCATATGGTCGTGAAAACTCTGTTTAGCAATCGATAGCAAAATAAAAACGAGTTGGCAGAGCTTGAAATAGGACGCAGTTATTAAAGTTAATTATTACTTTATTTTTTTGTTTACATGTACCCGCTGAGATAAGTTCAGAAGAATATCCACACGGCTTCAAAGTTCTAAAGAGACGAATCCACAGAGCTAATGCACTGTGGGTTTATTTCGCCGGTTGTCTTCGAATGCTAAATAAGCCAATATTGCAAAATGAATCCCTGTGTGTTGCCCACGCCTGTGCCTGATTTAGACGGCGACAAGCGTTGGCACAGTATACATCGCCGGTTTCTGTCCGACTGCCGTGAAAAAGACCCTGACGTCATATTTCTGGGCGACTGCATTTTCGAGACACTGCAAGACGGCGAGGCGTGGAATAAGTATTTTGCTCCACTGCACTGCCTTAACTTTAGCATACGTGACGACTGCACAGAGCATGTACTTTGGCGCATCGAAAATGGCGCTCTTGACAATGTTAATCCGAAAATAGTTGTCTTGCATGTCGGCACCAACAATGTAAATAATAGTGCCAACGAGGTGGCCGAAGGTGTTCTCGCAAATGTCTCGATGATACGCCAAAAGCTTCCAAACGCCTACATCCTGCTGCCGGTAAGTGACTCCTACAGTACATAAGTATGAACATAAATATATAATAAGTTGTAAAAATTTGTCACAGTCACTACTGCCACGCGGACAGCTGCCTAACAAGTTGCGTGAGAAGAACGCCAGCATTAATGAATTGATCAATGAAATGACCAAGAAACTAAATCGTGTCCAGACAGTGGCCATCGACAAGGGCTTGGTGCAGAGCGACGGTAGCATAAGTCATCACGACATGTTTGACTATAAAAATCTCACAAATGCGGGCGCCAAAAAGATCCTTGAACCGCTCTACGATTTGCTTTCGCAAATTCTCAATGAAAACGAACCAGAAGGCGATCTCACTCCCTCCGAATGAATATGCCGGATGATGCATGGAGTACCGATGACTGTATTTGAATGCAAAATTTTTGCCTCTTCGAAAAATCTCAAACAAGGGGTCGGAGAAGCCTGCAAACTACATACCACAATCAACACACAAATTCCCTCTTACTCACTCTCATCAATAAACCATCGCGAATACAAATATGTTTCCCACACATCCTATGTTTAAGATATTATAATTACTAAATTTGGAGTAAAATGCGTAAATATGTTAACATTTGCATTGAACATATCGGTGAATTCATTTGGAAAGAACAAGGTTCTCATGTAATGGACTTTCAGATCTGGCCTTTGCACGGATATTAGAGTTAGTTGAAGGTGTTTCCAGAAGTTATATTGAACCTTTATGTGAGTAATCATTGCATTTTTCAATTTCAAGTCTCTCTTTCTAATTGTCTTGCCATCTCCCTCAGACTCACGGTTTTCGTTTTTAAGAAACAACTGAATCCCGATCATACTTTCATTTTAAAATTACTTAACAATTTCAAAATATAACCAGGAAAATCTATATGTAGATTAAAATTATATACTATACATACTTATAATTTTTTGTTGCCCTTTCAATTTCCTAATTGCCTGAGGAAAAGAGGGAAAAAGAGAAGAAACACAATACTCCAATGCACGCGCAGATGTTGTACGACTTAGACATGTCTGTCTCGAGTGGCTAATGTACGCCTGGCAAAAGGAGATAACAAAATTTCCTAGTTTTGTCTATAAAAACAGGGCCCAAGTAAGAATTTCTCGTATTGCTACGTAGAGAAAGGCCCGGTCCTTTTCCACGATGAAAGTTTGTAAGTAATTTGTGGTTCTAAAGTGACTTCAATTTTTTTGTTAATATCTTCGCGAAGAAAATTTGTTTTTTTTTTTTGTTAATTTTGTATATTTATAACGACTTGTGACAAAAAGGATACATTTACAACACAGACATACAAAAAACAAAAAGTGTCCTTAATGAGAACCTCGGATATGGATTAAAAATACTTTTTTGTGTCTGATTTTTTTTTCGTGGCTGTGTAATTAAAGGACAGTTGTGAATTTTTTACCAGAGCCCAAATAATATTTTCTTATTTATTCTCTTCAGACAACTTTATGTGGCTGACTCTTGTGGCCATAATATGTTCACTGATAACAATAAGCGTGGCCTATACGCCTGAGTGTGCGGACATATATAATGGCATCCCGTTTGCGGACCCGGAGAGTTGCTCAAGCTTTTATGTCTGCCTGCGTGGAAAAGCCATCAGACGAGAATGCACTCGAGGTCTCTACTTCGATCCGAAAACCCTAGTCTGCAATTTACCCAGTTTTGTAAAATGTTTTAATGGAGATCGCAGTGGGTCTCCCATTGACGAATATGATTCTGACGAGCTTTTACCAGTCGAAGAAACGCCTAATAGAGCACCCCCTAAAACGCAACTTAATATTGAAACTGAAAAGCAAAGCTTAACTACACCTTGCTCCACCACAGCTACAACGCCGTGCAGTTCATCAACTACAACTTGTACAACAACGACCTGTACAACAAAAACCTGTACTACGACTACCTGTACAACAACAACCTGTACAACAACGACCTGTACAACTACAACCTGTAGTACGACGACCAGTACAACAACAACCTGTACAACAACAACGTGTACGACAACGACCTGTACAACTACAACCTGTACAACAACGACCTGTACTACGACGACCTGTACAACTACGACCTGTACTACGACGACCTGTACAACTACAACCTGTACTACGACGACCTGTACAACTACGACCTGTACTACGACGACCTGTACTACGACGACCTGTACAACTACAACCTGTACTACTACGACCTGTACAACCACGACCTGTACTACGACGACCTGTACTACTACGACCTGTACAACCACGACCTGTACTACAACGACCTGTACAACTACGACCTGTACTACGACGACCTGTACAACAACAACCTGTACAACAACAACGTGTACAACTACGACCTGTACTACGACGACCTGTACAACTACAACCTGTACTACAACGACCTGTACTACAACGACCTGCACAACTACGACCTGTACTACGACGACCTGTACAACTACAACCTGTACTACTACGACCTGTACAACCACGACCTGTACAACCACGACCTGTACAACTACAACCTGTACTACTACGACCTGTACAACCACGACCTGTACTACAACGACCTGTACAACTACGACTTGTACTACGACGACCTGCACAACTACGACCTGTACTACGACGACCTGTACGACTACAACCTGTACTACAACGACCTGTACAACTACGACCTGTACTACGACGACCTGTACAACTACAACCTGTACTACAACGACCTGTACAACTACGACCTGTACTACAACGACCTGTACAACAACGACTTGTACTACAACGACCTGCACAACTACGACCTGTACTACGACGACCTGTAAAACAACAACCTGTACAACTACAACCTGTAAAACAACAACTTGCACAACCACACAACATACTACAACAAAAAAACCAAAGGTTTCTCAGGACCAAATTGATGATGAATGGAGAGCTCCACCAACAAGAAAGCCTCGTGTTCCTGTGGCATTACCAAGTATTGAAGTATTGAGATCTACGAGTGATTGTCGAGGGATCAATGATGGAGTAATCCTAACAGACGCTAGACACTGCCGTCGCTACTATGTGTGCCGTAAAAACCGGCCCAAGCGCCGTGTGTGCCCAGCTAGAGAGTGGTTCGATCGGGAAAGTAGATCTTGCCGGAATAAAGAACAAGTCTTTAACTGTCCGGCCCGACGAAACTAAGAGTGGAGGGATACATTTCGATTAATAGTCAATAGTACTTATAAAAAATGTCGTTAATGAAATCCTTAGTCGAGGCGTTTAGTGAGAAAATCATATTTCAATATCTTGACCCGCTAATAAAAATATAAGTATTAATTTCATAAATATTTCTTGAAATATAAATTAAATCAGTTTCTTTTAAAGCTTCCTATTTCTTTATATCGTCGCACACAATTCAAATAAATCAGCAATAATGAGAAAGCAACTTTTAATTTTGTTTTCTTTAAATAATTGAACTATTATCTACTTTTACAGTCTTTGGAAGCGTAGAAACTACCCCAGTTTAAATGCCTTTCAAAGTTTAAGTTTCAAAGATAATTATATATATTTTACTATTTACAAATAATTTAAAATATCGTTAAGGCTCTGTAGGTTCATACATATTTAAGAATTTTAGAAAATGGAAAACTAAATGCTCAACTAGCTTTCCTTAGTCCTTTCTGCGGTGGCGAAATGCATATATATAATATACGATGCACAAGAATAAATAAAAATCTTAGACTAAAGTACAGAAAATATTAGAAATAAGCTGAGCCATGGCAGGGACATTGATATGATAATGAGCTGGACTTTATAAAAAATATATATATATGTATATATCTTCCAATGTATTTCACTATCCTCTGGAGAGTTGAACTCAATGAAAAAATTAACTCCTTAAGAAAACTGTAATAAGGCCACATGAAACAAGTATGTGTGTGAAAGTCCTAAAATATTTTAGCTAAACTTGGAGTACGACGGAAGGGATTCCATGATCGAGACGACACGCTGCCCACGAGTCGCGCCTTATTGGCGGTCTTCAGCTGGAGCTTTGGCTTTGTCGCCGTACTCGTTGGACTTGGGGAACCGGAAGATGAAATACCCGATGAGCTGGCGGCTGATAGCGTTGATATTGAGCCCTTTGACGACAGCGGCTACAGTTAATAATAATTATAATTAAGCTTGGTTTAATATATATATATCAATTATTAAATACCTTCAAGTAGTTGCGATCCATAGGCGTTATGACTTTTAATTCAAGTGCAGAGCCACAAGATTGTATTAGCTGAACGACCTGCTGGTGTGAATACCACTTAACATCCATGGCAGCTATTTCGACTATAAAATCACCCTCCTTTATACCACCAAGCTAGAAAAAATAATAATTCACATTAAAAATTGATCTTTATATAAAGAAAATCAACTTACATCAGCCAGGGAATTAATCTCCACATGGGCAATGATAACTGGCGCGTCACCGCGCACATGAAAGCCAAAGTTCTCGAACTCTTCCTTGAAGCCACTGTGTTCCGTTGTGTTAAATGTGTTGGAGGAGGCATCATGATATATGGAGGACGTAGACAGGGAAGCGGATCCCTTCTGGAGACGCACACAGCGCGGCGCAGTCCAGTGACGTCTTGCTGAAAATATCGCTATGGGTCCCAGACCTTTGAAGGGATCCTCGACTTTGTACGATGTGAATTCGGGACCAGTCAACGATAACGTAAACTTTGAAGAAGCTAAAATGGAATATAATAAAGTAAATATATAACATATAACTGTATATAACATATATATTCAATTACCCTCAACCACTTGATCTAGCAGATCGTAGCACTCTTCTATGTTATTGGCCGAGGCTTGCATTTTGAATTTCTCATACTCCTCTTGTGTTTTGTATAGCGATTCCTTAATCACTTCCGTCAGCGATGTTTTATTCTGAAATATTTTTTAGAACATTATAAACTTTAAATATACATATGAATATCTTCATAGATATTTATACCTTAAGGTATCGACACATGCGCTGCAAACGCTGCGCCTCTTCGTTGCTATTCATTGCCTCTTTAAGGTGGGTGAGCTTGATTGCAATGGATGAAGACGATGTGGAAACGGTGGACTCACACTGTGCCTCTCGTGCATTGCCAATAAATGATTCTTTTGATTTGGCAGCAGACAGATTCTTTTGGTTAGACAGAGAAGCCAAGGCCTCCGAACCGGAAATGGTATCTATGCTCCGGGCCTCGTAGTAGTGGGCAAAAGCTGGAATTATACAGATTAGATATAGATATGAGCATAATGATGAGCTGCCCACAAGGCACTTCCATACCCTTGTAGAGTTCGGCTTTAAGTGGCACCAGCCCAGCCCAACATTCCGGCAGATAGGTGTGTGTATCATTTGCTTGAATATTTTTGTGCATATCATTATACTCATACGACAGCTGTGACGCCTCTCCAGCCAGGTCCCGATACAACTGCAGAAGAAGAATGAATAATGCAAGGATATATATACATATATATACTTTAAATATATAGACTTACGTGACGAGACTCGGAAAGATCTAATGCTTCAATTTGTAGCTGCAATTTCTCAAAGAGACACTCTCGGGCCTGGGAGAGCATCAGAGAAACGAGTACGTCCAGGACCTGTGGCTTCAAATCCATCGATGGGGCATTCGTGAACGTATCGTAGATGTGCCGGAATATGCCAGCGGCTCGCAGGAAGCTATCAACGGCTAGGTCTAGTCCCCGTTCAGTGGTGCGATCATGCCTCGCACCGATTTGTGTATATATTCCACCCAGATTGAACAGAGTACAGGCCTTCTCGAAGGCAATCGTACGCTGACAAGAGGGCACGCCCGTTAGCGAGTCATACCATTCGAAGTAGACTCCTATATTGCGATCGGGCGGAAAGAAGCGACGTTCCACATAATAAAGCAGGTTGTAGTAGCGAAAAAGTAGCGCTACGCCGAGGCCATCACGTGATGGCGTCTTCGATGCCTGTACAAACAAACACAACACTTGAATAAATTGTGGCAATATATATTGGAATACGAAAGAAACACTTTACCTGTCTGGTGTCTGTTATATCCGCTATGGCATCCATATATATCGAGGGCTCTTCGCTATAGTGCTCCAATATGAAGTCCGAAAATGGTTCCATAAAATTAATCTCCTTGGTTTCCTTAAGGCCCAATGGTATCATAGGCATTACACTGTTGAAACTGTTGGACAAATTTATGTTTTAAAAGTTTTTATTAAGTTTATTTGGTTTTTTAGCTAACTTACCTCTCGCTTTGATATATTTCCACCGATGAATTCAATTCCGCCAACTGTTCCTTCAAAAGTTGCAAATTTGAATTGACAAAGCTCAGTTCCAAGGCAACTGTGTCCCGCAGTTTACGATTTGTTGTGGCCTAAAGTAAAAAGAGGTTTTACTTAAAGAGCTCTTAAAAAGTTATGCAGTTAAGTTATATTGTTAAATTAGTTTGCAAATTACAATTGGTATAGTTAATTTATATATTCCAGACTTATACAGACCTTATATAAATTTTCAGCTCCGGCGCGTAGGCGAAGTTCTTTATTTATCTCTTGGTTTAATTTGCAGCGTCTGTTTTGCAATTTACTTCGACATGTTGCAGCTCTGGGATCTGAGCCCTGAAATACAAATATATTATTTAGTTAATATTAAAAAAGTAGTAGAGTAAAGTAAAGAAGAAAGTAAATATAAAAAAAATAATAATTAAATTAATGCAAAAATCTGAGAATATTTGATAAAGGAGCTTTCAAAATTGTTTTCAAAACAAAATTTAGCAAAGATATTCCTTTTTTAGTGATTTTGTTTATTTGTTCTAGGGAAGTTAATAAATAATTAATATTTAGAACTATGATTGATCTCTGCACTTACCCGTATAAAGCAAAATGATAATCCCTGGGGATCCACTTCGTTGTCGTTCTCCTCATTCTCCTTGGGTGCTTCGTCAGGGCTATGATTGGCTGCATCCATTTTAAGAGATCCGAGAAGGTCTTAAGATCCAAAAATATAAACATATGCCCATCAGAATACATCACAATTGCACTTCAATGTAGTATTTTGTAAGCATAAAGCTCGATTTTATTATTATCTAATATTTAATATAAAAACTTCTTTAAGTTTGAAGCGTATTCAGCCATACCGCACTATTTTAATTAGCTTCCATCAATTTGGGGTCACCGAAAATCAGCTCTAGACCATGCCGACGATCATCAAAAACACATACCAAGAACCGCACAGATAATATATAGAAAATATTATCGAGAACCGGGTTCTGTGTCAACAGGTATTCGACTCTTTTTGGGGTCATGTAACGCCCAACAAAACGATTGCAAACCCACAAAATGGGTGACAAGTTTGAAAGTTTTGTTAGGCATTTATTAAGCTCGTATCAACCCAGTTTTATTATCATATCGTTCATATCATTAACCGATTGCACTGCCCGATGCGTATATAGATTTGGAGCACCACTTATATGTAATGTGGAAAATGCATACACACGAATATTTTAAAAAATGCGACGGTCGTTTTACCACTTTTAGTGGGTTTGTTCAACATTTTTTTTTAGCACCAAAAACGATAAACAACAGTTCCGTTCCACATCATCAGTGGCAGCAGCAACATTCTTACCACATTCCACTAATCAGAACTTACATAGGTGTGTGTTTTTTATTATTATTATTTTTTTATTATATGTTGTTGACGTCGTGCATTTATGGTACCAGGTTTTTATTTTAGTTTTCCGTTTGAATTGTATGTGCAAGAGAGGAAAACTACGCAAAGCTATATATTTACCTTAGTTGGTTGAATTTCCACTCGGACACATATACTCGTTGAAAATGTAAGAAAACACTTGTTGCACTGCACACATTACAATTACACTCAGCTCGAATTGTGTTTCGAATAAATTCCAGATTTTAAAAATTGAGCCTGATTTGTGTGTATCTAACTTGGTATTCCGTTTTTCACTTTCCACAATTATCAAAAACAACAAAAAACAACAGGTTACTGCATTTGGGGATAGCGTCGAAAGCGCGCTGCTACTTGTTTCCGCCCGACTCGCAGTAAACTCTCAAACTGGTTATTTACTCAACGATACGATGGCCTTATTGGAGCTGAAAACTGGAATTGAATCGAGCAGCCAGTGTGGCCGTATAGCAGATAGAAAAACAGGTAAGCTTCGACGGCCAGTGTGGTCGTTTTAGATTAGAAAAACTATCTGGCAACTATAGAAAGCTTAATTCGAGAATATTTTAATAAAAAAGTGATTGAATAAAACCATTGTAGATGATCATTTAATTTAATATTTGTTTTGTTTTTAGATTTATACTCAGTTAAAAAACATTTTCTATACGAATAGTAGGTCAGAACTGACATTGCTGAAAATACAAAATGATTTAAAATATAAAAGAGAACGGTATGCTATTGCCTATATTGAACCTTATAGTATATCTATCTTAAATTATATCTATCTTATATTATATCTATCTTAAATTATATGTCTTAAATTATATCTATATATTATATTCATATTTGTATGAGCTTAAACGGCAAGCATCTTATAAGTTGTGATTAGTTTTGACTTTGTTTAATGGATATTAGTTTGAATTACAAGATTTTGGCCACCGACTAAAAAAAATACTTTAATTTCGAGCAAGTTAACTAAATGAAAACTGAAATCCCAAAAATTTCTCTAGGCTTTAAAGCATTTCTTGTTTTAAAACCAGTTTTTTTACATAGATACTTACTGGGACAATTGGGATTGAAAGGCTTAAGCAATAAGCTTGGTGGTTCGTTTTATTTTTAATTTATTATAAATTTTATTAATTCATTTCAGTGTAAAAATTAAAATGACACAAAAATTTTCTTATGTAATTTTCACATCGTTTTTTCTTAACCTCATTATTTTTTCATTCTTTCTTATCTGCAGCTCTTGCATTTTGCCTAAGGATAAATATATAAAACAAAGTACATATGTATATATATTTAAATATATATATATATATATATATATATATGTAGATACACACATAATGAAATTTGTAAATATAATTGCAATTTTATTGTTTTACATATTCACTGTTCGTCCTTTGTTATTGTTTCAGTTATTGGTATAAATTTATTAATAAATAATTTAAACACTATTAGCTATAGATTTTTTCGTTTCATTTTCCTTTTCTTTCCTTTTGTTTTTCACTTAATACGTACGTATCTTAATTATTATTTAAATTACACGATAGCAAAAAAAAAGTAGTTTCTCTTTAGCGGTTCCCCCAACTTAATACATACTTATACTTTTCTTATACACTCTCGCAAAATACATAAACTAAATATATTTAATAGACACAATACCCATACATATTGACAATTTACATAAATACATAAATCCATGCATATGTAATTTCATATTTATGTGCGTACGTAAAACCCACTTACATACATACATAATGCATGAACGGAAGCTTATCTCCTACACTCTTTATTTTTATTTTGTTTATTGTTTTACTTTCGATTTGAATTATATTGGCATAGTATATACACGCAGACCAATCAATGGCTGTGTTCAACAACACACACACACACACACAACACACATGTTGCACCTGTGTTTTTACTAAATGAAAAAACATCATTTACATACATATGCATAAGTGATGTATTGTGCTGTAAAACGCTACTAAATGTACATAACATATACTATGAACGATGTAATGCACCGCTGAGACAGATCCCTAAACCATTTACAAATGTGCTTAAAATAATATCAGTTTATGGTATGTAATTATTAAAAAATCTAATTTACCGAATCTATCGTTTTACAAATTATATTATTTGTACAAACTTGAATTTAGAATATTCCACATTTAGTAGTATTATTTTGACCACATTTGTTAATGGGCTGAAAGTTCTTTGTGCGTGTGTGTATATGCATGTATATGTACATAGATAGAATAATCTTGGTAAGTCTGCTACGAAAAAAGTGGTTTGTTAATTAGTGTCTTGGTAAATGATCTTCTTTTCTCTTTTTCTTTTTTTTTTGTTATTATTTTCTTATGTTTATAACGATGCAGGGTTCCTTATGAAAAATTAGATTTGCCAACAAACACATATGTAAGTATGTATGATTGTATATGCAATCAATTCACAACAGCACAGAGTGCAACCGTTAATGTATGTATGTATTTACTCAAAGTAGTTACAATTACATTTGCAGTTGCTGTTCAATTACACTGTGCTACAGACAATTCAGCTTTCTAAAGGAGTTGATAATGGTCAAGTCAAGCGATCAGTTTATTTTTATTTTTAATATTTTCAAAGGGTTTTGTTATTTCACTTTTTGCTCAATTTAATTCAGTATTTTGGGTTTTCAAATTTTAAAAGGTAGAATCTGATTTTGTTTATCCACTTTTATGCTTGATAAAAATGAAGAAAAATCATTGAGATAAGTTAACAAAATATTTGGAAAATGTGGTGCCAAAACTTTAGATTTTATCTGAATTGTGCACTAAGAATAACAAAGCTTTCTTAAAATTCGTATTTGTTGATAGAAGTTCTTAAATGTTTCTGTTTAATTTGTGAATTAATCCTATTGTTCGATGGTAAATTGTTTATTTTGAAATTTTCTTTGCAAATAATAAAAGTTCTAAATAAGCACGCTTGACAAGTCCACAATTTTAGAATTTTAATTCCAATAGAAGCAATTTTTAATTATTTTGCGGTTGTAACACAGTGTCAAAAAAGTATTAGTTGTATTTTTTGAATTGGAAAGTACGCATGGCTGATGGCTTGATGATGAAACAACAAGCCGCATACTATATAATACTTTGCTTCTGTTAGGCACTATTTTTTACTTGATTTTTATCTCATTTTTTGAAACGTTTTTCATGAACTTTTAACTCTGTTTTCAATTTAACTTAGTTGTTTTCTTGTTATGGTAATTTACAATAGTGTTTCAGCACACAGGCATATATCTTTTGATACAACAAAAAAATTGATTTTTGAGTTTACAATTGCTGTTTGTTTATTATCTTTACTTTGTGTACATTTTATGTCAATCGGGTTTCACTAGTAATAGCTATGGATAATTATTGATAAATCTTGAAATTGTTTGGGTCTCGTTTAGTCCTCGGAAAAAAATACATCAATTTATCATAATTGTTGCGGAACTTGCAAAAGAAATGCGTATTTGTTGTGGTCGTACAACAACGAAATACTATTATTTATAATAAGTGTATTATGTTTATTTTGTAGCTATACCGAAAATGTAAATGAATACCGCTAATAATATTCAGTGTAATTTGAATTACAATCGATTATATTTAGAATACATACATTTAGTAATATTATTATTATTATCTTTATTCGTAGCAAAGAACACATGTAGGTCCCCTTGCACTTCCCTACATATGTATGTATAATTTCATACAGTTTTTGTTTTAGACATATTATAAGTTGTGTGTGTGTTCGAGCTTGCCTTCGGTGGATGCAGAAATGGCTAATTATATACCAGTTTCGTTACTTTTATAAAATATATATATATATATATAATATATATATGTATAGGCATTAATAGTAATAATTGATTTAAATCAATAGTTAATAATTTAAAAAACGGTGGATCATTTTGACTCATGCTTAATTGAATCACGCACATGAACATCCATAAATATACATATATATATATACCATGGAGTAGCATGCCATATTTCACGCTCTATTTCTCTATCTATCTAAACTTTTTCTTCTTTACTTCTTAGGGCCCAACATAAATACGCCAGAAATACAAAAAAAAAATTGCAAAAAAATTGTAGAAATAAAAAAGTAGTAGAAATAAATAGTATGTGTTGACTTAAAATTAAAAAAAAAAAAACAAAAAAAACGTAAAAAACAATATTATTTTCACAATTTTTTTATACATAAAGATTTAGCGACATCCAAAGTTGCTCCACCGTCGACATAATACCTCAAAAAATGTATATAGCTTGAATTTATTGATTTCATTATTCTTTTTTAATAGTTTAAAAATATGTTATGCCGCTTATGTTATTAAAATTTACACCTTTATTATTTTTATACAAATTTTAAATCAAAATATCACAAGTCTGGCTCGGCATAGTTATAGAGAAAGCAATTTTGAATAGTTAAAAATAAAAAAATTAAGAATGAAAATGAGTTATAATGGCGACCGTGTCCCACCTTTTGTGGGAATTAAGATTAATTTTTCTGGCTCTACTTTCCCAGAGATTAGCCTAAAAATATACACAAAAGAACAACAAATATGTTAAAGAATAAAAAAAATTATAGTATAGTATAGTATTTTTTTTTTTTCATAAAATTCTGGACGTACATATGCAGGGCCCTAAGTTTCTAATGTTGTCACCTTATCTAGCTCTCCAGCTGCCTCTTCACTGAACAAATTTTAATAAAGAGCTTGCTTAGTTTATACTTTAAATTAAATATATATATATATATAGCTATTTTATCTATACATTATTTACTCAATATAAAAAACAAACGATGGAAGCAAATAAAAAAAAATTGGTTTGTAATCATATTTTTTTTGCACATGATATATATTTATGCATCTGCTTCGGCGTACTTTCTCTTTTTTTTGTTTTTCTATTTCAAAATCAGGGTGCGACAATTGCTAATTTATTTTATTTTTGCTTAAGTTTTTTGTTGTTTAGGTTTTATAAAAAAAAATACACACACAAAAATATATGTTTTAAGTAACTTTGAGATCATTTAAAAGTATTTTTTTTTTTATGTAAATGTATGGTACAATTTTACAGAAAGCACTCTATATACAAAACTGAAGTCGGTCGTTACCAAGTTAAAAGTCATTATTAAAAAGCAATATACATATATAAATATATATATATATATATATTTCCAAACAATATGTATTAATTTGTAGCAAGAGGGGGAAAATATATATTTCTTGAAACGAGAGAAAATTGCAAAATTTGTTGGACAGTTTATATAGGATATAGAGTGCTCACTCTTTAGAGCAGCGGTCCTAAAGGCCCTATTTTTGCTCGACCTCTGCCGGCACACACCACTTGTTGTTCTTTTTCTTACTTACACAATGCCTGCAAACTACTGCTTTATATCATTGCAATATATAACACAATTTGCACAAGAGAAAGACAGAAAAAAAGTAAACACCGATCATAATATCTGAATAATTCCTCGAATTAACTCACTGAGAAAGGCCATGGCTTATGGACTCGGCGGTTCCTTTGTTGTCCTCCACTTGACGCAGCATACGAAACTCTTGGGGCTCATCCAATAGGTCAGGTTTTGTAGATTCACCCGATGCTGCATCCTTTTCGCATCCAATGCTGCTGAGATTAAGCGCCGCCGAGTCATTCGTTTCAGAATTGGATTGATGATACTGATGGTGCTGGTGATGGTGTGCGGACAACTTGAGGAACTGTTCATAGTTGGCAAACTGCTGCTCCTGTTCCTGCTGCTGCTGCTGCTGCTGCTCATCATCGTCCTGCAGCTGCAATTCCTTGCTGACATATGCCGCAGTAGCAGCCACCGTTGCCGCTCGATCCTCATAGGTGGCTTCGTGCAGCTGCTGGAGCGTTGCCTTGCTCGACTGCGATTGCGTTTGCGATTCCAACTCCAACTGGTAGCTGCTGCTATCCGCTTGTGTCTGTGTCTGAACATATATTACGTCTTCGACTTGGAGTGCAGTCAGTGCAGCGATTTCGTGATGTTGCTGCTGCTGCTGCTGCTGTTGGTGTTGCTGTTGCTGCTGGCGTTGTGCATTTGCAATTGCCGAATTCCTAACCTTAATATTGCTATTGCTGCAACACTTCGGTGTGCTGGAGATTGCGTTTGAATTGTTATTATGATTATTGTTGTTATTATTGTTGTTGTTGTTGTTGTGGCCACTAGTACATATTTTATTATTGCAATTGTCGTTGTCGTTGTTATTACTATTACTACTACCGATGCTGACTTGTGCATTGGGTGGATTGCTGCGATTGCTTTCGGACAGAATGGGCTCTGTTCCATGCAGCTCTTGCTATTCCTTGATGAGGCGATAGATGTGGTGGGTGGTGCCGCTGTTTTGAGCCGCCACCTCAAAAACGTAGGCGATGCAAAGCAGTGTCTCCTGCGTCTCACGCGCTCGCATTACCTAGATAAAATAGAAATAGGGAATTAATCATATATATAATAAAATAATGTAACTTTTCTCTAAGGCATTGGTGTAATCTTGAGAGAGTCTCTCTGAGCTGGTTTTGTCCTCCGTCTGCTTTTGATCGATCCGTCTGCAGTATCGATACTTACTTGCAATATTGTAAAGTTCTCCAGCACACTGTTCATCATGTAGCGTTCAGGTAAGTTTTTCAGTTTCTGTATAAAGTTAATCATATACTCGCACATGGGTGAGCGTTGAATGCGATATACATAACGATTATTCTCTAACCGCGAATACTCGCTCTCCACCTTCTCCACCACCTGCTTTCCGAAGGAGCAAACGATCGTTGAGCATACAAGTACCACGTTCTCGTTGCTCTCATATCTACGGGAAGGAATAATGAATTATTAACAATCAATAAGAGTAGAATGCTAATATTAAAACTATATAATACTTACTGGCTAGTTACGCCATAGAAATCGCCCGTTTCGCTTCCAGTTGTTATGTCTGTGTTAAGATCTGCCCAGCATTTAACGAGATAGAAAGCATTTTGTGGCCCCTTTTCGTAGAGATCTTTGAGCCCGCCGGACTTTTCGGGAAACTTGTCGAATATTTGCCGGATATCAACAGTCTGGTATAATAGAAAATTATTTGATATACCTCAAAACTTAGTGGAAATACTCTACACGTACCTCTAGTAGCGGATCGGAGAAGGATGGCTTGCCGCCTAGTTGTACAAAAAGGTGGCGGTTATACTGAAAATATAAATAATGAATTAATAAGTTGAAATTATTATTTATCTGTATGTAGATGGGTATACATATTACGTAGCCTGTGAGGCATACACACTTCAATCCTGTATTTTTTTTTTGCAGCCTCTCTCCATTTCTCTTACCATATCATCTCTTTGGATTTCCATGAACGCCGTAAACTCCAGCAATCGGAACTTGTGCGTGGCAATGGCTCGTCCCTCCCAAGGCAATTGAGCTGGCGGAATTCCAGTTTCATCCCCGGACACCGCCGTCGATGGCTTGCCAGCGGGATAGGGTGGCTGTGCGAAGGGCTTGATGCTGTAATCATAGAAACTATTTTGGTCAATGCAAATGCGTTGTGTTGCCAGCTTGTGAGATGGGGGGCGAGATGCCCAACTTACTCTTGTGACGTGCTCGGCTGCAGTCCAGGCTGCCAGAATTGCTATTTGTAGATAGATAGATAGATAGACAGATAGAGGGAGAGAAAGGGTAGAGAGAAGTATTCGTTAATAAAGGTATTACATATTTCCTTGTTCGAGAGAGCCAGGAGGAGCTTTAAAGTCCAGTCACTACTAAATGTAGATGTAGATATCATTTTTGAGGGGTTATACAAGATGATGATTTAACGAATGGTAAAGCCACTTGTTAGTCAACATTTCAGTTTTCAATTGCCATTTAGAAAAGTTAGCCAGCAAATTCCATTTTTTGTTTGGCCAGCGAGTGAGTTTTACATACAAAATATATAGACACAATTATCTACATCCAGTTTCATAGATTTTAACAATTGAGGGTTAGCTTTTCTTTTGATATTTAAAAACAAATAGTAAAGGTTTAGCAATTACTTCTGAACAATAGAAAAACGAAGTTCCCAAGTAGGTCTAGCTTGTGATTGTACCAAGGAAGGCAGGAATATGTGTGATATTTCTATATTCTATTTGGTATATCGGACCAATGTAATTTTACTATATTTTTTATACGGAATTGAGATAATTTTATAAACAATTATAACTTCTAGACAGATACAAGGATATAAAGCTATCTACCACAACACATAGTTAAATAAATTCGTAAAATAGAAGACGTTTGAATAGAAGACGAACGTGTTCAGGTAATACTTGATATCGCAAATAAGGTATTATTCTGAACATACTACACCTATGCCATTATCTCACAAAATGATTAGTGTTCTGAAACATCAATCATGTTCTTCTTAGATTAATAAACAATGATTTTGTAGTCCTATGAAACTGGTATGTTATTGCTAATAGATTATCCTAAAAGTAGGCTCAATAAAGTACATTATTCGTACATAATCCGTACATAATCTGTACATAATCTCTTCGTGGTCGTTGCGATTTTTTTTAGCATGTCAAAAGCAAGGAGTCAATTTCAATGAGCAAGCCAGCATAAGCGGTGGATACTGCCAGTACAAAGTGCATTATCTTTTGGTTTTAGACACATAATAATGCCAAGGAGAGCATACCGGAGATACATTTATGTATATATAGAGGAATGCGAATATATATATATATAGTCTTATATATATATATATATATATATATGGTAGTGATGGAGAATAGGGACACAGAGAAGATGATTTTCGGTTGACATTTAAATGAGCGAGCGAATATTGTCAGTGCAAAAAGCTTGTGTGGAACGAATATGAACTGAGGAACTCCAAAAAGGATTCATATCACAAGAATCTAAATATGGTGAATATAGAACACAGAATAGACGAAAAGATATAGTAATATTTTCACAGTATTTAAAATTGTTAAACCAATTTAAATTGCTGCCAAAAAAGAATCGAATCAAGCACACGGATGTTTATACTGAACAGCAAAAGAAGGTCGTTTTAAGATCACCTTTTGCTTATAATATTTATATTATATATAAATAGGAATCTATACTTTAACTTTATTGCTTGTCTATGATATTATTTAAGGATATTATTAAGAAATATAAATGTATTATTAAATATTCTCTGTACAAAATATTTCCTTTTTAAATCTCCTATTAATTCTTCTTTTCGATTTTATTATTTCTGTACATGAACCTATTTGATCTTGTTTATGCAAATGACTGCTTAAACTTGGATTACATAAACCCAAATGGAGCACTTAAGATGGATGCTATGATGATGCTGGGCGGTGTGGTGGGCGTTGGTGTTTTGCTACAAACATATAATTATTACACTAAGCCGAATGGAGATTTCAATTAAAACGTGTAGATTAAGTTTTTTAGCACCTGAGAGGATAGACCGAGTATGGTTTTTGCCGATGATAATGGGGTGCTCATAATGATGCCGCTTAAGGTAAGAGATAATGACAGCGTATTTGGCGCAGTGCGGTGGAACAAGAGATGGGTAATTAAAACGTTCGCTTACGCCCGAATACAACGGTGGCGGCGGTGGGTGGTGGTGGTGCAGCGTCGTTGGAGGTGGTGGTGGCGGTGGACCAGAGCCCCCGCCAGCACAACGTATCACTGGACCGGAGCCAGAGCCAGAACCGGAGCCAGAACCAGAGCCGGAGCCAGAGCCGGAGCCAGAACCCGAGCCAGAGCCAGAGCCAGAGCCGGAGTCCGTAACCGAATCACTCGGCGCAGTTGTCTGGCGCTGCTGTTGCTGCTGCTGGAGATGGTAGACCGCTGCCACGGCTGCCGCATGTGGATGTGGATGTGGATGTGGATGAGGATGGGGATGTGGGTGTGAATGGGGATGAGGATGATGCACATGACTGTGCGGTATGTGCGTCAAATTGGGATGGGAATGATGGTGGTGATGATGATGATGGTGGAGGGCTTGCACGTGCGCATGGGGATGATAGTGTTGTTGTCGTGGCGAACACGACGAGATTAACGGCGGCTGACCGGTGACCAGCGGGGATGAGGCGGAGGTGGACCCCACCGGCAGGTGACGGGTGTGTGGATGCGGATGCACCGATAACGCCGATGCAGCAAAGGCAAGATTGTTGGCCGCCTGGGCGGATACGATTTGCGAACTGGTCATTGTGGTCATGATCTGCAGTGTTGTCTGCTCTTTCTCGTTTAACAAGTGCAAGGACACATCATTGGGCTCCTGGAAAAAGGCTTCAGTTCTTCAGGTTTGTGGACATTTGGACTGTGAGGGGGAGTAGGAAGTGTGCTTCTGGGATGTGCTTTCTTTTATGCAACAAAAAAGTGTTTAAAAATTCATTGCAAATATATCGCAGGTGAGAACTCGATATCGGAACAATGAAGCAGCAGTGCTTTGGTATATATATAACATATATACTCCCAATTTGAACACTATAGCATGGTTCACTTACTAAATTAATAATACTGTCTCCGAATATGCTTTAGGTTTTGCTCTTAAGCGAATTTGAAATATCTTTGGAGGTAATTTTCCTTATCAATAATTTAAATTATATCAAGATCAAGAGTGAGGTTTTCCCCATCTCCCAGTCTAACAGCTCGTCTTGCAACTGACAAATCTTCCTTGCTTTTCATGCTCATTCATAGTAATAATATGTCTCCTAATCCATCAATGTAAACTCACAAGCCGATGATAAATATATATATTCCCAACGATGTGATTAATCTGTTAACAAAATTGGTAAAAGTCACTTACAACTTTGATTTTCGCCTGGATTTCGCGCAGTTTCCGTCGGGCCAGCACTTGGATGTGAGAGCTGACTTGTTTCCTGGTTCTCGTCTTGCCCGTTCGCAGTTTGATATATCTTGCGATCAGCTCATTGCGACCTATAATCCAGATTAAGAATAATATATCTTCATAAGTTTGGATTATACAATAAAAGGTAAGATGGTAAAGCTTTGATATTTATTTAACAAGTGGAAAAGGTATAGCTTTTAGCTATGATATTATCTACTTTATAGGCTTCTAAATATCTACCCAACTATGGTTTAATAATAATTTAATCAATTTAATATTTAAATAAATACTGTCCCCTTGGACGGTATTGTACTTACCATACATTTTACCCTCATCGGATAAAATGATTTTTCTACGTCCACATGGTGGATATATAGATAAAGCCTCTTGAAAGCTCTGTTCGATATCCGGACTCCAGACACCTTCGGCATCAGCAGATGATAGGTCCTTTTCATCCTGAAAATGAAATAGATAAGTGAAAGATGTTACATTTGAATATTGTTTTTTGTTAACATATGATATTATAAGCTTATATATTATTGGTTAAAAAACAAAGAACATCTTGATAATGATAGCTATTTGATCTTCTTAATGATTTCATTATGCTTTTGGCAGTGACAAATCGGTTAAACAATAGCATTTTCATATGCAAAGTCACAAGTGACAGTGACTCATACAATAACTATATGATTCACGAATGATTAGGGATGTTTTAAAAGCAAGACAGCTTTCCTATATATTATTATTAATATCACATAATATATATTAGATATCATATCATTATTTTATCATATAATATAATATATATTATATAACAAACACAATAAGGTCTTAAACCTTCACTGGTTTATACTCCTATTTTACACTACACTTAAAATAATATTAATCGATTTTATTGACAACTTACATCGCTCATATCACCAACATCCAGGTTTTTACTATCCACCATGCTGCCATTTGTGTCTGCCGATCCAAGGGCACCTGGAGGACCGGCATTTACTGGTGTCCACGGTGATGGTATGGTGCCGGGTCCAACTGTAAAGCAAAAACAAAATATAATTACATTAGTAAAATAATTATGAGAAGTTTTTAAGGGTAAATATATTTGACAAAAACCTTTAAACTACCTTTTAACCGATGACTAATCGCAAATAATAACGAAGATCTCGGTAATTTCAAGAAATAAAAATATATACTTGATTATTAAATGCAATTTATTTGATACTTTATAGTCTTCTGATTAACCTTTCTAATTTAAATATCTATAATATCTATCTATATCTAGAGTATCTATACTTTATAAAGACTCGAATAACTAATGGCTGAATAATTCAACTAAATGGTGAAAAACATCCCCCTTGGGAGAGTGAATGGAATGCATCATTTTCTAGATATCCTGAAGCATCAATCTAGATTATGTAAATAGTTTGGATGTGACTAAGGTTGAATATGATTTTTAAGAGTATTTTGTAGATCCTAGAAAGGGTCTCAGTCAATATAATATATCGAACTCACCGGATAGTGCCTTGAATTCCTCAAGGGAATCTAAATGGTTGGCGAAGGGCGCCACTTTTAAGCCGATATCAGTATTGTTTTCAACGAATATATATATCTTTTATATATTGTTATATATATAAACTAGTTTGGAATTTATTTCACTATGAATTCCTCATTAATTATGTACATTTTGTATATATAAATCACAAATCCATCGGTATCTCAGCGATATTCCATCATAATACAATTTATTTATAATTTTTGTTTTGTTTGTTGTTGTTTTTTTTTTCTTCACAATTCATCGCATTTTAAATAATTTCTTTCAACCGATTTCTTTCTATATCTCACAAAACACACACACTCACTACCGGAAAGGAAGAGAAAAAAAAACAACTAAAATGCGTCTGACTGAGGGAAACGCATAGTTTGAACTGAACTATGCCATATATTTTCAACTAATTTCTATTCTTTGTTTTGGCCCATCGTCCCTGTGCCTTGGCCGATTCCTGTTCCTTCCCCCATATTGTATAGTTACAGGGATGATTCTGGGTATTTATGAGACACACACAGGATATATGATGCACATACCCTCGCTGCGCGCCCAACTGAACGAGGGGAAGGTGAGTGAGAGGCGTCAAGTGCGACTGATTCGGCAGCGGGTTGGTGTTTAGAATCGAGTGGAACTCGAAGTGGAAAGTGTGGAAAAGCAGAAAGAATGCAACGCAGTCTTCTATTTCTCTTCAGGAAAGCCTACCATCCAGGATCGTACGTATGCATATACCCCCAAGGGAGGTTACTAGGACGACTTGATGTCTAAAATCAGCAAATCTGCTTCACAATTGGAAACGCGTTGCCTGCAATTATCCAAGTAATGCATGATGCAGCTTGCACCGTCCAGGGGTTGGGATCGATTCAGGGTTAAATGTACAGTTTTTCATTCAGGGGTTTGTTCGTCATTCCCCCCCGAGGAAATTTTTTCCAGCCGCATTCCAATTCTCTCCCTTCGAAAACAGATGCCAGGAGATTTCCTTACAGAAAGTGGAAAGGCTTATTTATAATAATAAAAGTCTACAGTTAAGGGTTTATTAAAACTTAATTTATAAATATTGCAAATTAGTCAAGGCGAAGTTGTACACTTTAAAATAATTTGAATTTTTTAATATAAAGTTTAATAAGGGTAAGGATAAAGATAAGGATCGGTTGTACTTTATAAAGCAAAGGCAGCTGATCTGCGATGCAGTAGGATATCCATCTCTTATATAGTTGGGCTAAGGTATTGAAATCTCTCCAACTTTTCAACTAATCCCTACAATGATTCTTTCCAAGAGCTATTTCCAACGAACTTTTCTCCAACGAACCTGTCCAACGATCCTCTCTGCAACGAACCTCTCTCCAACTCACCAACAATCTACATACTCTACGATCGATATACAAAATCTCTAGAGATTTGTGGCACACCACCCTCCGCCTCCCCCTCATAAACACTCGAACGCACACTTCAAACAACAAAATTAAGTAGAAAGAGAAAGAAATAAGCGAACCGTGCATTAATATTATCATAAAGAATTTCAATTGAAGCTGTTCGGGGTTATTTCCAATTAGAAAACAAGCCACCGCCTTTGCCTGGACTAAAATTTCCGCACCGCATTCGCAGCTGCTCATGTTGATGTTCAGAAATAATAAGGGAATGTGTGTCCTTGTCGCTGCTTTTCCTACCCTTAGCAATCGCTCCCAGTCCCAGTCCCAGTCCCAGTCCCAGTCCTAGTCTCAGTCCCGGTCCCGGTCCTAGTCCCACTCCCAATGTTGTTGTGTGGCAATTGGAATGTATGGTATGCATTTTGCTTTTTCATTTTCTTTATTCATGCTTCGTCGCATGAACACAAGTATATACATATCTATGTATATATACATATATACAGATACATATATATATATATATATATATACGCCTCGATGCGACTATGAACAGCTGTGTTATTGTGCTATGGCCATACCTGGCGCATTCAGGATCAAGAAAAGCGATTGTATCTGCAGTTGAAAAGCCATAATATATGGTATATATATTCCAATGCTTGGTGGGATTCCCCGAAATTTGATAGCCCTTTTCATCTACATGTTTCTTTCGATCTTCTTCACATTAAAGCTTATAAAACTCTTCCAATCTTATCTTATCTAATTATGCTTACAGATCAAGAATGAAGATCTTTCAGATCTGTTGTATCTTAAAGCTGAATATAGACAGCAACCATGTTGTTACAAAAAAGTTACTATAAGAACCTGGTTCCCAATTTTAATCTATAAAGAATATATAAATCATGTTCTCTGATCTCTCAAAACTAAACATTTACCAAATAATTAAATTATCGTATTCCGCAGGTTGCCTAATACCATAAGTGTTATTTTTAAAAGATATACATATGTTTGTGTGTACAGGCATATTTCTTCGTATCGTGCCTACTTAATCCAGAGGTATTTACTGTGGTCTAAGCCAGTCATGGGCAACAACAGAGTTACTTAAATTTGGCAATACCCTAGTGTTCGTTGCACTTAGCTGATTCTCTTGTTTGTATTTGAATTATTTCGCATATCAAAAAGGCATATAAACTTTAAATTTAGTCTTCGTATTGTGCCATAAGGGAATGCCGATATTATATCCATAACAGTTGAATACAAAATTTAAATTTTCTAAAAGCCTAAAGTGTTGCACACTTAAAACTCAAATGTAAACAAGTAATAGTATGAAAAACTCTTTTAAAATGTAATAATGTGATAAAAAGTATTGCTTATTTAGCATTATAGATTATACAATAACTAAAACCTTGTTTTGGGAATAAACATGGTTTTTTCATTTAAAATTGAAAAACAATCCATTAAAGATACAAAGATAAAGATACAAGATAAAAGACTTCTGAAATACAAAGGTATTTCCTTCTTTCTAAACTTATTTAAATGGGTTTTTATGTATGTATCACTGAACAAATTTATTTATTAATGAAAAGGCAAAATAAAATTAAAGAATATTAAGTTTAAATACTGATGTATGAAATTATCTATGAAGTTACTAATTTTACGCGTTTCTTAATACCTTTTCTCTTAGCTGATTTAAAACAAAAACACTATATCTTTATCAACCACTAAGGCTGTTTAGACTTTCAACTTTGTTTTCTTTCAGTGTTTACGTAGATGTGTAGGTATTTTGTATTCAATTGAATGCTGAAAGAAAGACGCGACGATAAAAGAACGCCAAATTAACGGTACTTATTGTCTACTGCGCCTTTAATTAGAAAAAAAAAAGACGATAAACATGAATATCGCCAAGGTGTATGTGTGTGTGCGTTTAAGCATGTGTACATATGTGTGTAATGTTGTGGTGTGCCACCATTCGGATTGGCTTCAATAGTTAAGTTAAGTTAAGGTAAGTAAGGTAAGGTAAGTTAAGGTACTTAACGCACCTGTCGCCTCTGGTTTTTCTGCAACGTCCAACTCGCCGCCGCCGCCGTCGCTGCCAAGGTTGTTCTGCAGTTGCAGCAGCCCCGTGCTGCAAGTGCTCGAGCTTGTAATGTTTTTCATGCAGCCAGTGTAGAGCAACGGGCCTCCCTGTGCGCTGGTCAGGGGGGCAGGGGAGTGCGGAGTGGGGAGCGAGAATCTTTCGGGGTCTACTACTAGATTTAGACTCTGATGTCAGCGGCAGCACCAGCAGCAGCAGCAGTAGCAGCACTGGTCACTGTTATTATTCACTTTTAAAAAAGGTTCGTTCGCTTTTACTCGCGCCACGCCACGACACACAGGCGAGCGAGCGACTACTCTTCAACTGTGTATGGGTGTTATTATCTTTCACGATTACTGTGATAACACGCTGTATAAGTCACAGAAACACTTTTGGTTAGGATTATGTAGTGGGCCAACATTTGCACTTCACTGTGTCACGTTACGTACAACAGACGCACAATAATATACACAGGCTAGCATTACATTACATTGCGAGTGGGCTGTAAATGTAATAATTCATGAATCTCGACTTCTTGGCAAGTGAGAAAGATCTTTTTTCAGGCAAACTTCTTTACATCGAACACTCCCTCTCTCTCTCTCTCACGAGCGCTCTTTCTATATATACGAATCTTTCTCTCTCTCTTCCCCACTCTCTCGCTCTGCCTCTCTCTCGAGTTAGCTCTCTGTTCCACTCTCCCGCTCTCTTGGCGGTACTGGCTTCAGTATCGGTGTGAGCAGCTTTCTACGTATATCGACGTCTTTGTTCCAGTGAGAGTGTAAATGTGTGTGTAAGCCTTTCAGTGGAAATAAGGCGCAGCAGCAGCAGCAGCAGAAGCAGTAGCAGCAGCAGCAGCAGCGAAGGCAGGAGGAACAGGAAGACAGAACCATATGCCCATGGGAGAGAGAGGGAGAGAGCTATCGATTTGATACCCTTTTCTTGCGCCTGTTTTAGCTAAGGGAGAGAGAGACGGAGAGTGAGCGCGAATTTCGATACCCGAAATTGACTCGCGCGACTGCAAGGGATGTGATGGCAATTCGATCGTGTTCAT